CATACTCCCCTCCTCCTCCCTTCTTATCCTCACCCCCCTCCCTAGCCACATACCCAACACCCCCAGCAGCACTCTCCTCCACCCCCAACAAATGTCTCATTATACCTGCCAGCTTCCCCGCAATCTCATCCGTCCCTGACCCTGAGCCCGCCATATCCTCAATAATCGAAAGTGTCCGCTCCATCATCCCGCGATCACTAGGTCGGCTATGCGCGAGGAAGGTGGCTATTGTTCCCTTCCCGTGCTGCATATTGCTGGGGGAGTCTATGTGCGCAATACACAGCACTGTAGTAGCTACAAAAGCAATGAAATCCACCCCACGGCAGTAATACTGCGCTGGATCCGAGGTGCGGAAAGCGATATATCGGGAGAGAATCTCGCGACTTACGGTTATGATGGTGAGTTTACTTTGGTCGTACACCGTAGTATCTTGGGATGAGCGGAGCATGTAGGGCAGGTGCAGGCGGAGGAGGAGTTGATAGTGCGTGAAGTGGTGAGTAAGACGGAGGGTGTTGTGGATGGCGTCTTTGGGAGTATGGCTGGGTAATAGGTCTGGAATGAGCCACCACTGGGGAGGCATTTGGGCAGCTGCGTTTTGGAGCATGGAGTCAATATCCTGGGTGAGGGAGAGGTTATTGATGTCGCCGTCTGTGCGGTGGAGTATGCGTCCTGCCACGATGCAGTGCATGCGGTGCATGCGGTCTTGCGGCGTGCATGTCTCTAGGGCTTTTGGGGAGAGATACCGTGCCTCAAGGGAGGTGGGTGGGAGGCCGAGCATCAGGGAGAGGTAATGGTCCATTTCGACGAGGCGGAAGCACAGGTAGTCTGGGTTTAGGGTGTTGCGGGTGGCTGGGTCGAGAGTCTTTAGGGATGATGGTGGGAGTCCACGGTGGAGAGACAGCATTTGTGCGATGGCTGTGGCTCTGCGAGTGGCCAGCCATGCTTGATGCAGGTTGCCGAGAAAGTTCTGGTATTGGGCTTCGAGCATGATGCATTGCACGCCTTCGATGGAAGGGGTGAGTTCATCGTTGGTCGTTACTAGTCTGGTGGCGCGGGTGACGGCGCGGGACATGATGTCGTGGTGGGAGATGGATAGGTCGGCTAGGGCTTGGATGGAGGATGGGGGAATGCCTTGGAGGAAGATGCCCAGAGTGAGTAGTTTGCGGGCGATTAGGACGGGGTGGGAGGTCGGTGGAGGTAGTTGGAGCATTTCTTTGGATGACGGTAGGTCATGGTTTGTGGAGGTGAAGTTAGGGGCGCAGATTCCATAGCTCATGTACGTTGATATTCCAACAGGGAGGGTGTAGATATGGTTCAGATCCCTCTGGCTGGGCCATGCCTCGAGAAGGTCGCGATTAATGCATGCATATTGGCCGGTGGTGATGCTGTTAACTGGTAACGGCTCTTGGGGCCTCAGCTCTAGGTAATTAGAATTTATATGTCAGGACTGTACTCACATGTTCTTCTTGATTAGATTCCATATGATTGTCTAACGTCCCAGAAGTCGGTGGAGTTTCAGAGTGATCTTCGGAAGATACAGTTTGGGTAGCGCCCGGGCTAACCAGCTGTGCGAGGAACCTCTCCACTCGGTCGAGTCGAGCATCAACCGTGTCATTACTCGTAAATACTGGGCTGTCTGGGAGCTCCTGACTGATGCATGTAGATCCCCGTCGTCTGCAGTTATCGCAGATAGTACCGGTGGAGGGGCTGAAGATGCACCGGACCTTGCGCCGCTTACACTCCCAGCAACTTCGCGTGCCCTTGCGGACTTTTCTCCGCTTTGTCTGGGGACCCTCCTCCTGGTCTATCTCGGTCATTGGCAAATAGGTCTAGTGTATCCTCGATTCAAGGGTGAGGGGATTTGATTTGGAAGAGCGATGGTCTGCGGCACGATCTCGGGCTAAGGAAATGGATTCGCCCGAATTCGGCGGAACAACGCCATGCTCACATCAGCCCTAGTACAATACGCTATGGCGTAAATAATGTCTCTAAAGACGCGTTATATTTACTAAGCCAGATAGCACCCTCTACCTGCGTATCCGTATCAGCCTTCCCGACCGCATACTCAAGCCTTTCCCTTCCACGCCTCAGCCAAGAACTCCTCGATGGCTGTAAATTTGAAGTCAGGCAGTAGACGGTTCCATTCATCGGAGACTAGATAGGAGCCAGCATCAGCCGCCAAAATAATTCGACTGGTCATATACTTTGAAGCCACTGCCGCCTGCTCGGGCGGAATGGAAGCGTGATCCACTGTTGGTGTCCATGAGGTTTCCCACGTTCCGGCTTCAAGGTCCTGCGCCTTCACCCGTTCGATTGTGAAGGGCAGCCCACCTAGAGAGAAATAGTCAACATACAATTTATATGACATAGCCTTAGAGATTATAAACTCACCGCGAACCTTCTCTCCCAAAGCTATGAGTTGGCCAACGGAGATATTAGCACCCTGGATACCCCCAACCACCGGCCACTCGCCCTCGTAGTCGACAGCTCTAGCTACAACTCCAGCAAGGTCCTGAACAGCCGTCCAGGTGAGACGGGCCTTATCGTCCCCATCCACCAAGATCATTCGGCGGTTGGCAAAATCAAAGGGAGTTCCGATCGTGGGCAGGTGGCGGGCCGATTGATGTGGATGGGTCAGATAGTTGGCGAACACGCCGGGTTGGAAGAGAGTATACTCGAGGACCTGGTTATTTACTGTGAGCTATTTCGCCCAGTATGATGTTGCCTGAGCGTACCTTTCTTTCCTTGTTCAGATCGTGGAGATATCGGCGCGTCTCGCCTTTGTAAGCGTACCAGTCCAGGTAATCTAAGCCGGACCTGTACTAGGTCAGTGTTTGGATGATGGTAGAACCAGGATGCAGAATTCTCACGAGGCCCATTCACTCGGCGCGAAGCGCTTCACTCCGGCCTGCACAGCGGCATCGATGAGGTTCTTCTGAACGGTGCTTGTGGGATCATCCTGCGCAGTGACGAAGGAGAGAACAGTGTGCACTCCTTGCAGAACTTTGGTTAATTGGATAATGTCGTTGTAGTCGGCCTTTACCCAAGTGATGCCTTGAATAAGATCATTGGCTGGGGCATCCTGCAGGGGCTGGTTAATGTCACAATACCCCCATTTGCTACGAATATGATGAGATAGCCAACCTTTCTGGTAAGGACAATGATCTCATGCTTATTCGCAGCAATGAGTGCGTCGATGACCTCTCGGCCAACACCTGGTTGAAGGTCAGTAATATAACTGACCAGAGCAGGCACAGCGGGAAGGACCTACCGCCAGAGCCACCAGCAATTGCAATTTTGACCATTATGAATAATGAATAAAGAAGAGAACCAAACTATAGACTCAAACCGTCCTTTGTTTTGTTTGAATTGAAGTTGTATTTGTTGAGCTCGTCGGTGCCGGAGAGTGCTGATCTATATAGCTTCTTGGACCGAGAGTTCGGCCGAAATTCTGGCCCGACCTAGGGACAGAAACTGCATCGCTAATATGACAAATTGGCTTGTGATATGGTGTTATCCACTATCTACAAGATTATTCGGTCGAATATTCGGCAATAGCATCAATGCATACTAGCAATCGTAGCTTGAGGGTCAACAATACTAGACACTTAAATGTGATTGCCGTATGGCAAACACGAAACCCGTCCACTACTCAGCATACATTATATGAAAGACTTCATGCACACTGCAGTCACTGTGCTAGCTCGTGCATCAACTACAGATCACCATTGTGCCTAATATCGATGCAGAACAGCTCCGTTTCAGCATAGATAGTCTCAGGATCTCCACAAGCACTAGCCCAGAGACGGTAGTTGCAACTAGGAGAAAAGATTAGCATTTCCCTTACAAATCACTTAGAGCAGGCATAACACACTTGATAGGGATTTCCATTGGTCCTGGTGGAGGAATAGTAATCTCATCTCGGCCCATGACCGCGTAGCGCAGGACCAGCTCGGTTACAGGGGGGTAGTCAACACGGTTGGTGAGGTAGATGCAGAACGCCTTGTTCTCCTCTCCGCTGTTTGCAGTCAGCTACTGCAGAGAAATGAGTTCGAGGCCGGTACGCACGAGACGTGGGACCATTTGACCGTCAAGGGCTCCTTGAGGTCCCATGTAGTTTGGGCTGGCTCACCGCCACCTGGCTTTTCCCAAAGCATGTTGAGGAATGCTGGAGTTAAGTTAAGTGTATGAAAGATGATGGATAGAATATGCGCTTGGATAAGAATGATGGGATGATCTCGAGAGCATGAATGAAAGAGAGGACCTCCTCGACTATATACCCGCCGGTGGCCACAAAGTCTTGGAAAGAAGCAGGGATCCAAGGATGCTTTGACCAGAGTTGACGACGATATATGACTACAATTGCAGCCATTGTGTCAAACTGACTGCCATGCTTTAAGCAGAGAGGTGAATCATGATTTAGATCTCCGTCGGAGGTTGCCTAGTCAAGCGGAGACGCGCAACATGGTATAGATGCTGCCTGAGTAGATGCAGATACGAGCATTCCACAGCATCCAAGACTCACATCTCACGTTACAGAGGCTTAGGAATTGATTCATGGCAAGGATTAGTGTCTTGCCCCTCCGTGGGTTGGCTAGAGGTTGAATTGGAAGATATATCCCGTGAGAGAAATACATAGTAGGATCACAGAGAAGCCAGTCACCACTTGCACCTATAGAAAGTAGCATGGAGGTAAAGTATTTGGCTTTCCTAAGCTTTAGCTACAAGCATTTTTCTTTTCAGGTCTTGTTCTAGCAAGGATCTATAAACTTAATCTGCATCTGATTAGCTTATGGTGCAACCATCCATGCAAAGGATGCCTTGTCCAGTGAAAGCAGGTATGTCCATTGTCGGAATGACCGAACTTCAAGGCATAGATGAGTTCTGTGCCACGGTCCATCGGCGAATAATCTCCAGGTTACTCGGCAGCCCAGCATATCCGAGTCCCTCGTCCTCACCTCTGCAAAATCATTGTACGTGATAATCTGGGGTCCTCAAGACCCGCTTTCCAAGGGGTCGCGTTAAGTATAGCATTTCTCTCATACACTTTGACTCGAATAGAGGCATGCAGCCGAACGCTCACAAATTTCCTTTCAAAAAGCAGACTAAGATGCAATCCCAGGCATGTGACCTTCCTGTTAATACGGGAGTAGTGGAAGCCAGTGTTCCTAGCTACTCTGAGGCTCAATAGTGGCCTGCGCTGTTTTATCGACCTAACTAATGTTGAAATAGAGCTTCAATACTTTCGTGCCTTCGTTCATCTCAACTGTTTTCTATACGGTGACAACTCCCTATTCTAGCTTTTCCACGATCTCTCATGTTTCTCATCCACTTTGTGGCTCTGAGATCAATAAATGTCAATCAATAGCGTGTATTTAGTTTGCCAGTAGGTCGAAGACCTTGAGTTATTTTCTACGCGCCATACAAGTTAGCACCATTCCAATTTACGCCCTTATTGCTGACTACCCAATGTGGCCATTTCCTGTGGTTAGAGCAGAGCCGTCTCTCTAAATTGCCCGTGCCATTACGCGCCTAACAGGAGTTTTCCATCAAAGTCGGGTAGTATACAGCGGATATCAAACCCAAATATCTGGCCAGGGCAGGACTTGCATCCGTAGCCAGTGGGACAGTGGCGAATGACCCCCGGAGAGGAATCCGCAGTGGATCTCCATGATCAGCTCAAACCCCGCATTTGCCCTGATTCTTTCTCCACTATGCTTCGTTTGATCTCGGAAACATCTCCTTCACTATGTATCCATCTTGATAACCCATGATTTGCTTACGATTTCAGAAGTGTCTGACTTTAACCTCTCGGAAAAGTTGTTCTTCGGCCGATGTATACCGTCGTGCAAATTCTACCCGAAATGCCATCTCAAGTCACCCAAATTATGACCATAGTTCTGAAAGTCGAGGAGATCAGACTGACCTGTTATCTTTCACCTTAAGTATGCATTGTCATAATATATATAATATTCAAATCTCGATATAGTAGGGCGTTTGCTGCATGCATTGTCTCCGGTGAAGTTCGCGCAGAGACCGTTGTCGGATAAATATCCGGACTGCGCTAGCATTTCCGAGCCCTCCATCACGGCATCGGACATGGTCTTCATTGAACGATGGTGTATCTGGAACTACTTTAAGGCCTGGCGCCTCTTCATTCATCAAGCTGAGTTGCTTCAGACTGAGCCTGCTTACAAGCTGCTTCTATATGTAACAACGCCCTCCAAACACCCAAGATGCTCTCCACAATCGCACCACAACCACCCACGCTACAAGAGCCTCTGTCTAAAGGCGATCATATTCTTCCTTTAGAATCTTACGAACCCTCGACCATTGACGAGCTCGTTCGTCAGCGTGCATCACTTGGAGCCGCACAGCCCATCATTTCTTACCCGCGGACCGGCATCGAATATGTGGACTATCCACTGCAGCAACTGGATGTCTTCGCATTCCGCGTCTCCAAGGTGCTATCAGACCGCATTCCGCCTCGCCAGTCGTCGGCTGAAACTCCCAAAGTCATCGCTTTACTGGGACCTTCAGATCTCAACTACCTGGTGATGCTGCTTTCACTGGCCAAATTGAGTCACATTGGACTGCTCTTATCAACCAGGATCTCCGTAGATGCTTATGTCTCGCTGCTAGAGAGAACCGGGTCTCGACATGTTTTCATTCACAGCTCCTTCCGAGACACCGCCGAGGAAATCAAGAAGCGAGTACCTGAGCTAGTCATTGATGAGATTCCAACTGAGGAAAACTATCACTATCCCATCACGGAAGATGTCGACACGAATCTGGTCCCGCATCTCGATCCGAAGATTGAGTCCAAGCACATTGCATGGATTATTCACTCCAGTGGATCAACTGGGCTTCCGAAACCTATCTTTCATACGCAATCTGCTGCGCTGAAGAACTACTCTGGACATATGAACATGTCTGGGTTTGTCACTCTGCCTCTTTATCACAACCATGGAATCAGTTGTCTGTTCCGGACGATTCACGCTAGCAAACAGCTGCACCTGTATAATGCCAATCTCCCATTGACAAGGCAGTACTTGCTCGAGATCATGGGGTCCAATTCGTTTGAAGTTTTCTACGGTGTCCCCTATGCGCTGAAACTGTTGGCTGAGACACGAGAGGGAATATCCGCTCTGGCTAAGCTAAAGGCTGTCATGTTTGGAGGCTCCGCGTGCCCGGACTCTCTGGGTAACTTGCTGGTCGAAAATGATGTTCATCTCATCAGCCACTATGGATCGTAAGTGGATTCTGAAATGTGTTTCGGGTACTTTACTAACATATATACAGAACTGAGACCGGCCAGCTCATGATGTCGACCAGGCCTCGTGACGACAAGGGATGGGACTGGCTCCGTCCATCTGACACCGTCAAAAAGTTTTTGCGATTCGAAGAACGCTTCCCGGGAGTATTCGAGCTCGTGTGTCGGGACGGCTGGCCTTCCAAGGTCATGACCAACCGACCTGACGGCTCGTACGCCACCAAGGATCTGTTTGTCAAGCATCCCACTATGGAAGCATACAAGTACTATGCTCGGCTAGATGATACAATCGTTCTATACAACGGAGAGAAGGTCAACCCACTTGACCTGGAAGGACGAGTCCGACAGCGCAGCACTGTTGCCGAAGCCATTGCATTCGGAGCAGGCAAAGCCCACATCGGGCTGGCTGTCATCCGTGCCCCTGGCACCGAGTCACTCTCCGATGAGGATATCATAGACAGTATTTGGCCAGCTGTTGAGAAGGCTCACGAGGCACTACCAGCGTTCGGACAGCTCTCAAAGAACATGGTTCGAGTGTTGCCTGCGGACACTCCCTATCCTCGGACTGATAAGGGCACCATCATCCGGCAAGCATTCTACAAGAACTTCCAGCCGCTGATTGAAGAGGTTTACGCCGCTGTGGACGCCATGACTGGCACGCTGGTTCTGTCTGAGTCCGATCTGAGGGACTTCCTCAAGAAGCAGCTTCTCCAGATTCTGCCCCTCAAGGATTCCAATCTGCTGACCGACGATGCCGATTTCTTCTCCCTGGGCATGGACTCTCTGCAGGCCAGTCAGCTGCGTTCCATACTCGTCCAGAACTTGGACACCAAGGGCCATCAACTGGGACTTAATATTGCCTTCGAGCAGCCCACTATTTCCATGCTCGCCCGTTATCTAGCCGCTGTGCAGTCCGGAGAAGCCCTTCCAGATTCTCAGCCAATCCATGAACAAATGCGTGCTCTCATTTCCCAATTCAGTCACTTTGAACCACACGTTCCCCATTCTAATGAGCTTCCTGGTCGTTATGTTGTAAGTGTCCCTCAACACCCAGGCCAGTACACACTGCTAACTATTCTAGGTTCTCACCGGTGCTACTGGCTCCCTAGGCAGCCATATCGCGCACCAACTCGCACAGAGCCCTTCCGTAAAGAAAGTCTACTGCCTCATCCGCGCCTCCTCCCCAATTGAAGCCTATAAGCGCCTCCACGATGCTCTACACACCCGGCACGTCTACAGCCCCCTCCCTTCTTCCTCGAAAGCCAAGCTCATCGCCCTCCCCGCCCCAACCCTATCCCATCCAACTCTCTCCCTCCCCGAGGAAACCTACAACACCCTCCTCACCGAAACCACCGACATCATCCACTGCGCCTGGCCCGTCAACTTCAACCTCCAGCTCAGCAGCTTGGCACAAGACACCCTCCCCACCCTACACAATCTTCTCTCTCTAGCCCTGAAAGCCCAGCGCCCCGAACCCGCAACCTTCAACTTCTGCTCCTCCGTCAGCAGCGTCGTCAACAGCGCCGTCTCCCCCATCCCCGAAACTCTCCCTGAGTCCCTCACCGCTGCACAATCAATGGGTTATGCCCAATCCAAGCTCATCGCAGAACATATCTGCGCCAACGCCACGCCCTACCTTGATGCGCGAGTCCTCCGTATCGGGCAGATCATCGGCGATACGAAGCACGGGGTGTGGAATGCCACGGAGGCGATTCCGCTGATGCTCCGGGCGGCAGTTACAGTGGGGGCGTTGCCGAGGTTGGATGAGAGGATGCGGTGGGTGCCGGTCGATGTTGTTGCTGCGGCTGTGATGGATATTACTCTTCATAAGGAGGAGCAAGGACTGGAAAGGAAGAAGGAGGTGGATGATGTGGAGGTGTATAACATCTTGAACCCGTACAGCTTCCATTGGACAAAGGATTTGCTTCCTGCTCTAAGGGCGGCCGGATTGGAATTTGAGGATATGGAGTTCGCGGAGTGGATTAAGCGGGTTAGGGATGTGGCGGATCCGGAGAGGAATCCGCCTATTAAGTTGGTGGGGTTCTGGGAGGGGAAGTATGGGAGTGCGAAGCCGTTTAGGGGATTGGAGTTTGTCACGGAGAAGGCGAGGGACAGGGCTGAGGGGTTGAGGGGGTTGAGTGTGGAAGGGTTGGAAGCGGGACTGGTGGGCAAGATGGTGGAGTGGTTCAGGGAGGTTGCGTGGGTTTGAGTGGTCTATGTTGGATAGATGGACTGTTTGGCTGATTAGATGTGACTTTCTGTTGTGTTTGTTGGCCTTAGCTATTTTGAGATGACATTGTTTTATTAAAGCTGAAATTATGACGTTGGTTAAGCTCGGGGTAGATGCAATATCACGAGGCCTATTTTATTCATAGGATTGAAAAAGAGTGAGTAGTCCACATTATAGCTGGGATTGAAGTCTATTTTAACTGTTTCTCCAGCAAGTTACAAGGGTGTGATCCATTCATTACTAGAGTTCGTGTCGAAGCACTAACCGCTAGACCAATAATGATATATCACTTCTAGCTAGTCAGGCGACGGGGAGATAGTATGTGTCCCAGCAGTTTATTATTACTATAGTACCAGTCCTGCTGCTGCTGGGCGTAGACGAAGCTCGCAGTTATATTTGACAGAATATCACTACTACAATCCACCAAGGGTTGCACTCGCCCAGATATATATAAAAACCGTAGGAGAAGCACTAGTACCAGTGGGTTATAGGTGATAGTCATCAAACCTAAGGTAAAGGCTGCTATAGATCCAGTACACAATGGGATTTAAAATATATAAAATTGATACATACAAAATGGAGTAGTTGCATCTAGAGGAGTGATAGAGAGCGATGTTCATATTTACCGGATTCATGGCGGCAGGATAGGAACAGGAGTGGCAGATTGAGATGAAAGCGGCCTTGAAGCGGTCACCGCTGGCAATTCCAGATCACTGGAAGGTTACTTACTAGTAACCTGGCATTGGATCTGAGTGGATCGGCAACGTGCAGGAACCAATGGGGTCTGCTACACGTTCCTGACTTTGATTGATGTCCATCGAAAGTGACTGGAATGTTCGGCTCCCAAAACAGGAAACCAGCTCATCATGTGATGTACAAGGCGGTGAGCTTTACTCCCACGTGACGTGGCAGGATCCACAGCGGTGAGCAACGGCAGATCCGCCTTTTATCTGCATCTGATTGGCTGCGGGAAAAAGTCAGTAGCAGAAAAAAAATAGAGCAGCGGGAAACGGTTGCCATCGAAGCGGCGGCAGGTTTGCCAGCATCAAAACTTTTCCCTTCTTCTTCCTCTTCCTCTCCCCTTCACTTGCTCTTCCTCGTCCTTACCACGCTTTTACGGGTAGACGATCTTTCCTTCTTTCCCTTGCATCATTTCTTGACCATCCATTCGTTGGTCTGATTTTTTCTTCTTCTTCTTTTTCTTCTATTCTTATCTTGTTCGCATCTGTATAATCTCTTGTCAAGATGTCCGGTGTTACTCCCGTTGCCGTCTACGCCCTGCGCGTCCCCGCCAATGGTGCTCTGATCCCCGCTGTCCCGGAGTTCTCTGCCATGGTCAGTAGCTGAAATCACTCCCATTGAAGCCATTGTATGCCTGTTTCTAATCGTTTGCGACAGTTCCGTGTCAGCATGGCTGCCATTGATCCCGATGAGGCTCCCGAGTACGAGGACGGTTTCGACTCCAACAAGCGCCCCCGTGCTACCCTGAAGCTTGTGCGCGCCCCCCCTGGTCTCGACCTCCAGGGCGAGGATGATGATGATGAGGACTGGGAGGACGATGAGGATGAGGATTCCGAGGACGACGAGGAGGTCAACGGTGGTCCCAGCGACAAGGAGAAGGCCCGCAAGCTCAAGCTGGCTGCCGCTCGCAAGGAGCTCGAGGATGCCATGGATGAGGATGACGATGAGGAGGATGATGATGATGAGGAGGGCGAGTTCGACCTCAAGGCCGCTATCTCCAAGCTGATCAAGGGCAAGGCCCCCGCCAACGACGACGAGGAGTCTGATGGCGAGTCTGATGAGGGTCTTGAGCTCGACGAGACTGTCATCTGTACCCTGGACCCCGAGAAGGTATGCGATGCTTGAAAATCTCTTCATGCGAGTATGCGCGCTAACCCTCCATGTAGAACTGCCAGCAGCCTCTCGACATCGTTGTCAACGAGGAGGAGCCCGTCTTCTTCAAGGTTACCGGTACCCACACCATCTACCTGACCGGTAACTATGTCATGCCCGCCGACGACCACCACCATGATCACGACGACGAGGATTCCGATGAGGAGGACTACGACCTTTCTCCCGATGAGGATGAGCTCGACATGGAGGACCTGATCGGTGAGGATGATGAGAGCGACGACCTCGACGACCTGGAGAACCCCCGTATCACCGAGGTCGACAGCGAGGAGGAGGAGGCTCCCAAGCTCGTCGAGTCCAAGGAGACCAAGGGTAAGGGCAAGCGCGCTGCTGAGCCCGAGGAGGCCAAGCCCGAGCCCGCCCTCAGCAAGAAGCAGCAGAAGAAGCTGAAGAAGAACAACGGCGAGGCCGCCCCCGTTGAGGAGAAGAAGGAAGCCAAGGAGGGCAAGGAGGCCAAGAAGGTTCAGTTCGCCAAGAACCTTGAGCAGGGCCCTACTGGCTCCACCCAGCAGAAGCCCGCTGAGAAGACCACCGGCACCCTCGGTGTCAAGGAGGTCAAGGGTGTCAAGATTGACGACAAGAAGCTGGGTCAGGGTGTCGCCGCCAAGGCCGGTAACACCGTTGCCATGCGCTACATCGGCAAGCTCGAGGACGGCAAGGTCTTCGATGGTAAGTCATGAGTTCTATGTGCTTTCGAAGATAAATGGGTGCTAACTATACGTGCAGCCAACAAGAAGGGCAAGCCTTTCACCTTCAAGCTCGGCAAGGGCGAGGTCATCAAGGGTTGGGACATCGGTGTCGCCGGCATGGCTGTCGGTGGTGAGCGCCGCATCAGCATCCCCCCTCACCTCGCCTACGGCAAGCGTGCTCTCCCCGGCATCCCCGCCAACTCCAAGCTGATCTTCGACGTCAAGCTGCTCGAGATCAAATAGATTTGAGCCCCCCTACTAACATCTAACTGCATGTGTCTGTTACTCCATTTGGGTTTGCTTCACCGGTGTTTGGGGGTTCGTTCAATCTAACATCAGTCCTGTGATATCCGACTTGTTTTTCTCTTGCACAGCCTTCCGATGCATATTGGCAGGGATGAGGATATTGCAAGCCATCCAACTATCTTTGTCTAATAAAAAGTGTTTGGTTTGATTCATTCGGAGGCCGTTCTTACTCGGCCGTTCTTGCTCATTAGTATATCTGTAGAGGTTGTAGCACGTATTCTTCCGTTCCTGCCCTGGGTGTGCGTTGTCCCTGCCCCGACGTGCCTGCTGTGGACGTGGCCGTCTGCACTACACTCTGCCTTGTAGTATCTTTCACCATTATCAGTCTCGTCTATCCGTACCGATGATATACCGACACATGCAGCATCTGCTTCCACAAAGTTGCTCTAGTGGGGATTCCCATCGCTGTACACTTTCCCATTCTCTCATTCATACCACTCTCTTTCGTTAGGGTCTCATATCAGCCCACTCCAGGGAGCGCATGATTATTCACTGGGCCCGACTTACTCGGTCCCTTAATCGTCCACCGCAATGATTGTCCATTCCATGCTTGAGCCCATGTCGACCACGCCCTGTGGAAACCCACCACACCCGGACCTCATCGTAGAGACTACTATGGAACTCTACGGGAGCGCCTCAACCGTCTCAGCCGATGCGGAATCTCAGGCAGTCCAACGAAAGAGCAACAGCATCCGGGATCGCATTAAGCAACGGAGCTCCAGGATCCTTTCTTTACTGGGCCTTCGAGGCCCTAGTGGTGGTAGGGCTGTGGATTATGGTGACATAGACACTCGCAGGGCTAACTAGGTGTCTAGCGCTGAAAACAATGACCACGCGGGAGACGACTGTTCCGCAGAAACCCTCCAGTGATAGCAACCCATCACAGTCTTTTCATTCCCTCCCAGCCGACAACCGAGCTCCATCTAGCAGCACCGCCATGGAAGAAGAGCAAGGACATGCGGGCCCCCTGCTAACTTGCATCACTCACGGCTGTACTACTCCGATGCCCGAGACATTCATGGCATCTGAAACTCCGAGGCAGGCCGTCTCTCCAGAACAATCCGTGGCTGCTGATCAGCTACGAAAGTCAGAGACGCGTGAACTACAGAGCAGTTCAGTAGCCGCGGTGAAACGAAGCAAGTCAACGCCTGCTGTCTTGACTAGTATGGTGTCGACGAAACTCTCCACGACATTTGGTAATCCCACTGTCATCCGTCGCTCGCACCTTCGTTCGCCGCTTAACATAACACCCGTGCATTTCCCAGCTTCCTCGCCAGGCCCAAGCAGACCAAGTGAGAGCCCTAACGACAGCTCAAATCCATCGATATCTCCCATAAGTAGTGTATCTCCGTTGGACACACGGTCGACACCTCCCACTTCCGAGGACCCTTCACGGGTTTCCAAACAAGCCCTGGGCGGTTCAGCCAAAGCTTCACCATGTACTTCTCTCCCACCTCAATCGGCAGAAGAAGCTTCCAGCTCGACCGAAGTGTCAGGAACATCGCCGTCGATTGTGACAGTCGAAGCTGCTGCCAATGCCAAGGTTTTCTTCGAGACCTACTTTAACTCCGTATTTTGCGGAACGAATCCTCGCTCACAGCGTCGTCAGGAGTTGGAACAATATATGTATGGATTGCCACTGAGCCCCGAAGAACGAGCTCGCATCTGGGCAAACTGGATCACCCAGGAGCACCATTACCTCCGCCAATGTCGCATCCTCAAGAGTCGATCCCATGGTGGCGGTAACCATGATACGACTGTGTCCCTAGCTGGGTTTGAGGTCATCAAAGTGCTTGGCCGGGGCAGCTTTGGGGTCGTACGCCTCGTGAAGGAAAGGAAAGCAGAGGAGACATGCTCAGATGGCGATGCAGAAGACAAGCTCTTGCGCTGGAAGAATGAAGCCATAAACACTCAATCACATGCGCTGGATTTTCTCCGGTCTGTAAGTGACGGAGCGAAGAGCAACCGACGTAAGATTATGACTGGCGTGAAGAAGGATGTCTTCGCGATGAAAGTCATTCGCAAGTCGGCGATGATTCGCAACAGCCAGGAAGGTCACTTGCGAGCCGAAAGAGACTTCCTGGTGGCATCGGCCAAGTCTCGCTGGGTTGTACCCTTGATCGCTAGTTTCCAGGATCGAGATCACCTTTACCTCATCATGGACTATATGGTGGGCGGTGATTTTCTTGGCCTGCTGATGCGTCGGAACGTCTTGCCCGAGGCAATTGCGCGATGGTACATTGCTGAGATGATCCTCTGCATTGAAGAGGCTCATCGACTGTGCTGGATCCATCGTGATGTCAAGCCGGACAACTTTCTCATCTCAGCCTCTGGTCACCTGAAGATCTCGGACTTTGGTCTGGCCTTTGATGGACACTGGGCACACGATCAGGTCTACTACAATGATCACCGCCACACTCTCCTCAAGCGGCTTGGGATCCGGGTAGATGGTGATGCCCTCGATCAGACCGAGGCGAAACGCATCGCGGAGTCTCCCAGTGTGCTGGATCCAGAACCGGTCAATGACTCCGAGTGGACACCCCCCACTGCTGGCCTCTTGGGATGGCGCGACCGAACCCAGAAACGGCGGTTAGCTGGGAGCATTGTAGGAACGAACCAGTATATGGCGCCTGAAGTGGTTCGCGGAGAGCTGTACGACGGGCGATGCGACTGGTGGAGTATTGGCATTATCCTGTACGAGGTAAGACATTCCCGATAGCTATGAAGGTTACAGATATTGATCTCAGCACCAGTGCTTGTATGGCTTCACTCCTTTTGCTTCGGATGATCGCCAGAAGACGAAGTTGAAAATTCATGTAAGCACCTCGCCGTTTGTTATGTGCAGGCGAGGCATGACTGAGTACTTGAAGCATCATCTCCAGACCCTACATTTTCCGAACCGGCCACCCGATAAACTCATCTCCGCTGAAGCAATCGACCTGATAAACCAACTTCTCCAGGAGAAGGAACACCGCCTGTCCTCCAGCAAGTATCGCGTGAATGACTCGGTCACATTTCGCCTGGCAGCCAAGCATCCCCTCTACAACATGGACCCTCGCAATAAAACCTACCGCGGATTCTATGTCTATCCCAACGACGCTAGAGACATTAAGAACCATCCTTTTTTTAGTTGTATCAACTGGAATGAAATCCACCAGTCAATGCCCCCGTTCATCCCCAAAGTCAAAGGCTGGGAGGACACCCGGTACTTCGATGACGCGGGATATGAGCATGGTCACGACGAGGTCTCTGCGGCCTCAGACGCAGAGCATGCTGAACGCTCCAGCGAAGCAGATGAGCGAGGTGAGTGCCACCAGGATAGGGGAGAGCCACCCCAATATCAGGAGATCGATAGCCTGCTGAGTCCCGCAAGCAAACTGCCGCCGAAGAACCGCCGCAAGGGGAGAGATAAGAAGCGACCCCGGGACAAGTTGCTGCGAGACCGCAAACTACGCATGACGGTCCTGGAGATGCGCAAGAGGGGTGCATTCCTGGGATATACCTATCGCCGACCCCATGCCGTTGCGATGGCATTGGCCCCGGATCGCGGACGAGGACTGCTGGCACGAGGCCATCTATCGGACTTGTACGGATAGAGAGCAGCTGCTTGGCTGTCTTTTTGATCTTTGTGTACCTTGTCTTAACGCAACATGTATTTTGAGCGACCTATTCTTGTCTCTCATTGTTACCAGAGTCTTACTTTTCTATCCATACGGAACACACTTGTCTGGCTATGACATACTATCGATTATCTCGCAAGACAGATGCACGTGGTATCATTCACTGCAAAGCCGAGTGCCAATGATTATTCTTAGAAAAGAAACAGCAAGGTATCTTCCATTTTTCATAACTCAGACATCATAGAACACATCCAACATCCGGCCCCCTCGCCTTAAAACTCCAGATGTAAGTTTCAGTCTGTCAGAAGTGACCCTCAATAATCCACCCAATGCAATACTGCAAAGAGGAAAAGCAAAAATAAAGAAGTATGAACTTGAAAAAAGAAGCAGTAATTCTAACACCCACATATATCGAAGCATTCGGTTTACCTTGGAAGGCGAAATCAGGTATACCAGCGAAAAGAGACGCAGGCGTGAGTCGATATGTAGACATGTTGACATCGAGAAAAAGGTAGGGTATCACGAGAGAGGGATGAAGAGTAGTAAGATACGAATTAAAGCGGTACGGCGAGAGGAGGTACCCCTGCGTACGTGTACTTATTGCGGATGGCGGCAGCCAAAGGGGGAAGAGGAGAGAGGATAGGATAGATAGATCGTAAAGGAGGTGGAAAGGTCTTTTGCGGAAATAATGTGATTTGAATGAATCACAGCGCAGGCGGAGCGCCCATCGCGAAAGCGGAATCGGTGACGCGGTCTTCGGGTTTCATGGTACCGTTGAGAAGAGGACAGAGTCTGTGAGCGAGAAGAAAATGGTGGAAGTTGGTTAGCGCGCTGCTTCTTTCTTTCTTTGTGTCTTTTTTTGTTGTTGTTCTTTGTATGATTTGTGTTTTGTTTGCGCTTTTGTGCCAAATGCATGTGTTGCATGAAAAGATCAATCCTTGCAGCGTGGGGAATGGGAGGAACTGCTGGTAAGTTGAGGGGAAGGGGGTATGCGAGATAGAGGGAGGTATGGGGGTAGGGTAAGGGAATAGTCCTCTGTCTTTCGGGCCATAGTAGTCGGCGGGACCTCGACCTGGGCTGAGAAGGGCTAGCACCAGGAGATTATGAAGCCGAACCTGACAGTACGGGATCCTTGGAAAGGACTACGGATTGGTAAAGAAGGGGAGATCGAAATCTGAAGGGTTGTTTGGAAATCCAAAGGAGGGACCTGGTTTATGGCATACGCACTTTTTGTTTGTCTTGATGTGGCCGACTTGGCCGCAGTTGGCACACTTCCGTTGCGTCCCGGCGGATTTGCCGCCATCGGCGGGGGAGTCTCCTGCAGATGCGCGGGCTGCGCCCTTCTGCTTCTCGCGGGCGAAGCGTCGTTCTTTGTTGCGGTTGAGACGGCTGAGTTCGGCTTCCAGGCTGTGGGGGGTTAGATTGTGAGTTGGTCTTTGGGGAAGGGTGTAGGGGGTGGAGGAGGATGTTAGTGGTTGATAGATTTTGGACGTACAGCTTCTTGTTACGAGCGTCGATCTCCTTGTCGCCCGTTGGCTGAAGTGATTCAAGTCTGGGAAGGATGGTTAGTTTGGTAGATGTTAGAGGTGGATGGGGTGCGCTTACTTGGTGGTGAGTGCCTCGACCCGATGCCGATGCTGGATGTAGTGGCGGATAACCCGGGGATCCCAGACCATATGTTCCTTCTGGTAGAGCTCGCCCTTTTCATCCCTGAACGTCCGCATAATACGCAGAACCTTTCCTTTCTGGTCGGCGGGCATGCTCATTCTGCTGAACTGACTCATTGTCTCGTCGTCACGGCGGAAAGGAGCCGGAGTGGGAGCCTCGGATCGCGGAGTAGGCTTGCCGAACTCCTCCTCTTCTTCGCGGTCAATGTCGCTCTCATCGTCGGAGTGTTCGACTGTTGAAGACAGAGACGCCTTCTGGGAATCCCAGATACGTCGGATGGACGTTTCATATGACTTCTGCTGCCGGGCAACATTGTAACTGTGGCCTCCAAGCTCCTTGAGCCGCTGGGCATCGAGCTTATCTTCCACACTCTCGCCAACCGCCTTGAAGCCGCCCTTCATCGACGTCTTGATAAAACTGAAGCCTTCGCCACGTCCTGTAGGGTCACCTTCTCCGTGTAGCTTGAGCATTGCTTTGCCCTGCGATGCGAGAAGGAAATTGCGGGTTGCCTTCCAAGGTGCCATTTGTTGCTCGAAGCTCTCTCCCTCCTCATCGTTATCTCTGTCTTCGTCTTCCCGTTCCTTTTTCTCGCCTTCGTTGCCGGTTTTCTCAGCATCATTGCCGAAACCAGTGTCGTGCAGATGTTGCTGGCCGACCTGCATAGATTCCAGCAGACAAACGTCCTCGGGTTGGACCCATGATCGAATCACGTCTTGCTCCGGCACAGGTTCCATTGGCACCCAGTACTTGGAGTCTTTGTCGTGCTGGAGGAAATCCTTGACTTTCTGTCGATTTTGCATATCGCTAGTTCCTGGGATGTGCGCGGTGACGTCGCTGATAGAGAGCCGAAGGTCTGGGCTCTTTTTCAACAGGCGGTATACCAGCATCTTCATCCGGTTCTTGGCCACCGTTGTGACCTTTCGCGAATGGGGTCCAGGGATGTCCACCGACGGGAACTGCTGACCGGCAACATAGAGGTTTTCTATGTTACGGATGTAATAATCGCTGCCACCAGAGCCAGTACTGCTACGCACGATCAAAAAGTCGGTCTTCTTGGCTTCGTGCACAAACAATGGGGCACGATACATGGAATTAGAGATGGCCGGAGTCACCTCGCCAGGATCCACGTGTCCGAAGATCGAGAAGGGGCTCTTGTCCTGGGGGAGAAGAACCGCGGTTTCGCCAATTTCGGCCTTGGGGCGAGTGGGGTCTTCCATGCTCTTTCTCCGATAGTAGTTGATGATCCGATTTGACATACCGAAATTAGACAGCACAAGTGGAACCTCTTCGGAGTATTCCACCAGCAGAACGTTGGAGTTGTCAGCCAAAGAGAGAGATTTTGTAGAATCGTAGAGTTGCTTGACGTCCTTGCCCTTTTGGTGCTTTCGTTTGATATAAGCCGGGTTCTTGAACCAACAGGTCTGTCCAGGCCGGAAAGAGAGAGCAGGGCGATGGTAGGAACGCGCCTCGGCCTTGGACAGCTCGGTCTTGTAGTAAGGCCATTGCAGACGCAGGGCAGGCATACTGTGCTCCAGGGTAACGTTGCCCAGGGTACTCCGAACCTTGTTCTGGTGGTTCTGCTTAAGCATATCGTATGCCTGATCGTTCGAGATGTTGTAGCGCGAAGTCAGGCGTTTTGTGACACTGGCATCCAACTCGTCACGCTTGAGAGCACCCAGCGCCTTTGGCTTCTGCGCCGCAGCCTCTGCGCCTCGCTCGTCAAGGAGAATATGAGGATCGTTCATGTCAACTGTGACCTTTTGAGCGATGCGGGAAGTGGCTTGTTGCGGGTCATCAATCACTGGTACATCGATATGGGACAAGGCGACAATTTCAAGCGGATCTCTTCCAAGTTTCCGTTTCTTCGCCGGGCGGGTGGTTTCGAGAAGCCAGTCGTCTTCCATGTCAACATCCGCCTCCTTGACCTCCGCCTCCTCAACATCCAGAATGGAGAAGTCATCCCTCACATCCCAGTCGGCACAGACAACGCGAAGGTCATGATGGGTAATCCCCCCAGGAAGCACCTCCTCCGTATCCGTGTCCTGATCAAACTCTTCCTTGATCTCCTGTTCCTCCTCTTGGGCCGCCTCCAAGACAGGAACCACGCCAGAATGCTCCGACTCCAGCGAACGTTTAAGCGTCTGGCCTCCAGACTTGAACGATCGCTCTTGGTCGTGAGCTAATTCGATGTTCACTTTGTTAGGGATGACCGGCTTCGGGGGCTTGAGGGGCTGCTTTCCAACAAAGAAGGCCTTCTTGTGGGGAATCAACTCAAGGAAACGCGGAAGAGCATTCTTATCGAACATGGGGAATAACGACTGCAACAGCTCCTCGACATTCTCTGGCGGCGCAGGCACGTTTTCCGGACCATAAGACGACATAGCGAACAGAGCCTGCTGGAGCTTCCAGGCGCGAAGAGAAGCTGGATCCATATCCTCCGCGGTCGGACTCAACGCCTCGTCTTCCTGCATAGGTTCGTCCTCGTCTTCGTCCATCGGCATGGGTTCGGGTTGCGCGGGCGCAGGTTCGACAGGCTCGGGAGCCACTGTTGGCTTCTCGCCCTCTCCCTCCTCCTCGAAGAACAAATCTCGTGTTGGGTCGGCATGGTCTGCTGGGGGAGAAGAGGGGCCATCGCCGAATAGGTCGTCCAGTTCATCACGCGGTGGTTGCTGAGTTTCCTCCTCGTGGCCACCGAAAAGATCATCCTCCTCCGCTTCAAACAAGCCTTTATCTGCGTCGTCTTCGTGATCCCCGACTCCGTTGTCAGCGGGCGGCCCGGTTCGCTCTTCTTCTTCGGGTAGCTCGTCGTCATCGAAATCTTCGTAGTCTACCGCGTCGTCTGCCTTTTCGCCGGGTTCCAAGTCGCGGGAGAGGAAGTCAAACGACATGTCGCCTTCCCCGAAGGGGCCGTTCATCTGTCGCATCACATTCTCAAAGGCGGTATCCTCCGCGTCGGGCGCGGGAGGCTCTGTGGCGTGAGGCATTTTGATAACGTGTGAGATGGAGGGTAATGTGAGAGATGAGCTGGGAAAGACAGTTGATATCAGCGCCCGGGAGACAGGGTAGTGAAGAGGCGGAGCATCGGTTGGTGAATGTGAGGTGAGGTAAAAAGGGCGCGCTTGTGAGATGGCATCGAGACGACCTCGTCTACCAGAGACTTGAATGGGTCAAACGCGATGAAAAGGATAGCTCGATGAGCTCGACCTCTGATGGCCGAGACCCGGACAAGCAATGCTGTCTCTCCCTCGCTCCCGTCGGAGATTCCGGCTGGCTGCTGAGACCAGTCACGCAACACCCCGGCTGTTTTGGAAACGGTTCGTGTCACGAGATACACTAGCCTGAACTGGGTTAGTGCGGTCAGAGGTTCAAGACAGCCCTCAAAACAACTTCACGCAGCTCGCCCTCTACTGCCACTAGTTTGGAGTCCTACTACTACGAATCATCCATTCTATAAACAAACTGGAAACCCAATTCAGCTATGCTGCTGCAAATTGTGGCGCTATTTCTATGATCCTCTGCTGGGTGAGCAAGCCTGAGGTCATCATGGGGGTTTAATCAACTGTGCACGGGTAAGAATATATTCTTGAGTGAGGATTCAGGCGACCGACTTTAGTACTGAGACCGGGTGCAGTATAAGGCAATCTCAACCTAAATCTTCGCCCATGGACATATTCATGTACGACTAGAGTGTGCTATGACTAGATTGAAATTCCATTTACAACTAACAAACTAGAATTTTCTACCAAGTGGCTGCTTTGGCCGTATCTGAAGCCATCATTATCATAGTCAGGAACCGGAATTTTCCAGCTGCGGTTTTCTAGTCCGGGGTCTGTTATTTGCATGATCGCAATGGCTGTGTCAACACCGTATCCGCTCTTGAATGCCTTTCATCTCTCTTTTATCATATTCTCACATTCAGTCTACTTAGTGTTAATCCTGGCCCAGTGATTGATCAACAAATCCATAGCCTTGATTGTCATCGCAGATCTTTCGACCATGGTGCTGCTAATCTAGTAATAGTTCTGCGTATCGCAGTACGGATTCCCACCAATCAAGACAGCCATGCAATTCTGTTGCGGCTTCATCCACTTCTTCCTTGTCCCACTATCTAGAACCATAAAAAGAGAAGTGCTTATAGGCACCCAAAATCAACCACTCGGCTTCCTCAAAATTCTTCTTCGGATAGGTTTCCTTGCTTGAGTTGCACACGAGCGATATGATATTGGGGTCTGGGTGCCAGCGTACTTGTCTAGGTCGTATAACGCCCATCACTAGTATTCCAAGGCCGGAGCCTCGTAGTCTGGACCCCCAAGCGCTATATATGCCTCAGCTAGATCATTTGCCGCTAATATGATATTCCTGTGAAACTTCGAGGTTTGGCCCCTTTGCTTCTTCTTCTCGAAGTCCTCCTTGAACCCTTTGTAGGTCGCTGAAAACAATTCCTGCGCTTAAGAGAACATGTAAAATGTGATAACAGTGAGTTGACTTCAAAGCCATAACATACAATATACCCTTACTCACCAGTCTTATCCGATGCTACATCTCAACTGGTTATCTATAGACTATGTACACGCCCTTTCCTTTATTGCCTCCCTTCACCTCACCGTATCCCATCCCACTCTTACTCAAATCCTAACCCCAATCCATTTACCAGAAGATATCAACTACTCAAAACTATGCAACCACCTGACCAAATCCGAATCCTCATCCATCCAGGCATTAAAATCCCACGACATCCAATCCCCTGCCACAAACCCTGGTCCTGGCCCTCCCCCTCCCACATCCCCCCTACCATTCCCATCCTCCACCTCCTCCCCCGCCCCCACCTTCTCCCCGGCCTCCGCAACCGGCCCCCTTCCCCCCAATACCCGATCAAGGATATGCCTAATCACTGACCTCGCCTGCTGACAAACATCATAGTTCCCCGCCTGTCTGGGCACCACATATTCAAGATCCGCAGCAAAGCGGCTCAGATTTTGGATGATTTCCGAGCGGGGAAATCCCCCTGCTGACTGAAAATGGGAATCGGGGTTCTGGAATTGATGCAGTAGTTCGATAGCCAGGACGCCGGCAGGGGGGAGGCCGAGGGAGGAGATCTAAAAAATCTATTCGTTAATATTCGTTTACCTTCAGTTCAGAAGAATGTACAGCCCCGTAGGAAATGGGAAGAAAGAAAGAAAGGAATAGATAAATAGAACACAGGGGAATAATATGGTAGGAGAAGAGGAACGAGAAAGGGAAACATACAATCCAAACCACAGAATTCCCATCTTCCCCACCGACAGCGCGATTGGCAATCAACAACAACAAATTATCCAGCAGCTCGTGGGCGACAGCAATCAATTTCTCTGTGCTGGCGCTCGTCCGCTGGACTAAGATCCGCTGGAGAATGAACTCATTATACAATGAATCCATGTGCAGGAAGAGACAAACTTTGGCTGTTTCGGGCCAGCGGTCGAAGTCCGAGGGCGTGCTGACGCGGTACAGCGATGAGGGGAGGGAAAGACGAGTTTTTGTGGAGAGGGTGGAGATGTCTCTGATTATCATTTTCCATCAGTTCTCTGTAAGTCATCCCTGAAAGAAGATGAAGAGAGAGGTGGTTTGGGGGGAAGGCATCTCACGCAATTTTCTCCTCCAACCCTAACCCCTCTCCTTCCCCGATATTCGATTCCAGAGAAACTTCTAGGACTGCCTCCCTTACAACGCCCATCATGAAGCATGCTCTGGGGTATGATCCCCGTGTATACGCCCCCTCCGCGTTCCAGCCATTGCTATCTAGGCGGGCCATTGCGGCGTCGAGAACTTCTGGCGAGGCTATGATATCTGTGAAGGCTATGTCCAGTGGCGGGTCAATGGTGATATACCGACGGATCATGCGGGGTGGACGACCCAGAAATGTGGAGAGACCTTTGTCCATGGCGTAGGTGGCGACGACGAGGCGCTTGCGGTGTTCCGCGCGGAAGAAGGGGAGTTTGGATGTGGCATCGCGGTGGTGGTAGCCAAGGGTGAAGAGAAGGGTTATGAGTGCAGAGAGTGATTTGTAGGGGCGGTAGTCTGTTTCTTTGTTAGCATTGGTGGGGACGTAGGATATGGAGAGAGGGTATTTAGGAAGAGGATACTAGGGAATTGGGAGGGAAAGGAAAGGGGTACCGTAATCCCCATAAAGCAGGGTAAGAAGCGAAGCATGTTCCAGTGTCGCCCAACACAGCTGTTCGGAAATGACACCGGTGTAGTCAAAAAACCGAAGACAGATCTCACTCGCTGACACACAGACGGCTGCGAGACCCTTTCTGTCAAGTGGGGGACGGTTCGGGGGGGGAATACGCAGCCAGATCGTGTTGCGGGAGGAGACATGCACTGGAGCCAATTACCGCAAAGACTAACCCTATAATCTCCCAGCGGTTCGGCATACAGGAGAAATATTCTGTGGGGGTGATGGCGGGGTCTACGACTAAAGGTTTGGAGGAGGCGGTAAAAATGCTTCGGGAGAGGGTAAGTAGAGAAGGGAGCGGGTTGGCGGGCTCGGTGATGGTCTCGTGCAGCATTGTTCGGATGGAAGACAGGATTAGACGCAGGGCAGGTGGGCAGAACAGATCGCCTTGGCAGTGGTCGAACCGTGCCGTGGCCATGTGTTCGTATAGGGCAAAATCATCGAGCAGGATAAGGAGCAGCTCGGCACCGAGCTGGATCTGGCTGTCGTCGATGATGGCGCTGGTGTTTTGTTGCAGGGACTTGGCGAAGAGGGCTATGCTGGAAGAGCCATCGTCGATGTCGTCGCGCAGCACAGACAGGTAGCTGGTGGGCCCGAAGACGCCGGTGCTGGGGGTCGAGGTGCCGCGGTGACTCGAGTCGGCAAGGTAGCGGTCACGGAGATGGCCAGGGGGCAGGGGCGGAGTGACCAGTGAGGGAGGAGGCAGCGGGCTCGTCCAGGCACTGCTGAGACTGGCACTGGCAGTAATGTTGCTGCCACTGCCGCACGAAATGGAGTCGGTGGAGCTGCGATCCGTCCTGTTCGGATGCTTGGACATCGGGGCCGGTTGGTACACGCACAGAGCCGGCTTGCGTCTGCGTCGGCATCGGCCGCAAGGGACGGCGTGGTCGCATCGAATCTTGGATTTGCGGCATGGCTCGCAGGAGCTGGGCACCCCGTTGGAACGCAGTAGCGACATGGCGTGTGTGTGTGTGGGATGGAAGAGGTCGGAGTGAGGAGAGGGAGGCGAGACTTTTGGTGAAGGACTTGCGGAGTTGGGGTCGGGGTCGGGGTCGGGGTGGAGATGGCCAGATGCAGGTGAGATGTCCATGCATTAGACTGAATCAGAACAGAAATGGGAGCTGACTAGGAGGTAAGCGTGGCACTATTCTTTTTAGTCTAATGGTTTCATTCCTGACCAATTGTCATCCATCTGGTTATCTATTAGGCTACTATATTCGTGTGTCGTGCTAACCCTAAGTAGGAGTGCATTTCGGTCATTCTTCACCCCAACTCCTACCCTGATCCTTCCAGTCCGAGTCACACAATAGAGCACCAATAGAGTACCATGGAAACGATTCCCTCAACTAAAGGGTATGGGTTCCCGATCCCTCGACTAGCGGTAACGAAGGATTGCATAGGTTACTCCTCAAACCGCTGCCTGCCCAACTCCTCCTTCTCCATACTCACCTCCTTCGTAAAACATGACGCCACCAGGCCCATTCCCGCAAAGACAATCAGGACAATCCAAATGACATGAAACGAATGGCTATATACGCCTGTCACCTGATCCAAGACCTCCTTCCCCACCTGTCCCCTCAGATCCCTCAACTGAGGAATAAACCCTACCGCGGCCTGACTATTCTCCAGCGTGGCCAGGCTACTAGGCAGGGTCCCCAACACCTTGATCGACTTTGCAAAGACACTGCTAAACACTGTCGACCCGATCGCTAGACCGACTAACCCGCCCAGTAACCGGAAAAAGACCAACAAGCCGACAGCAAACCCCGTGTCGTCCACGCTGGCGACGCTGGCTTGCACCGGGAGGACAAGGACGGTAAAGAGAACGCCGACTCCCAGGGAGACCACGATGGGGAGACCCGTGCGCAAGTGCACGGATGAGGTGGGGGTGATGATGTGGAGGAGTCCAGTACCGACCGTGAGGAACACCCAGCCCGTCCAGATATTGACGCGGTATTTGCGGAGGTAACTGACGGAGATTGGGGAGACGCAGCTGAAGAACAGGGACATGACGTTCATGGGGAGCAGAGTAACGGAAGCGTGCAGGGGGGTTTCGTAGAAGGCGGCTTGGTAGAAGAGCGGGAGGTAGGTGTTGAGGGTGTAGGTGACAAGGCCGTGGAGAAAGCCACCCAGAAAGGTGGTGATGGCGGTGGCGGATTTGAACAGCCGGTAAGGCAGGACAGGCTGCGCGGGGGCACGCTCGTAGACGACGAAGAGGGCCAGGACGACCAGGCCGAGGATCAGTGGGAGAAGGGTCCGCCAGGAGCCTAAGGGATAGAGAGCCCCGGCCCAGCTGAGCGGGAGGACGAAGGCGGCGCAGCCGGCCACGAACAGGGCCATCCCGAGCAGGTCCATAAGACCGAGCTTCTGGAGGAATGTGCCATCGACAGGGCGCAGGCGCAGGAAGAAGAAAGTGAGAATGAAGCTGGCTCCGATGAGAGGCAGGTTGATCCAGCCGATCCAGCGCCAGGTCACGTACTGAGTGAAGAGTGAGCCGACAATAGGGCCGAGCAGGGCTCCGGCGGCCATGGGGATAGCCAGTAGGCCGAGATACGTGGGGCGCTCTTTCATAGTGGTCATGTCAGCAGTGATGATCTCGTTCAGCACATCAAGGCCACTGCCCCCGAGCCCTTGGATGGTGCGGCCGACGATAACAGTGGCCATGTTCGGGGCCAGGGCGAAGACGAGCGAGCCGACGACGAAAAGAAAGTATGCGGTGTGCAGCGGGATCTTCCGCCCCAGCACGTCCGAGCTGCTCAAGTACAGGGGCTGCACGACCGACACGGCCAGCATAAAGCAGGTGCTGGCCCAGAAGGACTCCAGGGTCGTGCCTCCGAGATCGCGGGCGATAATGGGGATGGCCACCGCCAGGGTGGTCGTGTCCAGCGACACGATGAACACCATGAATAGCAGCCCCACGAAGGCCAGATGGAAGGAGAGCGGCTTCTTGGATTTCACCTCGGGGGGAGACTGTTCCTCTGATCCTTTCTCTTCGGTGGACAGATCCATGGCGGATTGTCCTTCCGACGCCGTCTTCTCGTCCGCAGGATTATCCATGGTCGTGATTCGAGTAAAGCACCGTAACACCCCAAAAACGACAACCGCCAGTCGGACATACTGCGACTCAAATACTCGTGTAGGGGAGAGAGTCCCCTGCAGGCTCCATCGGGGTCGGGGTCGGAGTGGATCCCTTGTCAGGATCCCTGCATCGGCCAATCCATCACGACTAACGAGAGATCCGAGGGTCGTGCCACTGCCGCCCCCCACCCCAAGCCGGGACAAGAATTCTTAGCCAGATAAGCAATTTAGGGTTGGCTTGTGTTTTTTACCTCCCCTCTCCTACTCGGGTCAAAATGATGGATCTTAGAGGGAATTTTAGAACTGCCAGATCAAGACCTGAGTACTTTCTTTCTATGCGAGAGTTCTCTGACTATTTACATCCATCTACTCGCTCCCATTCAGATTAGCCTGGGCAATCAACGCATACACATGCCGCGCCGCAGCTGGCACCCTCGTTCGATCCCCGCTACTCTCAATCTCCAACATCTCCTGGGCCCATTCCGCAATCGCAGCAACCAGGGCTTTCACCTCCGCGTCCGTGTTCGACGCATGGAAGATGATCCGAACGCGTTCCGTCCCCTTGGGTACCACCGGATACGAGATAGGGAAAACGGAGAACCCGGCCCGTTGCAGGTGGAACGCAAGGTAGAAGTTGTGCTTGGTGCGCGTCCGTAGCTGGATGATTTGGGTGAGGAATGGTTGGACATCCGCGTCTTCGTACGTGGGAAGACGGAGAAGCCCGGTGTCGCTGGCCCTGCTCCAGATCGGATTGGAGGTCATGGTCTCCAGGAAGAATTTCACGATCTCCTGGACGCGGTCCTGGGCCTGCTGCCGTGTCAGCTCAAGCTTTCGGTAAAGTAGGGAGCCACATCATACCTCTTGTGTCTCGCCACTGCGCAGGAGCTGGTATGTAGCGCGAATGGAGGCCAGCATGGGGAAGGACGGCGCCACGGAGAACATGATGCTGCGGGCGTAGTTGATCAGCATTGTGCGCACGGTCTCGTTGCATAGGATTACGGCTACCGAGTCAAGTCAGTGTATCCTTCAGCAACACCGGTTCAATCGTGTCTTACCTCCTGTCGCAGCCAGCGCCTTCCCAAACGTATGCAGTCGGATCGCCACTTCGCTTTCCAGCCCCAGGGCGCTCACCAACCCAGCACCGTTGGGCCCAATCACCCCAGTGCTGTGCGCCTCGTCAATGACAAATTGAACGTTGCCGTCCGGAAACACCTCCTTGGCTGTTTCAATCAGCTCCTGGAGCGGGCAGATATCCCCGTCCATGCTATAGACCGACTCGACCGCCACCAAAACCGATCGGGTGCCGTTGCGGATCTGGGGCTGCGATTCCTGGACGGCCACCAGGGCCTCATACAGCGATTCGGCATCATTGTGGCGGAAGGCCTTGCGACACAGGGCCAAGCTGTCCTTCATACCATCGTGCACGCTGGCGTGAATGAGCTCATCATACACAATGGCATCGCCGGGGCGTGGAATAACGGAGAAAATGGCGGCATTGCCCAGGCTCCCCGTGTTGACAATCAACGCAGCCTCGGCGCCGTGAAATGCAGCCAGCTCACGCTCGACGTCTTCCAGGTATCTGGAGTTGCCGTCGGTCAGACGTGAGCCGTGGCTGCTGAGCTTGAAATCGGGGTGTTGGGCCAGCTCGTCCAGGTAGCCTTTGCGGACGGAGCCCGAGGTGCTCAGCCCGAGGATATCGGTAGAGGAAAAGTCCACCATGGAGGTTTGCTCTTTGGTGTGCAGCATGATGCAGCCGTGCTGGGCTCGGCGCACGTCGAGCTCTTCTTCCAGGTTCCGGTAGAAGACGGAGGCATTCTTCATGCTGGGGCCCTTGGGCTGTTGGGCTCTCGCCCATTCAACAATGAATGAATCAGACATGTTGTGAGTGCGTAGAAGGTATTACGGCAGGAACCACAATATTGACTGCGAGGGGAAAGCACATGCTCAAGACCTTCTAGGGGGCTGGCTGAGTGGGCTATATCAACACCCGTGGTATCTGGGGCTGCCGTTGTGGTGTCAACCCGGCATCCCTGATAAGAATTTTCCTACAATCAGTTCGCGGCATTGCGCTATTCCTTGTGTAAGATCGGGTATGCAGCTCGCAGCTCTCGGTCGTCCTATCGTGTGGGATTCAAATACAGTCAGACTGCGCCGGAGGTATAGTGTAGGTGCAGGAAGGGAGGGGGCGAATAAGTAGTGACATCTCAACTACTTCTTTTGGACAGGAAATTACTCTAAAGCCATGGACAAGGAGCCCGGTTAGGGAAAGGGGCGGCAGTCTAGATCATACTCGACACCAAAATCTTACGGCAGCCATGCAGCATTAACTTCGACCATCTTCTGCGGGGAAACATGATAAGCACGGTTTCCTGGTGCACCATGCACCACTGCGGCCCGTTTTTTACAGAATACTACAGGTGTCTACCTCTTCATTGGTCCCCTTTTTCTTTGTAATGTACAAACGTCTGGATTACAGGAAGGAATGGGGACTTACGACTGATATGAATAAATATGAGCTATCAACGGCCATTGGGGCACAATACAATCAGGCTAAGACTCAAGGAAGATGACGTGAGTAGGGAGGGGGAGAGGATAAGCCTGACGGCTTTCGATCATGACATCTATCTCAGAACCAGAGAAAGTTAGCAAGGGAACAATGCCATCGGCCGGCCATATAAAGTTTCGTCTCTCGCAACGCAGGCTTCACGTTTTCAGGGCCAGAAATTCAACATTTTAGAAGTCAGCCTTTTTATCTTTATTGTTCACAATGCCCTCCCGAGAAAATGGTCTTTCTGGCCCGGTGCCTAACCCCGGGGGTCAAAGTGATGATGCCACTACGGCATTCTCCCCCATCGCGATATGTGGTATGGCCCTTCGTCTTCCCGGTGGATTGGGGAGCCCGCAAGACCTCTGGGACTTCTTGATAGCCAAGGGCGATGCGCGGTCCCGGGTCCCCGAGTCTCGGTACAATGTATCGGCCTTCCACTCCCCATCCAAGCGGCCGGGTACGGTGGTGACCGAGTACGGCTATTTCCTCGACGAGAGCATTAAGCTCGGTGCGCTGGATGCGTCCCGCTTCTCGCTCAGTCGGGCCGAGCTGGAGGCCGCCGATCCCCAGCAGCGCCAGATGATGGAGGTGGTGAGAGAGTGCTTCGACGATGCAGGGGAAGTCAACTTCCGTGCCCGGCCCATTGGCTGCTACATGGGCTGTTACGGGGAGGACTGGCTGGAGTTGCAAAACAAAGACCCCCAGCAGAATGGTATGAACCGGGTCGATGGATATAGTGACTTCATGCTGTCAAATCGGGTCTCGTATGAAATGGACTTGCGCGGGCCCAGGTATGTGATGCCTTCTTCTTCTCCTCCTTCTCTCTCCCCAAGAGGATAGGATTACTGACGTTGCACAGTATGACCATCCGCACTGCGTGCTCGTCTGCGCTAGTCGGGCTGAATGAAGCCTGTCTGGCCCTCCAACGAGGCGACTGCGACGCCGCTATCGTCGGGGGTCCAAGCTTGATCTTTGCGCCAGCCACAACGGCGTTCATGACCGAGAAGGGGGTACTGTCGCCCGACGGGTCTTGCAAGACCTTCTCGGCCGATGCGAACGGCTACGCAAGAGGCGAAGCCATCACTGCCGTGTTCGTCAAGCCTCTGGCCGCAGCCCTTCGCGACGGGAATCCCATCCGGGCGGTGATCCGGTCCGTCATGTCCAACAGCGACGGGAAGACATCCGGCATCTCCCACCCCAGCACCGACAGCCAGGAGGCTCTGATCCGGAAAGCGTACCAGGCTGCTGGCATCACGAACATGGCCGAGACAGCCTTCGTTGAGTGCCACGGCACGGGCACCCCGACAGGTGACCCGGTCGAAGTGCAGGCCGTTGCGCGGGTCTTTGGGGAAGCCGGCGTGTACATCGGATCGGTCAAGCCGAACCTGGGCCATTCCGAGGGCGCATCCGGGCTGACATCCCTGATCAAGGGCGTCCTCGCCCTGGAGCATCGCATCATCCCCCCCAACATCAAATTCACCGCTCCCAACCCGAAGATTCCATTTGAGGCCTGCAAACTGACGGTGCCTCTCGAGCCAATCCCGTGGCCCGAATCGCGATGGGAGCGGGTCAGCATCAACTCGTTTGGCGTGGGAGGATCCAACGCGCATCTCATCCTCGACTCGGCCCGCAGCTTCCAGATCCCCAGCCCGACCCCGGACAATTTCCTCGCCGGCCCCCAGCTGCTGCTTCTCTCCGCCAGCGCGGCCGGATCGCTGCAGCGGATGACCGCGACCTTCGAGGACTGGGTCCCGCAACACCAGGACCAGCTGCGCGATCTGGCCTACACCCTGGCCACCCGTCGAGAGCATCTCCCGCATCGAACCTTCCTAATCGCCGGTCCAGACCGAATCGGCACCCCATCGCCTGGCAGAAAGGTGCCCAGCTCCGCGCCCAGCCTCGCCATGGTCTTCACCGGGCAAGGCGCACAATGGGCGCGCATGGGACGGGACCTCCTCCTGCGCCCCGACTTCTCGTTTCAAAACACCATCCGGGCGCTGGACAAATACCTGAAAGCGGCCCCGAATGGTCCCGAGTGGCGATTGGAGGAAGAGCTTATCAAGCCGGCCCTGACGTCCCGGGTCCAGACAGCCGAGCTCTCGCAGCCCCTGTGCACAGCCGTCCAAATCGGCTTGGTGGATCTCTTCGCCGCAGTCGGAGTCACCCCTGCGGCGGTGGTCGGCCACAGTAGCGGGGAGATTGGGGCTGCCTACGCGGCGGGTGCCTTGACCGCGCGGGAGGCCATCATCGCGGCCTGGCAGCGAGGGCTGGCTGCCGCGGGGCAAACCCGCCCTGGCTCCATGGCGGCCATCGGGCTGGGATGGGAGGAGGTCCAGAGCTTTCTCTCGCCTCCCACCGTGGTGGTCGCCTGCGAGAATTCCCCCAAGAGCGTCACTCTCTCCGGAGACGCCCAGGAGGTGCAAGCCGTGGTTGCACGGATCAAAAAGGAGCATCCCACGGTGACGGCTCGGCTGCTCAAAGTCGACAAGGCCTATCATTCCTACCACATGCATGAGGTCGGACACAACTACTCAGCTACCATCGGCCGCGACCTGGTTGGAAAGCGTCCCGGGAAGCCGTTCTTTTCCAGCGTCACTGGCAAGCAGGAACAGGATCTGTGTCTGGACGCGGTCTACTGGCAACGCAACCTGGAATCCCCCGTGCTTTTCCGGGCCGCCGTCTCTGAGCTTCTGGACCATGTCGATAATGTCGCCTTTCTGGAGATCGGACCACACGCCGCGCTCGCAGGGCCCGTGAGACAGATACTGAGCACTCGGGCGTCTGCGAACCCGGCCCCCTACATCGCGGCGATGAGCCGCGGAGAGAATTGCGTGGAGTCGTTCCTGACAGCGCTGGGAAAGCTGTTCCAGCTGAATGTCCCGGTCAATCTGAATGCTCTCTACCCCTCCGGATCCTGTCTGCCCGGACTGCCCCGGTACCCCTGGGATCATGGGGTCGACTACTGGCGCGAATCCCGCATCTCCCGCGACTGGAGATTCCGCCAGTTCCCCAGCCATCCGCTTCTCGGCGATCGTCAGCTGCTCGGCACCGACCTGGAACCGAGCTGGCGAAACATGATGCGAGTCGAGGACTCTGACTGGCTGCGGGATCATAAAGTGGAGGTGGATATCATTCTCCCATGTGCGGGCTATCTGTCAATGGTCGGGGAGGCGATCCGACAGATCACTGGATCACAAGAGAGCTACACCTTGCGAGGTGTTGTGATTAGCTCGGCCCTGGTGCTGCGCGAGGGAACGCCCACCGAGGTGGTGACGACCTTCCACCCCCACCGGCTGACCGATTCGCTAGATAGCCAATGGTGGGAATTTACTATCGCCTCGTACAACGGCCAGACGTGGACCAGGCACTGCACTGGCCAGGCCTCGGGGACGGCGGCGGAGGAGAGGCATACGCGGACGGCAGCCCTGAGGAGTTCCCTGCCGCGGAAGTTGCAAGCCAAGAAGTACTACGACCTCCTGGACCGCGCGGGCTTGAACTTCGGGCCGATGTTCAAGCGCCTGACCGATATTGAAACGGGCACGGGGGAGACGTTGGCGAGAGCAAAGGTGACCACCGGCCAAGCGGGAGACGAAAAGTACTATCACCTCCATCCCAGTCTCATCGACGCCTGCATTCAGGCGGCTCCTCTTGCTGGCCTCCTGGGCACCGTGGATGCCAAGGCATACCGACGAGTGCCCACCAAGATCGACCGGGTGATCGTCCGGCAAAGCCCCACCAGGGTCGATGACTTGCAGGTGTCGGCCTCGGCCACGTATGTCAAAGGCACCGGGGAAGTGATCGGGCAGGTCCAGCAATGCATCGCAGATGGTGTCATTGTCATGCACATGGAAGGCTTGAAGCTTTCGCCTCTCGAAGAGGCCGGCAAGGCAGGACAAGCCGACAGTCTTGAAACGACCGCCCGCCTGACATGGGGACCGCATATTGACTTCTTGGACGCCGCTACGCTGATCAAGCCGTCGTTTCCTCGGCATCTGTACACGCCGGCTTTGGACGAGCTGGCTCGGCTAGGTATGATCTACGGCAGTCGGCGCATCAAAGATGCTCGCACGCGGGTGGCGCATATGCCCCTGTATCGCGACTGGATCAACCGCCAGGTGGAAGCAATGCGGCTGGACGAAAAATGGTCCACTTTCCTCACCCTCGAGGATGATGCCCTTGTGGAGAGGATCGAACGACTGGTGCAACATCTGTCCGAGACGCCCGTCGTGGACTGCGCCATTGGGCTCCAGAAAGTGGCCACCAACATCGCGGCGCTCTTCGCCGGGGAAACAGAGGCCCTCGATATCCTTCTCGCGGATGACACCCTATATAAGCTCTATGTTGTCACCGACGCGTGTGATCGGTCCCAGTTTATCCAACACCTGGCCCATACCAAGCCCAACCTGCGGATCCTGGAGATCGGAGCCGGCACGGGCGCGACGACAGCGAGCATCCTGAAGCTGCTACGCCTGCCCGGCTCGACTGGCTCCGGTGGCACACCCTCCCTTTTCTCCAAGTACACCTACACAGATATTTCCTCGGGCTTCTTTGTGACCGCCAAGGAGCGGTTCAGTGGCGAGAGAAACATCGAGTATCGCACCCTGGACATCAGCAAAGACCCGTCCGACCAGGGATTCGATGGGGAGAAGTATGATCTGATTCTTGCGACCAATGTTCTGCATGCGACCAACTACCTCGGGGAAACCCTCCGGAATGTCCACAAGCTTCTCGACCCGAACGGGCGACTGCTCCTTCACGAGCTGAACTCCCCCTCCAAGTGGCCCAACTTCATCTTTGGCACGCTAGCAGGCTGGTGGTACGGCGGACCGGATGGAAGACCGGACGAGCCGTGTGTGACCCCGGCCCGCTGGGAGTTGGAGCTGAAAGGCGCCGGCTTCGCCGGCTTGGATGCCGTGGTGCTTGACGGCGAGCAGCCGCATCAGCTGAACGCCATCATGGTGGCCAAGCCGCGGGTCGATGATGGGACAGACCAGAAAAAGCCCGTCAGTCTGCTTTGTGACCCCCGTGACGACAGCTATGCGGAATCCTTGTCGCGGCAGCTTAACAGCCGAGGCTACGAGGTGCAGACATTTCGGCTGGGAGACGAACTGCCCCAGTCCCAGGATATCATCTCCCTCCTCGACTGCACTCGCCCGTTCTTTGAAGACATTGATGCGGCTCGTTTCCGGGCCTTCCAGCACCTCCTGAATACCATCGGGGAGTCGGGTCTGCTGTGGATCACCCATCTGTCCCAAGTCAAATGCCCCGACCCCCGGTTTGCCCAGGTCATCGGCGCAGCACGCTCCATTCGCTCGGAGATGCTGGTGGACTTTGCGACGTGTGAAGTGGATGACATTCGTTCGTCGCTGGACAAAATCATTGACGTCTATGCCAAATTCCATACCCGAGCGAGGGACGAATCGTTGAATCCGGATTATGAGTATGCCATTGTGGGCGGGACAGTCTCTGTGGGACGGATCTACCCCTTTTCGCTCAAGGAGGACCTGGTCGTGGCGACCAAGCCAGACGATTGGGCCGCTCTCGACATGGAGAAGCCCAGCCGCCTGAGCTCCCTGCACTGGAGGGCTTCGAAAGGAAGACCCCTGACTGGGGACGAAGTCGAGGTGGAGATCTACGCCGCCGGCCTGAACTTCAAGGTAAGAACGGGTCCCTCTCTGCCATGCATGCCTGATGGGCTACTAACCTCCTCCGCTAGGATGTTTTGGGTGCGTTGGCTGTGGTTCCGTTCCCCGACAATGGCCTGGGCGTCGAAGCCAGCGGAGTCGTTCGCCATGTGGGCCCCGATGTCAAGCGGCTGTGTCCCGGAGACCGGGTCATGCTGCGGGAAGATGGGGCTTTCGCGACCCATGCCATTGCCTCCGAGAAGCTCTGTGCGAAGATTCCCTCGGATCTCTCCTTCGAAGACGCAGCAACCATGCCGGTCGTGTTTGCTACCGCCATCTACTCGATGTTCGATCTCGGTGGATTGCAGGAAGGACAGGTAAGCCTCGCCCCATCCATACCAGGCCAGAGGGGCCGCAATGCTGACTCCCAGACAAGTCGATCCTAATCCACAGTGCATGCGGTGGTGTAGGAATCGCCGCCATCCAGCTGGCTCGGATGACAGGGGCCACCATCTATGCCACGGTGGGCAGTGATGAAAAGGTACGATATTTGATGGAAACATTTGGCTTGCCGAGGAATCGCATCTTCAACTCCCACGACTCGAGTTTTGTGGAAGGCGTGATGCGCGAAACCCAGGGGCAGGGAGTCGACCTGGCCCTGAACTCCCTCTCCGGCGAGCTGTTGCACGCGACCTGGCGATGCCTCGCCGAGTTCGGGAAGATGGTGGACATCGGAAAGCGCGACATGCTGGGGGCCGCTCGGCTCGACATGGGCCACTTCCTGGGCGGCCGCACGTATTCCTGCTTTTACTTGGACCTGCTGCGGGACAAGCGGCCATCGGAGTGCAAGCGGTACGTTGAAGCCCCGATATAGCAATCAACCTGGACACGCTGACTGGACTGACTGGCTTTCCACGAAAACAGACTTCTCGAATTAATCATCACGTACTTCCGGGCCGGTCATATTACGCCGATCAGGCCCATCACGATGTTTGATGCCACAGCTATAGAGGATGCGTTCCGACACATGCAACAAGGCACCCATCTCGGAAAATTGGTCATTATCCTGCGAAACGCGGATGGCAGCCCCAAGATCGACCCGACATCAGTGAGAACTGCCCCGGGCCTCGACTTGGACAGCACCGCAACCTACCTCCTGATCGGCGGTCTCGGTGGTCTCGGACGCGCCGTATCGCGGCGTCTCGTGGAGCACAAAGCCCGCCGTCTGGTCTTCCTTTCCCGGAGTGCGGGTCGAGGTCCGGACGACAACGACTTCGTCCAGGAGCTTGAGAGCATGGGATGCGGCGTTCGACTCGTCCAGGGCAGCGTCACCAGCGAAGCTGATGTAACACGAGCCATCCAGCAAGCCCCCAACCTGAAAGGCATCCTCCAACTGTCCATGGTTCTCCGAGACCAGGCGTTCCCCCACATGACCCTGGCCGAATGGAACACCGCGGTTGGGCCCAAAATCCAAGGAACATGGCATCTCCACAATGCCACCCAGGCCGCCGGGATCACCCTCGACTTCTTCATACTCTTCTCGTCCACGTCCGGCGTGCTGGGCCAGCCTGGCCAGGCCAACTACGCTGGAGCAAATACCTTCCTGGACGCCTTCGTCCAGTACCGGACCAGCCTGGGGCTGGCCGCCTCCGCGGTCGATATCGGCGCGGTCCAGGACATCGGCTACGTGTCGCAGGACGACGCCCTGCTCCAGCGCCTGAAGCAGACGGGGGCGCACCACCTCACCGAATCCGAGCTTCTCGATGCCGTATTGGCTACGATCTCTTTCTCCGTGAATCCCAATGAGGCCCATAATGTCAACGACATCCTGGGATTCGTAGACAAGAATAACTTCATCCTTGGCCTTGGCACATCCGTTCCCCTCAGTAGTCCCGAGAGCCGCGTATTCTGGAGAAAGGATCGGCGTATGGCGCTATACCATAATTCCGTCCCGAAGGCCGCCGTACACGATGTCAGTTCCGACCGCGACACTCTGCAGGCCTTCCTTGCCCGGGCGAAAACGGACCCGTATATATTGAGGGCCGGGGAAAGCGCTGGTCTGCTGGCAAGAGAAATCGGGAATAAGCTATTCAACTTCTTGCTCAAGACGGGTGAGGACTTGAATATTTCGCTGCCGCTGTGGCAGCTGGGCATGGACTCCTTGGTGGGTGTGGAGATGCGCAGCTGGTGGAGACAGGCGTTCGGGTTTGATATTACTGTATTGGAGATGATGGGGATGGGGAATCTGGAGGGATTGGGGAAACATGCGGCGGAGGGGCTCGCAAGGTTGTTGGGTATCGAGTGAGTCCTTCTATATTGTCCACACTAGAGGTATCAGAGTGTGAATGTCACGGTGCCTGCCGGAATCCTGATCTTGAGCATCTTCCTACGCAGTGTGCAGGCATTAGCTATACATCGTAGTCCTCTTGCCAATGGTGCAGCGGAAAGTACCCGGAACGCGTACCCGGAGCTGTTCTGTGACACTAAACCTCAATATAAAATTAGATTATATTATATCAATACATTGGCTAAGCTAAATATGACAGCACCGGGCGGTGATGCCCCGCATCTGCATGCGTGCGTGAGATCAAGGAAGTGGACTGATCAATAACCGTATCGATGGTATAGTTGCATGGAACATGTAAGAACAGAAATAAATCGACAAAGATGTCTGCCAGCTTGCAGGAACATAATTGTAGCCAAACAATACCACTATACTAAGCAGTATGAATCGTGGTGTGGTTACACATCACGGCATATGAAAGATGAACAGCAGACCATGTCTTGCGATAAAATATCTAGACTCACTGTAACAGTTCAATAGAAATTTATATTTACTGCTTACTATCCGTCCTACTTGGGGAGTAGCGGTGGAGATGATTATGAAAGGCAATAACTAGTACTTCATATATAAGACTGATTTTGTTGGGATCACATATCCATGCACTGTTACTATTTTTGATTTTCAGTTCATTGCGGAGGTGGTGCCAGACATCGGTAGCCAGTTAATCTGCGATATATATACAACTACAAGGACCTTGCTGTATATGGTAGAATCTGGAGATTCGGCCTGGGAATTGCACAGGTGTCCAAGGGTGCTTGGAACAGAAGCAAGGTTTTCCGAGCTCATTATCATCAGACTTACTTGGTTATACTTATTATATAGATGTGGCTGGCTGGATAAACGAATCCCCATAGCGGTTGGATGGACGGAAAAGGAATGGATCAGAAAGTGATAGGCGATGAGCGGAAACGGGAGGTTACACGAACTGTGAAGCATCTATCCTAAGAACAACTTTTCTTAACTACTGAATAAGAGATCTAATGTTAATTGATATGGACTTTATTACTGATCTTGGGTGACGTGTTACACCGTTCTAATACAATTCTAATATAAAATAAAATCAGCCGCTTCCTCCGTGGCTGCACACAAGGCTCGACAACCCTGTAATAGACACACAGACACTAGCATCCGCATTTGAGGATCTACTGCCTCTTTCTCCTTGCCTCCTTGCGCCTATCATCTTCCCAAGCTGGACCGTATTGTCGGAATGGAATTCGCCCGTAGACGGACATACTTCAGTTCTGTTGCAGTTGTGCATTGACACAACTCTGTTGTTCATGCCAGTTTGACAGATGATCGAAAATGCCTAGTTAGCGCGGTGGTAAGCACCTGGAACCTAGTAGCTTTCCTTGATCAGATCGGAAGCCCTCTCAGCTACAGCATACAGCGTGCTGGTCAAGTGACCGCAAAGCTGGAATGGCAGGACTGAAGCATCAACCACACGAACATTCTTGGTACCATAGACCTTGAGTTCGGGGCTGACAACACCACCCTTCTCGCGGGGAAGCATGCTGGTGGTGCCAACGGGGTGGTAGTTGGTTCGGTCTGAAATGATTGGGCAGGTTAACGATTATGCTGCAGGTAGTTAACTTGAGAAACGGAAAGAGACTTACAGTTTTCCTTAACCCACTTGGTCCAAGTGGCGCTGGATGCACTAGCAGGAAGCACGTCGAGGCCGGGAGAAACTTCCTCGCCGACAAGGCTGTTTAGGGGCGCCGTGCCCAATGCCTTTCGAATATATTGTGCCACTGTGACCTGAGCCTCAGCGTCTTGGTCGAACATGAAGTAGTTGGGGTTGATGGCAGGATAGTCGGAGGCGTTCGCCGATTGAATGTGGACGCTGCCGCGGGAGAAGGGGAGGAGAGGCCAGTATTCAACGGCGAACGAGTTCCCGCTGGGGGCGAAGACCACCTCCGTATAGGGGACCTGGGAGTTGAAAATCAGATCGTACTGGCGCTCAAAAGCCTCCACGAGATTGGCTTCCTTGACAGCGCCATTCGAGGCGCTAGCGACAGTCTTAGCATAACTAGCAAGCTGGGACTTGACGTAGGAAGCCAAGGCAGTGACATTATCGCCGTAGAGCTGATTCACAGATGGCAGGACGGAGAAGGTTGCTAAGCCGGTGAGGGTGTCGACACCTTCCCAGGAAAGGGCGTTGTTGGTCTGATCCTGTAGGTTCTCACCGACGGTGGTGATGTTAACCTTGACGGGAATATTGTGCTTGTTGAGGACATCGGGGTTTCCGATACCGGACAGCTCGAGAATGGCAGGGGATCGAAGGGCGCCAGCCGACAAAATGACCTCCTTGTCAGCGTAAATGGTTTCCGTGCCATAGGCATTAGTAACCTCGATGCCGACGGCAACAGCCTCTCCCTGGGTGGTGTTGGCCCAGATGACCTTGTTCGCACGAGTATTGGAAATAATCTTGAGGTTCGAGCGAGCTTCATACGGCCAGTAGTAAGCCCTGGCAGCATCTTCGCGAACATTCATCTCCCGGTCCAGAGTGTCGGGGTGAACCGTAAATCCAACCATCTTGCCGCCTTCCGAGTCGGGGTTGTACTGGACGCCCAATTTCTCAAAGGTTTGTTCAAGGACGGGAAAGACGCTGCTGTTGGTCATGGAGTTAGGCCAGCCGACCTTCAGAGGGCCGTTCAGACCATGATAGCTGGCGTTATAGCTGGCACCGTGGGCGATTTGGTCCTTGGTGGGCACCTGGAAGCCTTCCGACTTTTTATAATATTGGAATAGATTCTTCCAATTCCAGCCGTCGTTGCCGAGAACTTCCCAATTGTCAATTTGCACGTCTTCGGCACGAGTATAGGACATTCCTGTTGTGGGACGCTCAGTCAGTACGAACGCGTTGTCTGGGGAGGAAACCACAACTCACCATTGATTGTGCTCGTGCCACCAAGTGCCTTTCCAGCACGGATGGTCTGCTGCAGACCACCTGCATATGTCTGGTTCTCGGTTTGGTAGGCCCAGTCGACCTCCGTCCCGAATGCCGTGCTGTAGCCCATGACATTAGACACATTGAAGTTGTTCAATGCTGATTCTCCAGCCTCGATGACAGCCACGGTGACATCGCTCAGTTCTGAGAGCCTATTGGCGACAACCAAACCACTGGTGCCTCCACCGACGATGACAAAGTCATAGTGAGCAGGCGAGTCAGCGTGACTTTTGGCCGTCACGCCTAACGAGAAGGCCGCGAGAGCAAGAGAGGGGAAAAGCATCGTGGTGGTAGATGCGAGGGGCTAGAGTTATTCTCTGTCTTGCCGGAAACTCATTTGATGACCACAGTACAATCGGAGACAAGACCCTGTCTCTTTATACAGGCACCGAAGCGGACGATATGCCGACCATCCATAGGAAGACTTCTAGAAAAGGCCCTTAAAGGGGTCCAGCCATCCAAGACCTTGACCCGCTCATTGCGCAGTCGTTAGGTTCTCTCAGTGCCATATTCTTAGCCAGGGTCCCTTCAGTTCAGCAAATGTCAGTGATCGGTCATGATTATGAAACAGCTGGCTCCAAGGGTCTCTAGGTCTCGCCACGCGGGAAGCTCCATTTCAATGTGGATACCCTGGTTATCAACAGCCAACCCGGAAGGACGGGGCCCTGAACAATGGATTTGTAATGGACTGATTAATTTTTTACCAAGAATTACAATTCTGACTCTCTAATTCCGCGCCTCGGACATGTTGCGGGCCGAAATGGGGGCGTGTCTGTGTATGTCAACGGCAAGCCGATTTCAAAGCGCTACTCCCGACATGATTCTAAATCCATTTCCGGCTTTTCGAACCGGCAACCAAGAAGCTCCAATAAGAGGATATGCCGGTCCCCTCCCACTCTCATTACAGTATTCTGAAGCTTACTTCCACTGTTTTATTTGTCAGGGAGCCACATGGAAGTTAGTCAACCGCTTTCTCAACAATCCATAGAATCCCCGTAATCAGCTTCTATTTCCTTCCTTTCCAGGGGCTGCGGGAATTCATTTGGTATTGCCTTTGGGATTCTCGGCACATGGCTTGTTTTGCAATCCTGGCGCTGGGTTGGAAATATGTGGTGATATAAATTCCCGAGATGTCTGCTTCGGTTTGATTCTATTACCATCATAAGTTTGCCTGTTCATCGTTTCTAGAATGAAAGCTGCCGCACAGCATTACTTTGCTAACAGGCGAATATTAAGTAGCACTGTCGTGCAGTTGAGTCTAGTCCCTTCATCATTGAGGCTGACCCTCGATATCTCGGGATCTCCCCAATCGTGAATGGTCATGTGTTCCGGACGATTTAGGCCCCTGAAGGTCGTAGATGGAAGTTTTTTGTCAGCTGCGAGGAATGCAACCAAGTACACCGTGAGTCTGACTAAATTGCAACGATCTGTACGTGAAGTAATGTAAAAGGGTCGCTATGTCGCAGCTACTACCTTGAAGGTCTATTTGCCAATACTCAGAATTTTTACAATTTGCAGTGAACTACAATCCGATTTCAAGATAAGTCACTGGGAAGCAAATATTCTTTGGTTAAAATCTGGATCTAGTGATCTTAATCACCCTACATGCTAGTATAAGAGTAGATCCGCTGCCTTCTCCGCCACTGCATAAAGGACAGCCTGATAATGCGCCGCAAGAGGTACAGGCAGGACACTAGCATCCGCAACACGCAATCCCTTCACGCCCTTCACCCGCAGTTGAGTATCCACTACCTTGCCCATGGATGCCGAGCCACCTGGATGGAAGAATGTAATTGCACCATTTCTGATGTTGTTGTCGATTTCCTCGTCAGTGGAATCGAGTCTCATAGGTTCATTGCCGGGTCTGGTCACTTCGTGCTCCACCATGTCTTGACCCTCCGGCGTGTCCAGGATGAGCTTGGCAACTCTCCGAATCCCGTCTCGTAGAATGGCTCGGTCCACTTCCTTGGAACAGTAGTTGGGATCAATGAGAGGTGCACTGGCCGGATCTGTATCGGCCAGAGTGATCTGGCCTCGTGCTGTCGGAGCCATCAAAAGAACCGCCGTGCTTATGTGTGTACCATCCATGGCTGTTTCAAAGCCAGTCACAGCGCGACTCATCGGTGCGTATATAACCAGAACCTCGGAGTGCGCAAAGTCCGTGTCCAGGTATGGATGGTCCTTGGGCGGGATTTGCCCGTCGTCTGCTTGAAATGCTTTGATCAACTCCTCTGTAGGCGTCTGCAGCGTCACGTTCCAATCATAAGGTACCCCCATGCCATACGCGGGACTGTCCCAAAGGGGCGTCCCCATAGAGAGACCTTGTTCGGGGTGACGCAGTGTCCACCATTGGGGGAAACACATGTGATCATGGAAGTTTCGACCCACTTCTGGAGAGTTCACAAGTTGTGGGATGCTGTGTTTTGCCAGCTCTTCTGCGGGCCCAATGCCAGAGAGCATGAGGAGCTGAGGGGTACGGTATGTTCCAGCAGAAATGATCACCTCTCTTCTGGCATGGTATTCTTCTCCATTGACTACTTGGACTCCTGTCGCGACCTGTTGACCATCTTGCTCCTTGAGAATTACCTTTGCCACCAGTGTATCAGTGACAATGGATATTCCTTGACGCCGAGACAATCCATATGCTTCACTGGCAAGCTGACGCTGTCCTTCACGCCAGTTCTCTCCAAAGTGAGCTAGACCCAGCGGGCTTCCAGCGTTTGCATCTGGGTTGAACTTGACGCCAATACGTTCCCATGCAGAGCGGACTGGCTCTTTCAGAGGATATTTTCGGTCCGGGCTGGTGAGTGCGACAATCGTGTTGGTGATGGGGCCCCTGGTGCCGTGAATTGTCGTGTCGACATTACGATCGTAATGCGTCTCGACACGCTTGAAGTAAGGAAGTAGACCTTTGTAGCCCCAGCTAAAATCCCCGACCAGCTTTGCCCAGAGATTGTAGTCGGCAGCGTTACCACGGGTCCAGGTGCCGTAGTTTATCGCTGTGCCTCCACCCAGAGCCTTCCCTGCCGCGTTGTAGCATTCACGACTGTTGAGGTGCTTCTGTGGCACCGTGGTGTAGTCCCAGTCCAAAGGCGAGTGATGAGCTCCAAAGCATGCCAACGGGGTACTGGTGAGAGGATGATCGACGACGTTGGGTCCGGCTTCAATGATCAGGATTTGTAATGACTTGTCTTTCTCAGCCAGCCGACCAGCCAAAGCACAGCCCGTCAGACCTCCACCGACAATGATGTAATCGTAAGAGTCAGGCATGACAAGTGTTAGGGAATCAAAGACAACGTGAGATTGCAAAGGGGATAGTTGAACTACAATGGAGTACTGAAGATGGGGAATCGGTGCTGTTGACAATCGATAGAAGGGGGCAGGGCTGATGGAGGTATTTAAACTTTCATCTCACTCTAAGCTGACAAGTCAGCAAGGCCAGAGCAGCTACGGAAGGTCGTAAGAGAAGATTCCGGCGTTCCTTGACCGTATCATAATTCCAAAATAGCTATGGGAATTGATTGGTTTGTGTGATGCGGATAGTTCATCTTAGTTGGCAGTCAGCAAACAATTTGCAAGGAACAGACAAAGAAACGCGGTCCCACCACCGCCAAGCCAGCTGCATTAGCCCGCAGTAGCACATACTGAACCCTGATGGCTATATCCTATTATCGCTCATGAAGACCGGGTTTGCTGGACGAGCATTCACTTACACACGGCAGTCAAAGGGTCATGTTACTTGGTTTAACTACGATGTACAGACACTTTTCATGCCACCAGAAAGGGATCTGGTAAGAATTACACTTTGTTGCAACTTACTACGAAGGCTTGTTCTGACATCAGACAGTAGGCAATCCCAACTGAGAACGGATGTTGTCGATCATCCTGCGAACTGCAGCTACCCGCGGGTCTTGCCCGATGGCCGCTATCAAACGCCGTACGCGAGGCTCTCATCGGTGATCAACGACTCCTTGGCCTGTCATCCGAATCATTACCCCTCCCAATCAATCATGTCGACAAACAGGCGTGGCGCCAAGGCATACACGGGATTGGTAAATTGAGTGCTAGGATCGTCGACGTACGCTAATTGATCCGGGAATATTGTCAGATATCATGCGTACACTGTCAGAGCGAAGGCCCGACTCACAGAATGGGCCTAGATAGAGGATATGTGCTGTTCACACTTTGTTGGCCAGTGTACGCTTGACAGGGGTATGCCTTGGCACAAAACAGCCTTCGAGTACCTTGGTACTCGGCCCATGAAGGCATTCAACTTTCTGATTGGTGTGATACAGTACAGCCGACATGGAGGATGCGGCGGCCACGTTGGTTAACTCATCATGGAAGAGATTCAGCATATTACTGTTGTCGTTCGAGGATTTACATACGCCATGAAAGAGACTGAAGTCAGAAGATGTAAATATTGAGTTCGATATTCCTGCCCTTCCCCACCCATATAGTCCGGCTGGTGTCGCTACATCTCGCAGGGTCTCTAATTAACTGCGCTGACGAGTATGTCGCGTAGTTACTGTGACCGCTCGTATTCAGCGGAGGGCATTGTGCGGAGAAACTAAAGCTTCGAGTAAGCGGACCGATCCAATTCCATTTCCTCACTACCAATCTCAATACGCAAGGTTAAATGTATCTATGAAATTTATTTAGATTTAAGATGATCGTTGGTTGGTGCTGTAAACGGTAGTGGTCGGAGACCACGGAGGGGGCGAATGATCGGGTGATGCCTGGAGAGACTGAACGTCTCAACAAATAGTAACTAGTTTGCAACAACATGAATAGATTTCTAAGGTTAAATGCCAAGCTAAACGTCTCCGTTGAGGGTGCTGAGGCTGAGCAACATACAAGTGCGTAGCTTTGCCAATGTAAACCTTCCCTTGTAAGGACCTCTTTACGCTCTCTTTCCCCCCCTCGGTTAGTCCCTTTATTAAGCTCGTTAATCAATACTCTCCATGGACAATATTCGGGGGTTGCGCCTGTGCTCAGGTCTAGATTACCCTGTCGCTCCATATCCATATCTGAAGCCACAAAGCCAACACCTCGACGTTCAGTCACCTGCTTTATATCATGCGCTGGCTATATAGATTTCGGGTCTCATTCTGTTGCGAGTGCTCTTAAAGTAAAGCATGGATGTTATTCTACCTCTACGGCGACATACTGCTGTGTGAAACATCTGATATACCATTCCTCGGTCGTGGACTCTTTAATGGATGCTTCAGTAGGTACACCGGGGTTGACCTCGGAGGAAGAGACATCGTGCGCGGACAAACCTGACCCTCTACACGATGTTCTTAACCAGAGGACCCGATTCCAGTGAGCTTCGTCAATAGCTACCAGGACTTCACACACATCGAACGAGACCGTCTCGCACAAATGCGAGGAGCGAGTGTATAATGTATGTTTATTCTGGGGACTTGGATCCCCACCATGGGAGGCGACGTAAATGAAGATTAAATTTCAAAGTGGTCAGGCGAACACAATGCCATCAAGAGATAAGGAGTCATCTGGTACACTCTTTGTGTATCGCATCAAACGATGAGTTGGAACAGAGTAGCAAAGATACCAAGAGACAGAGAGGGGGGGGAAGGGAATGTATATATATCGAGCAGAAAAGGGAAAAGGGGAGGAAAGGAAAGACAGGCAGAGAAGTGCAAGAAAAGAGAACGGAGGACGCAAAACCCAGAAAATAAAGCATGGTGAGATTGTAGATTTAACTTGGGGAAGCTGGCCACCACATATGAATGACTCTCTGCGCTCTATGCTGACAATAGAAGAGGGTCCGATTCAAGTTAAGCTACAACCACCGAAATTCAGAGCGACGTATCCTCTGGAAAATAAATTGCAGGGGGGAATGGAGGCCACGTAGGGAACAGACGGGCCGGGGAAATTGATATGGTCTCTCTTCCAGAATGATATCCAGGGATCCTACACTCCCATACGAGCGTGTAGGTGATATGAATGCAGATCCTGTGAGAGTTGTGCAAACCCGGGCCAATTATGCCTCGTTCCATGATATCTGAGGCAATTGGGCGTCTTTGCCTGCAGCGGACTGTGATCTAGTGGCGCACGAGTCATGTTTCTGCAATGGCATATATCTTACAAATGGGATAGTGTTGACCGGATGCGCCCAGCCTACCAAATAAGAAATATCAGCCTCCTGCTCCTATTTGGCCTCCTAGGCTGGATGGCGGCTTGATGGGATCAGATGATGTCTGAAGTATGGGCAGTGATCAAGGAGGTGCATCCTCAACCCTTTTCGTTCCTAGATTGCAGTGGACTTGGATCACCTTAGGAACTTGAGCCTCCAGCGCAATCACTTTGTCCTTGTCTCTGTGTTGTAGAACACCGATGGAGCTCCTTCTTTGGTTCTTCTTAAGTGCGATAACGCGAGATATCCCTGCGATGGCGTATGGACATGCTACATGCGGCACTGGTTGGCCAATGGTTCTAATGGGACAGGCAGGGGTAGTCATGGGACAGTCTTCCAATACATAAACGAATCCAACAGGGATCAAGGATCAAGTGTGCCACGGTGTATGGTCCATGCTATTTTCATACAGCGGTATATTGTCAACGCGGGAGCCGATGCAAACTCCGGGGATGTTCTTGCAGGTACTAGACAACTAAGTATACCAACAACGGAACCACCGGGCTCCCAATCATCCACCTCGTGCAGTAGCCCCTGGAAGCAATTAGTGTAGCTACTGCCAGAGCACATGTTCAGGTGGGGGTCTAATGGACCATGTAACCAGATAAACAAATGGCTTCTGAGAAAGTTGGTGAGCCAACCGCAAGGGATCGTGTTCTTTGATGCATATCGGAGCGTTGTCAGTTCTGACTGTGATCATAGGCACATTCATTCAGATTGCTAGCTCTACGAAGCTATCCCCGGGTTATGCCCGTTGTGAAATTCTCAAAAGGTTTCCAGACGTAAAATGACTGACAGGACGGTCGATAATGACACTGTTTGTTACAATCTCGCTCAATTATCTCTTCTCCTTTGCCCGACATATAAACTAACAAAGGAGCCACTTGCCCACGACGTAGTTGGACAAGAAGAGATCAGTAGCAGGTACTGAGTACAAAAGCGGCCATAGCCCTAGCCTGTAATCTGATTCTTATCTTTCAAGAGTGTTAGGAGAGATATTTGACGCCCCGCGGATGAGCTGGCAAATGGCAGTGAGCGCAATTTTACTTAGTAGAGGTTTGCTTTTTCCCTCCTTTAACCCGGCCATGCACTGCTCCCATGTGGCGTGGCTGATCTTGTTCCAATGTGACCGGGAGAGTTCGGCCTCGCTCCAACTAACTGGATCTACTTCCTCATGAAGTGCTCCAGGCCAGGTGGATGGCGATATTCTTACGAGAATCTATGAGAGCGAGATCGAAAGTTGATGCTGATCGGAAAACGTTCGGATAGTTCCGTTTTAGTATAACCCTAAGGCTAACCTTAAGGTCCACCATGATTGTGGTTCTCTCGTTTGCTAAATTTTATTTAAAAGCTTGTCAATTCACCGGGGTTCTCCGGGGCACACTTGGGAGAGGCAATGATGGGCACATCAAGCTAGTGAAGTCTCAAAACGCGGGTCTGTGACTTCAATTTGCAAGGTGCATTAGCGTCAAGAACTAGTTCCCTGGTTGGAGCCCCACCTAAGCTAAGAGGGCTACCAACAGTTGGTTCGGTAAAGCAGATTTTGGGCTCGGAATGATGTTTCCCTGGCAGCCTTTGACACGGGCTGCTCCAGTCGAGGGGTTTGCTTCTGTAAAGAGGGAATTCCCGGTTGATTGTTTGAAGGCTTGCACTTGTTCAATGCCACCCTCCACAAACGCGACGAATAGCCCCTCCAACCCAGTAATGTGCTACATACAAATCAGTGTTTGCTTCTGTGCACAGTGCCCATAGAGAGAACAAAACTACACATTGAGCCTTGGGCGAACTAGACAGATACTCAAGAATCGCTGTGTCGTGCCGCGATAATGTTGAAAGTCGATTCACTGATTGGCTTTCTACCTAAACCTAATAATCAGTACATCTCTCCGACGGTGTTGATCTACAGTCGTCCTCTTTTTCTGTTTGTAAGTGTGACTATGCATGTATCTTTCGTATCCCATGACGAGGTCATGGCTGAGCTGAAGAGCTGGATGACAACTGTTGTAACCTCGTCATCTTGCAGGATAAGCACATACAAACATAGCTGGCTCAAGAAAAGACAGGGCAAGCGGAAGGCAACACTGGCTCTTCCTCGCTTTTCTTATCCTGCCCGATATCAAGGCGTACTGAGTCATGAATCCCTTCGTGAAACCATAAATACCACCTTTGTCGCCTCAACAGAAATGGCCTGCCAGAAAGCGAATCTGAGTCAGAAAAGGAGCCTCTTCTCCTTTTCGACCTTACATCCTCACGGACTCTTTGTTGAATTCACCATTCAATTATTTGATCGCCTTATTCAAGATCTAATTCTACTTGAAATCATCTCTTTTTGCCGATCCCATTCCGTCCTGGTCATTGTGACTCCACTGATTCGTTCACCATGAGAGCCACAGGCAGTCTATGGTCAGATGCATATCTGGCTTGGGTGAACAGCTGGCTTTCGGTTCCATGGAATGCTTCAGAGAACACTGAAGATGCCATGTCAGTTGAGGAGATGGTCAAATTCTTTGGGGAAAAGTACCTCATCCATCTTCTTAACAATGATAATCTGAGACGTATAATTACCTCTTTTCGTCGTCGAGCTGATGCCAATAAGCTGCTTCTTGGAGGTCAGGTCCCGCCGTCCTGTATTGAAACAAACATTCTGAAGCAACGATATGACCCCCGGACCAACTGTTCTTGCAATGGCTTGTATCCAGTTCCTTCCGGTATATCTGTCGAATCGGTACAACAGACGTCAGGATGTCTCGCAATCAAGAAGATGACTGAACTGGAGAGTTTGGTTAACAGCAAAGAAAATGAATGGAATCCAGGCGACATATTCACCGCTGAGCATCTGCATACAGCCGTGGCTGAACTTGTGCTTCTAAACGGAGATGAACAGCCGCCTCCTGACACCTGTCAGGGTCCTATGCCTTCTCTCGCCACTGTGCAGGCCCCTGATCGACGGCCTGATCCGAACTGCGATACGCAGCCTTCCGTGTATCACCAGTTATACCCATCCAATGAGCAGATAAAGCTGCTTTCTGATGCAAGGTACTTCTTTGCTATCGCCTGCGCAGGAAGGCTGTGCGACGACGGTCTAGCAAGAGCTGCAGCAGAGGCAGGCAACGACATCTTGATTGCTGATTACTGCGAGGCGGCAGACGAGAAATCATTAGCCATGTTGCAGGACGTGAAGGCAGCAGCTGTCGCATTCCTCAAGATGTGCAATTTGGCAGGAGTAGTCACCGACTGGCAATTCAACAATCTTGTCGCTCTGGCAATCCAGTTCTCGGTCCTTGGCTATTATAGAGATCATTCACGGTCTCGCCGGCCCGATGGCGTTTATGGCAGCCACATGACAGACATTCTGGCACATCGCTATATCGATTTGGCCATCTACGTGGGTGTCATGACGGCGTCAATGGGTACCGGGGAGCAGATATCCAGGGAACAGTATCACCTGCTAGCGGAGGCGTGTTGCTACATCAACGATATTATCGACGTCCGCAGCGATGCAATGCGGAAGTCAAGAGAAAGCGTTATCTTGCGGGGGATTCGAGGTAACCTCTGCAAATACCTCGACAATATTATATCGTCCTGCTTGCAACGCGCTGCCATGGCCATACGGTCCAGTCCTGTTAGTGCTCTGGTTGTCATGGGTTGTTGCAACTGGATGCTCATGTCGTCCCAACACAAAGCATACGAACTTTTCCATGGGGTTCAGGAACGGAAGGATGGGAAAATCTGTGACTATGTCTCAGCGTCAGATGGCTCTTATCAACAGCTATTGGAGGTTCTTGATGAGTACGGTAGTTTGGGCGAGAATGGACCGAGTGTTGCGAAACGACGAGCGGATATGGACCTGCTGTACCATACCTATCGGAGTCTCCCACAAACACATACAGCTTGGCTAGCAGACAGCACACGAAGCCTGCTTAATCCTGTATCTCTGCGCAGGATTATCGATGTTGTTCATTTTGACTGGCACGGGGACACTGGTGATGTTGAGTACTGCCCCTGAGCTATCTTTTGGGGAGTGAAGGGCAGTAAGTTGCTACTACTTACTTTAGCTATCTTCTAAGCTTATTATACTTGAATATATATAAACGCCCCACATCATAAGTACCCTCCCCACCAGTAGTTTTCAAAAATTCTTATCAGCTTTATCCTTTTGTTCCAATTTGTCCAATTTCTGTGATTTTAGGCTTGTATAGAGTTGCATGCGCCAAGGCATTCAACTGGCCACTCTTCCACTGGCTATCACCCAAGCTGCAGCTTATATGAACGAAAACGAGATAGAAACATATTACTAGGTATCTAATGCTTCTCCACGAGCAGGAGGAAGATGTCGTGGAGCTTCTGAGCGAGGATTCTCAGGCCCATGGACGTTACAACCATGCCGACAATACAATAGCCCTGACCTGGCTTACCTTGTTCCGCAAAATCAAGAAACTCGATCCACTGGCTGCCGAATATCTCTCACACTTGGCCTTTTTAGGTCAACGATGTATACCAGAATTGTTTCTCCCACGACTGGCGACGAGAAAGAATATAGTTGAAGCCCTTGGGCTACCAGAATACTACTTATTCATCACTATCCAGCCTGGAGATAAACCCATAATATTACATCATGTGGTTCACCTAGCAGTTTGGCATTGGTTAAGGAGTGAGGGCATAGTGGCTGGATCAGAATAATTACTGGGTATTCCCTTGATACTAGGATCGCTATTGTACACATGGTGCATCTGGTCACTTCGAGATAACGTTCGAATTTCACTTAGAAAAGAAACAGAACGAGACAGAGAAAGAATGAAGAGATTTCGAGCGGAATCATTCGAAATTAAAGCCCCCATAATAAACACACAACGCCTTGCTAGCACCTTCCATGCAGTAATGCATCACCACTGACTTTTGACCCTCCTTGACAACCTTGGCCATTTGCTTGACGTCCGATGTCCGAGGAAGGTAGAGAACTATGTGTTCTGTGAACAGAGAATACTCTTTGTAAAGTTTTGCGAGGGAGTACGGCTCCATAGTACTCAAATTAAACACCGTGTCGGAGCGATACCCGGGGCCTATAATGGATCAGCTTGCTGCCAAGGTACCTAGAAGGTTAAGGGAATATTTGGGCACATACCACCCCACGGCGGACTGGCAAACACGACACTATACGGCGCCAAGTCCTTCAGTTGATTCTTGATGATTTCGAAACAATCCCCCTCAAACCAGGTGATCTTGTCTGCGACGCCGTAGATCTTGGCGTTGTGTTTGGCGCACTGCAGGACAGCGGGGTTCTTCTCGATGGCGTAGACACGCTTCCATCTACCAGACAGCGCGAAAGCGATTGAGTTGCCACCCGCGCCAGCGAATGCATCTACTAGGATGCTGCGTCCTGCGGGAGCGGACTGCGCCATGTGTTCTGCAATTTTGCTGCCGTGGTGTATTAGCTACCCGGATCCTGTGAGTAGATGACGGAATACCTACTTGGCTACTGGCTCGGGTGTTACCCCAAACCAGGCATCATCAGTCAGCCAGACACCCTCATCATACTTAGAAAAGATCTTGTAGCGTTGCGCCCAGTAGCTGTTGCGCAGTGTTAGTCGATTTCAGTTCCGCAACGTATAGACGGGGGGATGATAAGCTTACTTCTGAATATCCCACGGCACCTCGCCGATATCATTGTAATGATGTACTTCCTCCGGAGGAACCTCCACGGTCGGGTCTCGAGCCATGATGAAATATAAAAAGACAGTTGAACAGGGACTGAAGCTAAAGGCGGAGAGCCGTCGCATCGCGACGATATCAGCCATCGCGATAAGCGATAACCAGTGTTTGCAATGTTTGCAGCGCCGGGCAGCTCTCCACGTTGCGCATCTGCTTTCCTCCGCACTGCCCAATGCTCCCATCCTCTCTCCCCCAAACACATATCCCCTCCCTCGCAGCAGACATGTTCGGGGCTCTGAATCGGTTTATTGGCTTGGATGCCGAGCCTACCCGGCAGGCGCGGGCTCAAAGCACCAGCGACAACTCGTTTGGATTCCAGGTCCTTCGCAACAAGGATGCGGAGCTCCCTCTAGAGCCGTGGTTCGATTTCATTGTCGGAATTAATGGGCGGTTAATAGTAAGACACTTCACTCTACAGGCAGATCTCTTGACATGCGCGAGTTCGGCTAACTAGCTACCAGGAGGATCCCGACCCCAACCTCTTCGCTACGGAAGTGCGCAACTGCGCCGGATCCAGCGTGACCTTTGAAGTCTGGAGCGCCAAGGTACAAACATAAACCAATACCCTCCGGTTAAATCTACTAATACCGTTGTGAAGGGTCAAAAAACACACACCGTCTCCATCCCCGTCCCCGCATCCAACCCCGATCTGGGCCTGGCGCTCCAACTAGCCCCCCTCTCCTCCACGCAAAACATCTGGCACGTCCTGTCGATCCCCTCTCCGCTCAGTCCCGCCTACCGCGCAGGCCTCCTTCCACACTCCGACTACATTATCGGCACTCCAAGCGGGACATTACGTGGGGAATCGGCACTTGGCGAGCTTGTCGAAGACCACCTGAACCGCACACTAGTCCTATGGGTATACAACAGCGAGTTTGATGTGGTGCGCGAGGTCGAGCTGGTGCCTACACGGGGCTGGGGAGGTGAGGGAGCTCTTGGCGCAGAATTGGGCTTTGGAGCACTACACCGGTTACCGGTCGGCCTGGGTGAGGAAGTAGAAGGTCCAGGAGAGGTGGTTTTTGAGACGCGGGACGATGGCTCATCCGCGCCGGTAGTGGAAGCTCTGGGCCAGGGACCCCCGCCGTCTGGGCATTTCCTGGTCCCGGCTAACATGACCTCTCCTCCGCCGTTGTCGGGGCCACCGAGGAATTTGGCAGCGTCGCCAGCTAGTCATTCGTCTGCGGGTCGGCGGCATAAGACGCGTCATACAGGATCAGCTGCTGCAGTGTCGTTTGATGACTACTTTGCGGAGGGCGAGCAGAAGAGCAAGGAACAAGACTTCGCGCCGTCTCGCAGGGGAACGCCGCTACCGCCTCCGCCCAAGGCTGGGGTGCGGTCACCGCCTAGCTCGGGCAGTCCGGCGCCAGCGGCTGCCGAATAGACTAGGGTCAAGAGGTCATCTTTGTACAGTAGTCATGAATCTCGGTTATTATGATGGCCTAATAGGCTCATTTATGCATTGTTCCCTAGCAACCGAGATAGTACTCTCAGACTGTTGCATTTCTGGAGCGAAATTTAGCCACTTTTCCATTCCACCTCAGATGTGACTCGGCACCGCCTTTAGCTCACTGAGCGGCTGAGAGCATGGAACACGATATCAAAGACTTAAAACTCAGGTAACATAATCACATAGGAAGAGACATCTCACAAACAGACACTAAACCGAACTTGCAGTCTCCATAGTTCTTTAAGAAATATAGAATCTAGAGGGGTTCCCTAGTATGGCCAATCATGCCCTTACCTGAATCCAATGCTCACAACGATAACCATACCTCATCAACTACATGATGATGCATTCCCCCGAATACTCGCTTCCAACTCCAGGGGATCCATTCACACTACCGACATACGCAGCATGATTGTTTCCCTTTATGTCCTGATATCCTATACCAACTTGCCTAGGTCGAACTGTTGGGAAATACCCGGCATTTCCCAAATTGGTGGTATTTCTTTGCAGGGCCGACGCGAGCGCCCTTTGAGACGGAGAATCGGAATTGATAGTATTGCCTTCGGGCATCGCTCTGGGGCCTGGACGTCAGTCTGTGATTTGGACCTTGTTGAATACACTGACTTTAGCTGACTGGTCGGTGGTCGTGCAACTGTAATCGATCACGTCGAATCGATGGCTGAATCGACAAGAGGGGCTCTAACTGTTGTATTACTTTCACGACGTGGAGGGAGCGTTTGCTTTTTCTAGGCTTTCCAAAACTCAGTCACGATCATATGTCATCTTGACTACCATGTATACTGCATTGCCAGACATGTGTTCCAGAAGTACTTCTGCTGGAAATGCATGATACATTATGCACGACGTGATGCACAATCGCTATATAGCCCTTTCAGGTGATTTAAACTATATGCATCAGGTGAGAATCTATACATGTTCTGGTTCCTATGCATTACTGCCACGACACTGTGATATACAGATCATGTTAGCGACTTGTAGAACACAGCTCCGTACGACGAGGCCATGTACGCCAGTGTTGATGCCACCTATGCAATGCGCTGAGTGGAGCGGTTGAACTATATTTATCCCATATTAGCGACTTTGTCTGAAAACTACATGGCAAGCTGGCCCTTGAGAAACAGACGTGCGTGGTCAATGCTTGAGCTACTTTGTAGCCCACCGTTTCCGGGCACTCGGTGTATTAATCATGATTGGCGCCGTTCATTGTGACATTCAGTGATAGACACTGCATTTCTACAGATTGACCATACAGCGACTCTTCCCCGGTCAAACCAGCTCAGGCGTTAGCCCAACGCTTATGCGTGGTCTACGTGCCTCGAGCACATTGACCACGTCCTCATGGCCGTACTGCCGTGCGAGCTCCAGGGCACTTTGTCGGTTGCTATCCACTTGAGACAGCTTCACCCCTCGAATACTGGCCAGAATAGCAACGACGCTTTCATGGCCCCTCTTTGCCGCAATTCCCAGGGGGGTGTACCCCTCTTCATTGCGCCGGTCGAGCTCGACGCCAGCACATGCTACCAGCATCTCCACAACTTCAGTGTGCCCATTGCACGAGGCAATCCACAGAGGGGTCTGCTTTGCGTGAGGATGAGACACAATGTCGGTACAATTCAACTCCACAGCGACGTCGATAAGGAATTTGACAACGTCGTCATGTCCATTCTCAGCGGCCGCCCATAGGGGTGTGGTGCCATTGGCATCCACGTTATTGATAGCCACTCGGCCAGTATCTACCAGCGCCTGGACAATGTGATAGTAGCCGTTAGATGCAGCTCTCCAGAGCGGCGTAATTCCTCTGTCGTTGGGACAGTCCACATCGACTCCATCAGTGCTTGCTAGGACGTTGACAACCTCAATATGGCCATTGTCCGCAGCGGCCCACAGTGGCGTTGTGCCGCTCTGACTCTTCCTATTGAGATCGACCTGGCCGGTGGAGATCAGGATCTGGACTACTTCCACATGTCCATTGGATGCCGCGGCCCAGAGCGCTGTACTGCCATACATGCGTGGGAAGTTCAGATCGACTCCTTCCGTATTAGCCAACACCCTGACAACGCCACTGTGGCCACAATCCGCAGCTGACCAGAGTGGTGTTACGCCCTGATGACTCCTCTGATTATAAATTATCCGACGGGTAGAGACGAGTATTGCGACAATCTCCTCATATCCTTCCTCAGCTGCTAGCTGCAGGGGCGTCTTGCCATGCTGGATTTGCTGGTCGACCTCCGTCCTTGCATTTCCAACCAGTAACCTGACCAACCTCTCATTTCCAAGACGGATTGCTGCTTCCAGCGGGGTGCCCGCTCCAGATTCGCTATGGTTCGGGTCTAGGGTTTTCATGATAATCATAGCTTGAACTACGTCTTCGTGGCCGTTGAACACCGCTGCCCACAGTGCAGAAAGGCCAGCTTTGTTTAGATGGTTGACATTCACACGACCCGAGTTCGCAAGATACCTGACAATCTCGGTGTGGCCGTTCGAGGCCGCAACCCAGAATGGTGTTTCCCCACCAGTGTCAGGCACGTCCAGGTCAAAGTCCTGATATTGGAAAATTGACCGGACAATTTCCAGGTGCCCGTGTGCGGCCGCTAGCCATAATGGCGTCTCTCCATTTCTGTTGGTAACTAACAGGGGTTTAGAAAACGTCTGCTTTACCATCGCTTGTACGAGGATGAAGTTGAAGGCCTCCGCGTAGCCCTTACGAGCAGCGAGATGAAGGGCCGTGTCTCCATCTGGAGACTGGGTGAGGATATGTGGCCCCAAGCGTTTTAAGAGCACCAGTATTGCTTCCACAAAGTTGATAAGCGTAGCGGTCATAAGAGGCGTATATCCGTTGGAACCTGTTTGGTTCCAATCAATCCGAGCCCCACGATCACAAAAGCAATTGAGTACCTCGAGATCTCTCATTATTATGACAGACATGAGAGGCGTTTCCCCTGACCGATCTACTACACTCGGATCCACGGCTTCACTCTTCAAGAGGGTGTCGATCACAGCCAGATGTCTCCCATTGATGGCCCAAGATAGCGGTGAATATCCAGAAACGTCGACGGTGTGGCGAGCACCACGGGCGAGGAGCCAGTTAACGAGAGCCAGACACCCGCGCTGAGAGGCATGTGACAACGGCGTCCAGCCATTGAAGTCCGGTTTGTCATAGTCATGAGCCTCCAATAAGTTGATCAGGAGCTTGTGTATGTTAGGCAAATCGAGGTCAAGACACCAAATATGCTCCTGCCACCATGCCACTGCATATTGGTAAAGGGCCCAGGGCACGGTGTCACTTGCCCTGGAGGCTTGCAGGTATTGCAATAGACTGTAGCCAACGTCCGTATCCTTGCTCTTCTTTAGTCTCAAGAGCTTCAAGGCAAAGCTTTGGGATTGGCGACGAGCGGGAACGGTCGAATTGACCACTGCCGCTGTGACTGAGCTGGAGCTGATTTTAGGTACTTTGACTGTCGACAACTGCCTGGAGAACACATCATAATTCAGGTAGGTGAGAATGATCTCCGCCAGGGTTTGATGTGAATCGCGCAATCCGGTGTGGTCGAATATAAATGTTTTCACACTATGATGCACCACTCGAATACTCGAGCTTTCTTCGTCTACAGTAAGCAGACTCCCACAGCAGCCCAATGTTGCATGGATGTCATTCAATCTCCTCGCGGGGTCCCAAGTCGTCTCCCAGGGAACAACACTGAGGGCTTCTCTCATTTCCTCTGTGGTCAGTGGCCTGCACGCGATCGCAACCAGATCCAGAATCTTGGATTGATATGTGACGTCGGAGAGTCTAGATCGTTTTAGTATCATAGTGTATAAGGCTGAGAGATCTCTAGGTAAACTGGCAATTGCCTCTCGCATATCTGCATCTGTTCTCTCAAGACACAGGGCTTCCATCTGCAGAGCCGCCCACAGGAACATTCCCTGGGCTCCTTGAGAGAGACTATCCCGAATCTCGAGAACAAGGGCGGGGTCGTTTACTACAAGCTTTCCGGATTCGAGACATCTCTCTAATTCGGCGTTGATGAAATCATCAATGTCTGATTTATTATCTTCAATGGGAAGAAACTGCTGGTTCGAGAGCTGTCTTAGTTCCTGCAGAGAGTCGGCGGGCTCCGGCCTGACAGAAACGCACAATGACAGCTTGATCAGGTTCTGGATCTCCTGTAAAGATGTCAAGATGACTTGTCGCGCTTCCGCATCGCAGTGCATCAAGCCATCAAGAATGAAAACGGCCTCGAACTGCGTCGGCAGTAGATGCTTTAGTAAACTTAGAATCTCGTCAACCTCGAGAGAACGCTTGTCTCCCAAGAAATCACGCGCAACATCGAGGTCATTTTCTGATTGCAACAGTTGTCGCGCTAAGGACCCTATTACTGTTTTCGGGGCCAGGCTTTGCGTCGAGTCATGTTGGCAGAAGAAGTACGCCACTACTGCCTTCCTCTCCACCTCCAGGTTGAGGTCATCCACCATATTTGCGAGAATGACGGACTTTCCCGATCCTAGCTTGCCTGTACACACGAGCGTACGCGATTGTAGCCCTTGTGGAGATTGTTGAGCTTTCCAGTTCGCATACACAGCCGAGGTTTCCAGAATAGAGGTAGTACCGAGCTTGCGGATCCGCTTCCAGTCTTGTTCATAGTAATACGTAGAACAAGCATCCAGTACGCGCTGGCGCGCTTTCAGCCTTCTTGCGTACGATTGGGATTCAAAGCGTTTAGTGACTTGAGACCTGAACCATGAATTATCCTCGGCTTCCAGGGATAATTGCTGAACCATAAGTAAATTCACTTCTTCTTTGATGGCGGCCGCCCAGAGCTCAAGGTCAGATTGGTAGCCTTTCAGGGGAGTTGTCATAGTCGAAGCCCACTGGCCGAAGGCTGTCTTCCGACTCAGCTTTATGACATGATGACATAGCTGCACGACGGTGATGAAGTATTCCAGCATTGATGTTCGAAGCCGTTGTGACTTTGGATAGACGACGCCCATTAGTTGATAACGAGGTGCAGAGCGGCCCACGGCCATGAGCATGGCCGATAGCTGTTCAAAGTAGGCCGAGTACTTGACGATGGACTGAGAACCCATCAGAGGCTTCCGCCGATTGACATACGTGCTGCAGCATACTTACCAGAAGTGACATTCGTACCAATGCCCAGATGCCACAGGCTAGGAGGCTCTGCGAGCCGCCCAAGACGATGTCTCCAAGCGCAGCGAACTCCTGCACCGCCTGGAGAATGTTGGTTAGCCGTGATCCGAAACATCGTCCTTGGAGGCCAGCCGATCGGTTGACCTCCGCAGTCAACTGCATCACATCACGGATACTTGGCGGGATTCCAGCAGCCTGGTATGATCGCAGCGTCGCCTTCTCCCGCGAGGAGCAGTCGGCTTGGAATTCGGAGATGGCCTGTCCCAACCGGACTTCCGGTTTCAGTCTCGCGGCTCTGGTGAGAGCGGTCGTCATCGTGGAACCGAGCTGCCAAATAAGTGGCGATACATAGACGGCATCGGGCGAGATGAAAAGGATGCAGGATCAGAGAAGGATGGATGAAGATGGTAAGCCAGGAATACACGCAAGGCTGTGGTGGGGGGTGAAGGAAGGCAGTGCTGTTGCCGCCAGTGAGAGGTGGCCAATCGCAGCCGATCCAGCTGTCATCGTGGAATCGGTGGTTGAGAAGCAATTGTCTCGCAGTTGAATCATCTCCTTTTCATCATCTATGATGGCAGGGTATGTTAAGAGTCCTGGATATGATACCTGATTAAGTTTAGGACAAGACTGGTCGAGGTGGATAACTACCCGATCGCAGAACCAGCCCACTAACAATAATAATGCCCCATCCCCAATTGGCCCTCCACATCCATTCCTAGTACTCACTACTTACTACGTACTGAGTACTTACTACATACTATCTATAATATGCGCCCGTGACTCTGCTCCCCTATAATAAAAGAGTGATCTGGATTCTCTCCCATGGAGATACTCCTAATGTAAGTCTAATCCGACCCATCCCACTGCAGAAACCACGCCAGGATTCCCACCAGACAGCTTAGTGCTGACACGCTCACCTTTGACTTTTACCGCCCTCTGATTCATTCATATAAGTAGCCCAGCTGTCATTCTCGCGACTGATCTGCCGCCGAAATGCGCTGACCCTTCCAGAACTATCATCGTATCTTACTAGCATTATTTCTTCTTCTGCGGCTACCTACGCCGTTAGTCCGATCGGCAATGGCGGAGATCAGCCTGCGCACCGCCCTGGCCATCCTGGTGGGAATCTATCTCCTCTACAAACTCCTCTCCTTTGTCCGCTTTTACATCATCGGTCGCCGCAGCGGATATCCCCTAGTCGTGACCCCTTTATTCACTCAGCATACGTTGTGGCAGATCGTGGGCCCGACCTTTCAAGTGCAGCTGAAGCGCTACCTTCCCACATGGCTCCACGAACATGTTGATATCCACATCCATGGGTGGGAGTTTCGCCACAAGAATGCCATGCATCGCCGATATGGGAAGGTTTTCGCCATTGTATCGCCTGATGAGTGCTCATTATGGTAAGTTCACCGGCACTAGATACATTTACTCTGCTGTTATTCTGACCCCCCTGAAGGATAGCTGACCCAACCGTCGGCACAACCGTCTTGCAGCGCCGCAAAGACTTCATCCAGCCCGACGTCGTAGCCAAGTTCATGGGCGTCTTCGGACCAACATTAATTCAGTCCAACGGCGAAGACTGGACCCGTCAGAGGCGCATCATCGCTCCTCAACTCAACGAAACCATCATGGGCGAGGTGTGGGAAGAGTCCTGTCGTCAGGCGCGCGCTATGCTCGAGTATCTCCTGCAGCATCCTGGCGGTGACACCTTGACCGGGCTTCGCAGCATAGCCATCAATGTCCTCGGCCAAGCCGGGTACGGGCAGAACCAAACATGGTCACCGGACTTCGTCGAGGCCTTGGGAGAGGACTGGCAAGGCCCCAGAGTCTCGTACTTCAAGACGATTGCCATGGTTACGGACCGGTTCGTCGAGGCAGTATTGATTCCGAATTCTTTGAAAATGTTGCCTTATATGCCCCAGTCTCTGCGCCAACTGGGGCGCCAGATGGTGAAGGTCCCGCAGTATATCACGGAGATTTTAGATGAGGAGCGAGACGCCAAGTCGAGTGAGGTGTCTAAGAAGCGCCACAATTTGCTAGATATGCTGGTGCGATTTGCGGACCGTGGTGAGCAGGATTCTTCGAAGCTGTCCCTGTCTGAGGCGGAGATTAGTGGCAACCTATGGGTGTTTACCGCAGCTGGCTTCGACACCACAGCGAACACCATGGGATACGCTGTCATGTTTCTAGCACAGTATCCGCAGTGGCAGGACTGGATGCGGGAGGAGTTGTCCCAACTGGACGCGAATACTTCCTCTTGGGGATATGAAACGTTCTCCCAGTGCCCGCGGGTGCTTGCTGTCATGGTACGTGATGCTTACAGGACATTGAAAGATAATTGCTAACTCTGTCAGTTCGAAACCCTCCGTCTCTTCACCCCTGTCCTTCACTCCACACGCTGCGTGGCCACGACACAGCAGATTGCCGATTCTGACGGCACACACGTGCTGACACCCCCGATGAACGTGTTTGTCTCGCAGCAAAGCATCCACAGGGACCCGAACATCTGGGGATCGGACGTGGATGAGTTCCGGCCCACGCGGTGGCTCGACGGCGCCGGTCAAGTGGTGACACCGGCGAAGGGCACGTTCATCCCGTGGTCGGCAGGGCCCAGAATATGTCCGGGCATGAAGATGTCGGAGGTGGAGTTTGTCGGGGCGATGGCGACCCTGTTCCGGCATGCGCGGTGCGAGCCGATGCAGGAAGGAAAACTTCTGCAGCAGATGGATGACTCGATATCCAAGTTGACGCTGCAAGTGAGGGAGCTCCGAGAGGTGCAGTTGCGGTGGGTGCCAGCGTGATTATCTTGACAAACGACCGACCAACCAACCATCTTGTTCGATATCTACCATAGTAAGCTAATGCACAACAAACATCTTACTCATGAAAAACAAAAGAAAAGATCGATAAGACAGAACCACCCCATTTTATCCCCTCCCACCAGTCCTGCATTATACCTCTAGACGGGTTATTGGCCAATCACACGCCGAAGCATCTCGGATACTCGCAAACTCCCCCTCAAAACATACTAGCCTCTTGCCTTCAGATCAGCCATCTTCTTCCTATTTATCCACCATCCAACACCGGAAGCTCCAACTGGTGCACCGGTCCTGACAGGACCCTGATCAACCACTGATTAATTCCAACATGCATAGCTCACTACCACTTCCACCATCCCATCCAACCCAAGTAGTAGTAACCCCATCATAGATAAATATCAGCCCATCATCCCCTCAGTTACTACACCCAACCACCCCCATCCATACCCATCCATTACATCAACCCACACACACCCAGCATGTCCAATCCCCACCTCCCAATTACAATTACTTCTACCCTCACCATCCTCCTCTTACTCGTCTCCTTCTCCCTAACAACCTACACCCTAACCACCTACCTCCACCTGGCGCACACCGCAACATCCCTCGTCCCCAAAGCCATCGTCCACGATACCGCCATCCTAGCAACAACCTCCTACCACATCTTCACGACGATCCTCACCTCAGCTACATTCATCACTATCTTCTTCCTCTTCCCTAGAATCACCAAGTCGAAAGGCGGCAATCCCTCATGGATCCAAAAGGGACTTACGTGCCTCGCAACCCTCCTCCTGACGACAAGTCTCCTCGCGTTTACTATCATCCTGGCTACGAGAAAAATGTCCTTTGGGGACGTGGGCCCGCATGTTACTGTTTATTTAGATGAGGGGTTGGGCGAGAAGCAGTTGGTTTACCGGGATGATGGGAGGGCTGTTGTGGGGGTGGTGTTGGGGTGGGTTGGGTGGATAGGTGCATCGGTTCTGTAAGTGTTGTTTTTTTGTTTTGGGTGCTGTTGGGGAGTGTGCTAATGTTGTTCCTCTAGGTGTGGAATGATGATGCTTGGAGGGAAGAAGGAAGTTGGGAGGGGAGAGATGTGGGTGGATAAGGTGGAGGTTGAGCAAGAGAGTAGAGCGGAGAGTGTGTAGATGTACGATGATGGGTATTGGGTATTTTTGATGGGGTAGTAATCATGGTATGGGCTATGTTGTGATGAGTTGATGGGTTACGAGTGATGTTTTATGTCAATGCCGATGATAGTACTATCAAAATATGTCATGACGATCCATATAGCACTTACTACTATAAGTATACTAGCCTTCTCTTGGCGTAATATAAATTTATGTTGAACAGTGCTCATAATAATCAGATAGACTCGGCGAATGTCACGCATAATACGGATATTGGTATGAATATAAGGAACGATAAATTGTGCAGTGGAAACAGTGTTCTACTTTACTCTGTCAACACCCCGTAATAACTGCATAGTAAACGCTCATTCGTCTACTTAAAGTACATATGCAAGAACTAGATCAAGTCAACCCATTCTAAACACTCGCCAAGTGGCGAATTTAGTGTCCCTTGCTCACCACCTCCTCCAACTTCTTCCGCACATCTCCGATCTTCTCCTCCATCATGGCCCGCGCCATGCCGCTGTGTGCAATCCCCGTGTACCACAGGTGCTCGGCCTTCTCGCGCACCTGCAGATGCGTGTCCGCCACAGCCGGCACCCGCTTCTCGTACTCCCAGACCAGGTCCGACACGTTACGCATGGTCACGGGCAGCAGGGTCCAGGCGGCCACGGTACCGAAGGCCAGCGGGGACGCCGTGCGCAGCAGGATACCGCGGTTCCGCGACACGATGGAACCGGCCATGGCGGCCACGACGACGTAGACTCCGCCGGGGAGCAGGCGTTCGCCGGACTCGGGCGACGGGGCCAGGGAGGCGACGGTGTTGGTGAAGGCATTCTCGATGTGCAGGGCACGCGACAGGAAGTTGTTGAACTTGGTCTCGACGGCCAGGGAGTTCTCGTACAGGAAGAGACGGGCCTGACGCACCTGAGCGGTCAGGATGTCGGTGGGAGTAGGGGAAGAGGGAGAGGAGAAGGGAGTGGACACCGGAGTCGCCGGGGTGGTGGTCGGGGCCGGAGAGACGACGGGCTTGGAGACGGCCGGGATCTCGGTCGGGAAGTCATCGTAGATGGGTTTTTTCTGGACGCGATGTCAAGTTAGGATACGAGTCGTATCGAGAAAGTGGGCAATTTCCGCGCACGTACAGCATCGCGAGGCTCCTCTGCAAAGGCCGTCTGCCGGGGATAGAGGGCGATACCGCCAGCCAGAAGAGTGGCCGCGATGGGGGCCACAGCCCGCTGGAGGGAGTTAGCGGAATTTTCACATTGCAGATTGACGAAGCAGGAGCTGAGGTATTTACCTGCTTCAGCATTGGCCGGAAAGACATAATGGGAGAGGCCAATGGAGGGAGGAAGTGAGGGAGGGAGGTGGAAGAGAGAGAGGCTAAGTTGGAGGTTCAAGATGGAATGACGGCCTGAGGTCGGCCGCCAAGCCTTTTTTTTCGTGAGTTTGGCGGCTTTGCGGCTCGAGCCTCCGTCATCGTCCGCTTCTCTCTCCCTCTTTCTCCTCTCCGTCGTCTGGCTTTTATTTCCCCTCCTCCCAGTCCCTATTAATTGCACCATTTGGTGTCCTTAATACTATTTCTTTTACTACTCCTCCATGGTATAATCTCCATGTCGACTTCCTTTCCCGTTGCCTCCCCCTGAACGCCACCATGGGAGCTTCTCTGCTGCTCCCACTCCGGCGTCGGCCGTGGACTTGCAGGACCTGTCTGCTGCAGGCCCGTCGCTCGCTCGAGACGGCCGCCTCGCCGGCAACTCATCGCGCAGCCTTCGATTACCTTCCGAGTAAGAACGATGCCCAAAAGAAGTCTGATGACGACACCCTGCGCCGCGTCTTCGACTCGCAGCCGTTTTGGCGCGAATTCAGCCAGCGCAGTGCTGCCCACCTCAAACCCACCGGTCTGGTCCAGAATCAGTACCTGACCAGTCCCGATGGTTTCCGCGTCTTTGCGACCACCACCCTGCAGAAGTGCCAGGCCATCGTGGCCAAGGTGCTGGCCGGTACAACGCTGGAGGATTACCAGAGCATGGCCCGCGATCTCGATCGCCTCAGCGACCTGCTCTGTCGAGTCATCGACCTATCGGACTTTATCCGAGTCATCCATCCCGATCCGCGTGTGCAGGAGGCCGCGACGCAGGCGTACGCCCTCATGTTCGAGTATATGAACGTGCTCAACACCACCACCGGTCTCAACGACCAGCTGAAGAAGGCCGCCGCCAATCCCGAGGTTACGGCCCGTTGGTCCGACGAGGAGAAGATCGTCGCCCAGATCCTCATCAAGGACTTTTCCAACTCGGCCATTCACATGCCCCCGCATGCGCGACAGCGTTTCGTCAACTTGTCCAATGACATCAGCCAACTGGGAAATACCTTTGTCAACGCGGCCGAGCCGGCCAAGTCGCACGTGACCGTGAGCGCCAACAGCCTGCGCGGCCTCGACCCCATCCTCGTGCAGCAGATCAAGCGGTGGAACCGGACAGCCTCCGTGCCCAGCATGGGCCTGATCCCGCGCCTGGCGCTGCGGTCCGTCCACGACGAGGGCGTGCGGCGGGAGGTCTACTTGGCTACACGCACATCCAGCGCCCGCCAGATCCAGCGGCTCGAGCAGCTGCTGGCCAAGCGCGCCGAGCTGGCTCAACTCTCGGGCTACGACAGCTTCGCTCACATGACCCTGAGCGACAAGATGGCCAAGTCCCCTGAGGCGGTGTCCAACTTCCTGACCTCGCTGGTGGGCAGTAACCGGCCCTACGTGCAGGAAGAGCTGGCGCAGCTGCAGAGCATGAAGGGATCCGCCGGCCGCTTGCAACCGTGGGACCACGCCTACTATGTGCACCAACGGGTGCTGCAGTACTCGCAGTCGCGCCGGTCGCGGGAGCTCAGCGCGGTGCCCGAGTTCTTCTCCCTGGGAACGGTCATGCAGGGACTGTCGCGGCTGTTCGACCGGCTCTACGGCGTTCGGCTGGTGCCCCAGGAAACGGCTGCCGGAGAGACCTGGAACTCGGATGTGCGCCGATTGGACGTGGTCGACGAGGCGGACCGCCACATTGCTGTCATCTACTGTGACCTGTTCTCCCGCCCCAACAAGCACCCGAACCCGGCCCACTACACCCTGCGGTGCGCACGTGAGATCTCCGCGGAGGAGGTGGCCGAGTGCGCCACCACGATGGATGCCTCCGCTCACCCCAACGACGGCATGGCGACGGCCGTTGACCGGGACGCCAAGACACTCCGCCAGCTGCCCACAATCGCGCTGGTGTGCGACTTCCCCGAGCCGCCTGCGACAGGGACGGGCCGCCCGTCCCTGCTCAGCGAGCACAGTGTGCGTACTCTATTTCACGAAATGGGCCACGCGCTGCACTCCATTCTAGGACAGACGCGGCTGCAATCCATCTCGGGAACGAGATGCGCGACTGACTTTGCCGAGCTGCCGTCCGTGCTGATGGAACGGTTCGCGACCGCTCCGGAAGTGCTGGCGTTGTACGCCCGTCACTGGGAGACGGACGCCCCTCTGTCCGAGAGCATGATGCAGCACATGGAGAAGGACCGCACGGCGCACGGATCGATCTACGGCGCGATGGAGAACGAGTCGCAGATCCTGATGGCTCTGGTTGACCAGGCCTACCACTCCCTCCCTGCCGGCCAGGCCACTTCCATCGACAGCACCGCAGTGTTCCACCAGGTCTCTGCCGAGCACTGCACCCTCCCCGACCCGACCGATACTAAGCCCCCGACCTCCTGGCAGGGCTTCTTCGGCCATCTGCACGGCTACGGCGCAACCTACTACAGCTACATCTTCGACCGGGCGATCGCCAACAAGCTATGGGAGGACGTGTTCCAGCAGGGCAAGGCGGCAGTGGACCGACAAGCCGGCGAGCGGTACAAGAATGAAGTGCTGCGCTGGGGCGGTGGGCGCAACGGCTGGAACTGCGTGGCAGGCGTGCTGGGCAGCGCCCATCCCGCCAACGCGGATGGCCGACTTGTCGAAGGCGGCGACGAAGCCATGCGTGAAGTGGGTCGCTGGGGGTTGGGACGCGATGGAGTGTCCGAATAATTTCATTGGTCATGTGTATGTATACTACTTACTATCTTATGATACAAGTGACAATAGGCAATAGATATCCCTGTAAATGGTTAACCTTGATTTTATCTTTGTTTGTCTTACCTTAGCAATTAGATTTATCTTCACCGCACGACACAATCATACAATAGTAACACCGCCACCCGCCACGCGAGCCTAGCCTACAGTGGTATACCGGTATATAAACCGCCGTAGCACAAACGCAGCGCCAGTACCACTTCCATCCACACTCATCCACCGTTGTACTGCCTTCTGCATGTGAGATGGTTAAGTTATTAACCATGCCCTGCACATGCAAATAAAGGAGTGGGTGGGCGGGACGAATGAAACCAAGACAAACTGCAGCATACCAGCACCTACCATTGGCCGGATCGAAGCAAGGTGGTGGTGATACTCTTGCTTTGATCATGCCCGGTTTCCCTTGATTTAGGCATCTGTGATCATCCCTGCCGGGAGATCAACCTAGTTCTAGACTCCCCATCCTAGCCACTGGGAATACTGTGGAAGGTGCAGCAACTCAATATTGGCTAATATCACGAGGTGCAAATACTAGGAGTCTTGGTATTTGTTGCTTTGTGTTTTGCTTGGTGGCTGACTGGGCGTGACTCCTTGGATGAAATCTCAACTGACTACCACATTTTATCTTTCTTTCTTTCTTTCTTTCCTTCTTCCTTATCCCTTGATACTAACTTACTGCCTTCTTTTCTTTTATGTCTTCGTGCTTTCAACACAGCACATAGTTAGTTATTCTATCAAGCAAACAATACTTACTATTGATACTATCACAATCATAATCACAACAATGGCCACCGTCACCTTCGCTTCTCAACCTGGAGAAGAGAATCCCACCAACACCACCACCAAAACCAAGACTAAAACTACCACCCTCCGCCGCTGGCTCACCTTCTCAACCTCATCCCGTCCCTCCACCAACTCCTCCCCACGACCAAAACCACTCCGCAGACCTACCCCCAAACCCACCACATCCACAACCACAACCACAACCACATCTCGTCTATACAGACGCGTAACCCTCCCACGCCGATCCTCACGATCCAAAACCAAACCCAGAACTATATCTCCCAATGATGAACATACACCCATTTCCCTACTTACATCTATAAACACAGACGCGAACACAACTACACAGCCACCCCATCCAGTCGCAGATACAACAAACCCAACAACACCTCCACCCACAAGCCCAACATCAACAACAAGTAAGATCCGATCTCGCTCGCCCCTTTCCCCGCTGTCGCCCATAAGTCTCAACTTCAGCACGCTGTTCAATCTATCTCCGCGATCGAAGACGATCGAGGAATCTTCGTCGACGTACTCGTCATCGGCGAGCTCATCGGAAGTTCAGATCCCGCCGCCGACGGTCTCGCAGGAGCAGCTCACGAGTTCGTATGCGGAGTACTGCGAGGCGTTTACGGCGGGGTTGACGGAGGAGAGTTATTTGTATCAGGAGGGGGAAACGGGAAAGGGATGTCAGCCGGTGAAGGAGGTTGTGATTAAAGAGGAGAAGGAGAAGGAGGAAAGACAGGGGCGTTGTATGGAGGGTATAAAGGGAACGGAGGAAAAGGGAAAAGAAGGGGAGCAGGAGGAGAGGGCGATTCCTGGCAATGATGATCAGAGGGAGATTCTACATTGGTTACGGGAATCGGAGGATGAAGAGGGCAATGGGAATAGTGGCAGTGATGGTGATGATGTACCGCTCCGAATGTCTCCTCCCGCGAGGATCCTCACCCCTGCTCGATATGAACAGTCGCGTCGGGCGGCGAGACAGCCCCAGCGTGGGAAGCAGGAGAAGCAGGAGCACCACGAGGATCAGCAGCAGCAGCAGCAGCAGCGACATGCGTGGTGGACTGCACTCCGGGTGGGGTGGTCGCGCATGCGTCGCCGAAACACCAAGGCTGCCAACCCCGACTACAATTAGACTTATTCCACGCTGCACTGCATAAGACAAGAATCAATCAATAAATTCGTGCAACGTCGCTAGCCCAATGGGATCCCCAGAAATGGCCGCAAGGGATGTCGATGCACCCGTCGGTTGCAATCACAAGAAACGCGCACACAGGGGTATCCCGAGCATCTTATTACATACAGCCTATGCCGATACAACAAAGGAAAAATGCCGCGACAAAGGAAAATCTTCGTCCCCTCTCTCTTCTCATAGCCTCACCACTGGTCATGCAACATTCCATCACGAGGATCCCTCATCCGCACCCTGCTCCGACGCACTGCTCGCCTTCTCCGGCTGCGGCGTCGTCGACTGACTGGGTGGGTTAGGCGTGGCCCGGCGCGACATTTCCGCCAGTTCGCCTAGGATTCTGAGACACATATGTCAGTCAGCTGGGACTGTGAAAGCCGCAACAGGGTCAGGGGTCTTACCGTCGGTGTTCGTCATACCAGTCATCGTTGGACGTCCGGATATGCTTAAGCTGCTCCTGAATGCTTGCCATCTACCAGAAACCATGCCAGTCAGTAACCATGCCGGGTCAGGGAACGGGCCGTTGTCAGGTAAAGGGATGAAATTGGGGAAGTCCTGTAGTGGAGGACGAAGTTAAACGGGGCAGTCCCACCGTTCCCTGGATGGATGAGCCAAGATCCTCACCTTCCGCGGCCTCCTCCTTCTCGCCCGCCCAGCGGCTACCCTCCAGTCCGACCGATCCGCCCTGCGTATCCTTCTCGGCCTTCAATGCCGCCACTTCGGCCTCCAGCTCGCGCACCCGCTTGCGGTTGGCCGCAATCGACGAGTCCACCTCGCCCAGCTGGTTGAGGAGAGACATGTTCTTGTCAATCTGGCTGTTCAGATCGCGCTCGCCTTGCTCCAGCTTCTCCTCCATGGCACGGTTCTCCGTCTTGCACGCCTGGAGTTCACCAGACAGGGTCTCGTGCTGGCTCTTCAAATTCGACAATTCGTCCTTGGACGCGGCAAGTTGTTGCAGAACAGCTTCCAGTTCCGACTTGGCGCTCTCCGAAGCAGCAAGGGACTGCTCGAGCTCGGCCACCCGGCTGCTCACGGCCTGGTGTTGCTGCTCCAACTCGTTCTTCTCGGTAAGGATGGAAGAGAGATCGGCGTTGTGCTTGCCAGCCAGCTCCTTGGACTCCGCAGCAGACTGCTCCGCTTCGTTCAGCTTCTTCTCCAGATCCGCAATGGTCAGCTTCAGACTCTCAAGGACCGAAACATCTTGAGCGGCGGCGTGAGCTTCGGCCAGCTGGGCGTGGACCTCCGCAAGGGCAGCATCGTGAGTCTTTTGAAGTTCCTCAATCTTAGCCTGGTTGGTGGCCTCCAGGTCAGCCCGGAGACCAGAAAGCTTCTCCTCCTGAATGGTAAGGAGCTGTTCGATCGCCTTGCTGTGCTCAGCATCAGTTTCAGCGGACCGAGACGTCTGAAGGGATTGCAGTTCAGCCTGGAACTGGGCCTTGGCCTCTTCATGCTGCTGCTGAAGTTCGGCGATTTCCTTAGCACGGGTCTCGGTGTGCTCCGCAATCTCCTGGGCATGGCGCTGAAGGGCGGACCGGAGCTCGGCCTCAAGAGACTCAACATGCTCAGCATGCTTCGACTCCAGGTCGCGAAGGGTGGACATGGACGCCTCGTACTTGGCCTGTAGCTCGCCAAGCGCCTGCTCGTGGGAACCCGTGGCAGTGGTCTTGACATTCTCGAGAGCGACAGCGTGCTCAGCCTTCAGGGATTCGAGCGCCTGTGCATGCTGCTCGGCCACCACAGCGGCTTCCTTGGCCTTCTCCTCCAAGGACCTGAGTTGACTTTCCTGCTCAGCGTCCTTGGCCTTGGTCTTGTCCTCAAAGGCGTCCAGGCTCTGCTGCAGCGCCTCCGCCTGCCCTTGCTTGCTCTGGATCTCGTCTTGAAGAGACTTGATCTCGCCCTGTCCGGTGGAGAGCTGGGACTCCAGCGCACCGACCTTCTCCTTCAGCGACTCGATCTCCTGGATGGCAACGTCCTGAGCCGAGCTGTTGCCGTTTTCCAGAGCTTGGCGGGCCTCCGCGAGGTTTTGTTCGGTAGCCTCCAGTCTCTGGTGCAGAGCATGCATCTCCGCTTGGTGGGCGGCATCCAGCTCGGCGATCAACTCCTCCTTGTCCTCCGCAGCAGCAGACTCGGCCTCTTCAAGCTTCGCACGGAGTTCGTCGAGTTGCTGGGCGTGAGAGGTTCCAGCGGACTCAGCGGCCTCCTTGGCAGCGGCAAGTTCCTGTGCGTGAGCTGCCGCAGCAGCAGCCAGCGCCTCCTCATGAGTCGCCTTCAGCTGAGCAACTGCGGCCTCGTGAGATGCTTCGAGTTCCTTGACCTTGTCGCCAAGCCCGTTCTCAGCGGCCGCAGAAAGTGCTTGTTCGTGACTGGCCTTGAGATCCGCAATCGTGGCCTCGTGAGCGGCTTCAAGCTCCTTCTGCTTCTCGCCAACCTTGCTTTCGATCGCCGCAGTCAGTGCCTGTTCATGTTCAGCCTTAAGCTGAGCAATGGCGGCCTCGTGGGCACCTTCCAGCTCCTTAACCTTGTCGCCCAGTCCACTCTCAGCGGCCGCAGCGAGGGCTTGCTCATGGCTGGCTTTCAGTTCTGCAATTGCAGCCTCATGAGCCGCTTCAAGCTCCTTGACCTTGTCGCCAACCTTGCCCTCAACAGCGGTAGCCAGGGCCTCCTCATGCTCGGCCTTGAGCTGAGCAACAGCAGCCTCATGGGCGGCCTCCAGCTCCTTGGTCTTCTCTGCGATCTGGGCTTCCGCGTCCTGGCGGCCCTGCTCAAGTTCCACGTGCGCCTTCTCCAACGCGTCCTTGAGGTCGGCAATCTCCTGGTCTTTCTCGGCCAAGCGAGCGGCCGTCTCTTCGTTGCCTTCGCTGGTCGCAGAACCCGCAGCGGCAAGCTGGCTTTCGAGCGATGTCACCTTGTCCTCCAGGGCTAAGATGGCATGCTTGGCAGCCTCCTCTGCGGCCCGGATCTCCTGCTGCTTGGCCTGGTCCAACCGGTCCATCTCCATGTGCAGATTTTCGACCACCTGATCACGTCCATTGAGCTCGCGCTGGAGATCTTCCAGTTTCGCAAGGGTCTTGTCCAGATTGGCACTAGCCTCGGTCAGCTGGCCCTTCTGCACCTCAAGCTCGGCCTTCAAGGAGTCGACTTGCTCGGCATATCCGGCAGCTGCTGCCTTCTGCTCGGCAAGATCCTTCTCCAGCGCTTCCAGTTGGGCTTGGTGCGACTGCTTCAGTTCCTCCAGGGCCGCAGCAGTCTGGTCATCACCTTGAGCCGCAGCGGACTGGGCGGCGTCGTCCAACTCCTTGACGGACTTCTCCTCCAGCTCCTTGTGCTTCGCCTCGACATCCTCCAACTGGGCACGCAACGCCTGCAGCTGCTCCTGATGGACCGCGGTCAGCTGTTCAAGTTCGGCGGTATGCTGTTCCCGGAGCGCCTTGGTGGCCTCATCGACATTCTCGGAGGAATCGTTCGGGGCGAGAGACAGCTCGGTCAGTTTGAGGTTGACAGCGTCCAGATCCGCCTTGAGGCTGGTCACCGTGGCTTCGCTCTCCGCCAGCTTGGTCTGAAGCGACTGCAACTTCTCCGAGTCTTCCTCGGCACCCTTGGGCGCGGTGCTCAACCTCTTGGAGGCGGTCGTCGCCGGCCTCGTCACCGTCGACGTGGGTCTAGTGGTGGTACGAGTGGCGGTGGCGGAGGAGGAAGTGGTCGGACGGGAAGTCGAGGTGGTGGTAGCCGGCTTGGTCAAGGGCCGCACCGTGGAGGCCGTGCTCGGGCGAGTAGTAGATGTTCTCTTCTCCGCCGTAGTCGAGCCCGCAATGCTGGAACGTCGGTCCAGCGTGGACGTGGTGGGCTTGACGGGGGCTCTCGTGGCCGAGGTACCAACCAGCGACATGCGCTTGGCTGCTGTGCTGGAGATGCCACGTTTCTCATCTCCCGAGCTGGCTACCGACCGGTGGGACTTTTCGTCTGCGGAACTGCTGACCGAGGCGCGCGACCGATGGCCGGCTGTGGTGGTGGTGGTAGTGCTCAGGGGCCTGCGGACCGTCGTAGTGGTTGCGGGCCGGGTCGGAGGCTTGTTCAGGGTGCTGCCGTTGGTCGCGGCGGGGCGTGTGGTCGAAGTGGTAGTTCTGGAAGGACCGGACATGGAGGTGGGACGCTTCGTGGTGGTCGTTCCGGACAAGGGACGCCGAGTGCTGGTCGTGGAGGAGGGACTTTTCTTGACCGGAGAGGCCTTGACGTTCTCCTTGTCCTTGGAGACATCCGGGCTCGTGACGGGCTCCTCGCTCCCTGAGAGGATGGTCGAATCAACCGGAGTGGCAGGGGGCGCGATCTCCGGCTCCACCTCCGCAGGAGCAACGGGGGTGACAGGTTCCTCTGTGGACGCCATGCTGTGGAGAAGGAGTTCGTCTGAGATTGGTGTGCAGGAGGGCGGAAGGTTCGCAGCGTTCAGCGTTGTCAAAACTTAACGAGGCAGTCTAACGAATTGGGAGCGTCCACGTTAGCTGATCCGACCAGCAGAAGTAAAGATGTATGCAAGATCCCCAAGATGGAGGGGGCGGGGAGCTGTCGGTGCAAGAACAATGGATTTATTGCAATCATGCAAGAAAATGAGTAACAGGAAAAGGGGGCCAGAAGATGTAAACAAGGTCTCCTGAAGAGGGAAAAAAAGCACTTTCTGAAAGTTGGCCCCGTAGAGAGAAGCTGCGACGGAATAGCCGAGGCGGGTCTCCTTTTTTTTCTGGCAACTCCGCAGACCACGGCGCAACGGGGAGGATCACGCAACACAGGGCTGCTGGGGAGTCTCAATGGCAGAGGATGATGCAGAAAATAATTGCAGGCAGCTTGGGAGGTGGACGACTAAAAGGGTGGACAGGGAGGGGAGCAGAGAGGCACGGTGGCATGGTTCTTGCTGGACCCCGGAGAGGTGCAGATCAAAACAGTTGGGGTCAGTAGTTACTCACCAGGAACTGCCGGGAGGGAACCAGAAAACCAACGGGCGGGATTAGAAAAGGGGGTTAGCGGGGATGGGGATTAAAGAATTACAAAAAGTAAGTAGACAAGGAAAAGAGAAGAAGCAAGAGGGAAACAAAATACAGAGAGGTAAGATAGTAAGAGAGACACAACAAGAAGATGGGAGGAGGAATGAGGGGGGGGAAAGAAGAGGAGAGGAAGAGGAGAAAGGGGAGTAAAGTAGTAGTAGTAGTAAGTTCTCTCTAGTAAATTTTGGGAGGGAAAAGGGAAGAGAGTCGAACAGGAGGAGGTGCTGAGGAGGGGGAGGGAAAGGCGGAACGAAGGGAAAGAAGATGGGATGAATGCCTGATTGGCCTCAGGCATGGGGAGAGCGGTCGGCGGTCAGGAGGTCAACAACTTCTTCGTTTGTTTCTAGACACTCTGGCGGGTCAGTCAGTTGATTCCCACTCACTATCTCGGGTCTATCGAATCTACCATCGAATCCGTCTCGCGTTCAGACCACAACAACGCTGCCTCCTTCCTACTTCCTGCTGGCCACGGTTGGCGTCACTCCCAGCTGGGTTCATCCCATGGTTGTCATTGCTGGGGTTTCCGCGTGTTGTCCCCCTGCCCCCGCCCCCCCCCCTAAACCGTCCGTAGGATAAACAATGCCCGTTGTTGGTTCCATGGTTCCGTCCACGGACTAGAATGAACAATCACATCCCACTTTCAATCATGCAATAAGAGTACCCGGGCAGTAATGGCTAAGACTGATACTTAAGACTAAAGAATGGGAGAAATCACACAAAAATTCAGGGTATATGACACGACTGCGCTCAACGAAATCATTACGGCAGCCAGAATAAATAAATATATTTTCCTCATCACTCAACCACATTCAGCAACCACCCCCAATCCCATTGTTCTTCTTTCGTCCGTGCCATTTCCCGGATTATCGGGAGCATTTGGTAATACAGTTTCTCGCTTTGTTTGCGCACCTCCCTCTCCCCGCGTTGGCCAATGCCATCTTGGTAGAACTCACAGATTCGACGGTAGCGGTCCGGGCCTAGATGCATCCAGTGAGCATGCCGTGCCGCCGACTTCTCTTTTTCCAAGTAGGAGCACTTACCCTGGAACTGTTGCAAGCCCTCGATAAGAGCGAGTTCCTGGTCTTTCGTCCAAGTCCGTGGTTGATGTGTCGGGTTCGGGGGTCTGGACTGACCCTTCTGAGTCGATTTTTTCGGCGCCTTCGCGTGCCGGTCAGCCTCCACATCTTCCCGTCGGTGGCGCTTCTGCAGGCGACCATTTTCTAACGAGTCGAGGAGCCGCTGCAGGGGCAGACGCAACCCCGGGCTGACGGCCCGGCACGCCACATAATGTCCTCGGACAAGACCGCGGATCTGATCACACCGCCGGAGCAGTACTCTCATGGCATGCTGGAGATGCCCGTATGCTTCCGGGAAGAGTCGATGATCCATGGAGTAGGCTTGAAAGCAGACGAGAACCAGCCGCACTAACAGCGGGATCATCTGGGCGTCGAACACTTCCACCAGTGCTCCGCCTTTCGCTCCATCCCCTTGAGTCGAGAGTGTGTAGGCCTCTTCTAGGTGACGGCGTCCTTGTTTGTCAACCTGGTCAAGCGACGCGCTGCAGTTACGCACGTCATAGTCTGACGGCCCAGTGTCAGATGCCAAGTTCTCGATAATATCTTTGTAGACTTGGATTAGGGATGACAATTCACGCTTCAGCGACTCAAAGCCAAAGTCAATTAGGTCGACATTGGAAGCTATGTTCCGAGGATGCATGCTCTGGACAAGCTTGTTCCAATTGGAGCGCTGGCCGTCGAGTTCAGAGGCTTCCTTGAACCATGCACTATCTTCCGGGCGTTCAGGCCTATGGCTACGCTCATCAAAGTTGTCTTGGGCAGGTTCGTCCTGTGTGGCAATCCGGGTTGTGGCCCGCTGCAGAACGGCAGGCCTTCCTTGGGAGGCAGGTTCCGTAGCATGTTGCGCCCCATCATGGTTTGCGCCATGGGAGTGCTGGGTGCCCTCAGCTGGACTCTTTCTGACAACCCGGGAATTGGCCTGCTGACGAACTCCGGTAGTTTGTCGTCCGGGCTGTATCTCCCTATTTTCGGTCGTACCTTGTGAGCTCGTAATTGAGTGTCTTCGTTTCGTGGATTGCCGCGGTGGGTCTGAGACCTGCGGACTTGCTTCCGCAGAATGATGCTGAAAGTCATCCTCGGATGAGGTAGGCTCGGGAGAAGGCACCGATGACGAGGACGCCTCTGAAGGTTGGTATGGCGGGTCTTCGTCCTGTGTGGTGCCGGCATCATTGACTTCTTGGTCTGGTATACGCGTTTTATCATCCCTCAAAGACCCGCCCATTCGGTGATCCCCCGTTGCTGAAGCCTTGGATGATAAAGGCGTTGTTGTAGTTATTTCAACCGCAATTGTGGGTAATCGCCCTGCCGAGGAAGCATCACTGCGGCTGCAGTCTCGCCTATTGGCGGGCTGTTCAGGTGCATCTCTCCACTGTTCGCTGCTTGTATCTTCAATTAATTCGGTTGAGATTGGTTCAGAAGCTGCTATGTCCCTGACAGGTTGTGTATTGAGTTTACGACCAGGAGTCTCATGGCTGGAGGATGGCGATGAGCTAGGCCGGTCGATAGATGGCTGGGTACGCTCATCAATATTCGAGAAAAGTTCTACTTCTGATGCCAGATCTTCGCCATCAAGCATCTCTTGGTCACTCTGGGATGAGATATCATTGTCTTCATCATCATGTTCAGCGTCGCTTAAAGAGTAGTCTTCGGTTTCAGTCTTAGTACTTGTGTGTGGGGGAATCATATGAGTGCCATCTCCGAAACCGTCTTCGGCCTGTTTTGTAGATCGCTCCTCACCTGGCTCATCTGACTGATCGCCAGACTCGTGCTCTAGTTCTGGGCTTCCAGGAGGCTGCAGCATTTGATCGCTTTCATACCGAGTGGATCCACCAGGCACGGGTTCCGAGAACCTTAATGACCGACGCGGAGTGACCACTTCAGTTTCGTGGGCGTATCTGGGCTTCGGGGGGACAGTCCGAGGGAATAGACCAAAACCATCATTCATGTCCGCAGCATCTCTCTTGCCAGAGTACGTGAGCCGACGCGAGGGATGCGGCGTGGCGGGACCGGGTCGATTTGCCCGAGACGGAGGGTTTTGTATGTTACCCATGAGGCCATTCAAGAGGTCGACCGCCTGCAGGGTGGAATCGCGCTTCCTCCTCCGCTGCACAGAACGCGGTGAGTCCGACATCTTGAAACCCCATCAAATTCAAGGAACAGAAGCAAAGTAAAGCATACCCGCTCCCCCAGCAAACAGAAAACAATGAGTGGACCTGTCAAGCCCGTCGGGGATCAGGGACGGCGGCGAAGGAGCTGGTTGGTGGGAAGCTAGAACGCGAGGTGCTTCCCGTGATCGGCGGGCGTCATCACTTGCCCGCCTTATCGATAAGGCCCCGCTGCCAGATTGCCAGCCAACCTTCCTCCATCTTCTCCCCACCATCCTTCGTTTCCCTTTTCTTTCCGTCTGCTTCAACACTCATTTAAATACCATCTATCCAATTATTTTCGCACACACTTAGCGACACTATGGCCGCGGACGTCCCTTCAGTCCGTGTGTTGCCCACCCTCGACCCCGCGGTGGGGCACACGTTCGCCGCGCCCACCAAACGCATCCACGAGCACAGCGATGTCTCCGAATTCTTGTGTTCTAAAGCTTATGTGGACATTATGACATTCCTCCTCCAGCTAAATCGGTCAATGTTTCCTGCCAAGCTAGAGGATGGACGCGTTCAGACTTGGCCCTTGAATTCTGATGCTGTGGAATACTCCGCACCGGTTCGCCAACTTCAGCAGCTGCTCTCTAAGCTAGAAGCAATTCTCGAGGAAGCTCCCCCCGATAAGGGACCCCGTAGATTCGGAAATATCAGATTCCGCAGATGGTACGAGATTGTTGAAAGTCGTGTCTCCAGCCTCCTGGAGGAGTGTCTCTCTCCAGAGGTCCTCAATCGGAAATCAGCAGAACCCGAGGGGCCTACGGCGGCAGCAGAGCTCAAGGCATACTTCTTGGGAAGCTGGGGGAGTCCTCAACGTCTAGACTATGGTACTGGCCATGAATTGAGCTTTCTGGCGTTTTTGGCTGGACTTTGGAAGTTGCACGGATTCCCGCAGAGCACTTTTGGTGTCGAGGAGAGAGCCATTGTCTTAGGCGTCATTCAACCGTGAGTATCTCTAGCCTCTGTTTGAATTCATACTGATGATTGCTAGGTACCTTGAGCTAGTGCGGACAATTATCAAAACATATACCTTGGAACCGGCCGGTTCCCACGGCGTGTGGGGACTGGATGATCACTCTTTCATTCCCTATATCCTCGGCTCAGCGCAGTTTGCTCCAGCTATATCGGAAACAGATCGAGTGCCAGAAGAGGGTTCTTTGCCGGATGCGCCTGACCCGACGGGTGTTGCTAAGGTGAATGTTGTGGAACGGGAACGACGTGGAAATCTTTACTTTTCTGCCATCGGCTTCATCTACGATGTGAAGAAGGGCCCGTTCTGGGAACATAGCCCAATGCTCTACGATATCTCTGGCATCAAGACCGGCTGGGCCAAGATCAACAAGGTATTTGTGGCACAGACGGAGTGGTAACGTCGTACACTAACTGCCGACAGGGCATGATCAAAATGTACAACGCGGAAGTGCTATCTAAATTTCCCGTCGTACAGCACTTCCCTTTCGGCTCTTTGTTCAGCTGGGACCGCGATCCAAACGCCATACCCCAGCCATCTACCGTCCACACCTCATCTGCGCCACAGCCTCGACAAACCGAAGCTCCCCAAGTCTCCGGACCAGGAACCAAAGCCCCATGGGCCACATCGCAAGCTGTCCCTCCCACCAGCGGAACTGCCGCACCCTGGGCAACAGCACGAGGCCCGACCAGAGGTCCAACTCTGCCCGACACCTCCCGGCTACCGTCCGGCCCAATGGCCCCGACCAGGGCTCCATGGGCAAATGCAGCTCCAGGGCCGGCTGCTGGTGCTGCTGACCCCCAAGGGGACATAACGACCAAGGCACCCTGGGCTAAATGACCTAGTACTTCTGCTTGATCGATCTTTATCTGTACTTATACCCTTGCACAATATCAGTTGCATACGATAAGTGAATCGTAAATTGTCGACACGCCTTCTATGCCATAACTCCAAACCCCGGGGTATCATCCGTTTATAAAACCAACGCAACGCCTCGTAGACATGCAAAGAACCACCGGACACACACTCACTCCGAATCCGACGCATAGCTCACCAACCCAAGCGTCGGACGAGCTGTCTCTTCCGTCTCCCCAACACTCTTCTCCACCTCCGAGCCAGTCTCACCACTATCCTTCCCATCATCCGCCTTACTCCCAGAGACAATCTTCCTCCTCTTCACCTCAGGCCTCCAGGCACCGGAATCACTGCTCAAAAACGGATCCACAGCAGCCCTTGTATTTCCCCTCAACTCACTCCGAAAAGCAGCCTTCCGATCCTCAAGCACCTCCTTAGCCTTCATCCTCTTCCCCTCCTTCTTTCCCCCGTCAACACGCGCCTCCTCCCCAAACAGCGGCTTGATCCTCGCCCTCCGCCCATCCACCCCACTCCCGGTCTCCCCAAAATCCACCATCCCCGCCCTTACCCGATCACTCTCAATCTCATCGACAACCTCAATCCCCAAACTCAACTTATCCTTCAACTTCTCCCTCTCCTCCTCCTTCTTCTCCAACCCCTTCCTCTCCGCCCGAAACACTCTCCTAATCCTCCGACTCTTCTCATACGGATCCTCCCAATCCCTCGCCTGTCTTCTCTGCAACTCCAAAATCCGATCCCGTTTCTCCTCCCCGCGCTTCTTATCCACCACCTTCCCCTCTAACCTCTCCAACGCATCCATCTTCCCTTTATCATCCCCGGTGATTATCTCCCCCACTTTCCTCCCCTCCTCATCAACCCCGTAATCCCTCCTCCGTGCCCCGGAAATAACCACATACTCCGTGTTCTTCGGGTCCGTGTGTATCTCGATCCACCCGCCACAGGCGCCGTGCTTCATTCGGAAACTGTAGATGGGCGTGCTGTAGTAATTCCCTATCTTCTTCTTCTCCGCGTTGAAGCGCACCCCCTGCCCGATGATGGTTTCGTGTGGTTGGCATGTCGTGCACCAGATCGCGAAGGGCATCTCGAAGCGGACGGTTAGGGCGCCCGTGGATTGTAGGTTGCGTGCGCGGGAGCCGAGTGGGTGTTTGTTGTGGAGTTTGTTGCCCGTGGTTAGGCCTTCGAGGTCCGGGGGGACGTAGCGTCCCATGTCTGGTGGGGGTAAGTAATTGATGTAGATGGTTGGGAGGTGGGGAGGGGAGGGGAGGGGACGTACTGAAGCCTTGCATTTTGGGCGGATGGGAGTGTGTATCGTAGGGTGTGGTGGTAGGGAGGGTATAGTGATGGTGCTTGGCGAGCCAGCGCGGCGGCGGCGGTTTGGAGTTTGGATGTGATGATAAGGTTGATGCGATGCGATGCGATGCGATGCGCTGGATGTCCGATAGTGGAGTTGTGCGGATGAGTCAGCTGTATAGCAGATGTGCATAACTTGCTCCGGGTTTCAACGTCACCTCTCGGATTTCAGCACCGAAAAGCCATGGTTTGCGAGACTAGTCAAAGGCCTCTAGCTCTGTTTTTTTACCACTAATTAAAGGAAATTTGTGCAGAGCTCATATGAAGAAACCGGGTTAGATGGAATTTATGTGGGTCTGTCCCAGCCTTCATTGATGACCAAATGAAGATATATATATCTTAGGAACCACGCCTTATGCCCATTGGTAGTTTCAAATTATATCATCGTAGACGTTTCTCAATGCATCCCGCACGTGTCCTTGAGTTCCTCCAAGGCGATCTGCACCTTCTTTCCGTCACACTATGAGCAAGTGATCTAGTGTAGGCCCTGAGTGGCTAATGAGTGGGCGTATGAGTTTATTCTCGGTGTAGCAATACCCTACCTTGACATCCTTGACTGCGAGGGACTATTCCCATCTTGTCGGGTCTTTCATGTGCAGTTGTTGTATTGAGATGGAAAGCCAGACATAGCCGGTGTCAAAGCCGAAGTCCAGAAAGGCAAAAGGTGCTGGCTTTTCTACTGCCAACTTTACTCACCTTCTGTTGGAGCGTTCATTATGGTGTTGCTATTCAATATACGATCAAGTGCACAATTATGCACTTTAGTTGGGCCGAAGTCAGACATTCATCGAGTGATTACACATGCATTAGCGTGCACTCTAGTGTAGTTCCGACCGTCTACCATTATCGATGTTTCCAGGAAAAGTAGTATATGCTAGGGGCTAGCTGGGACGCAGATGTTAAGTGTAAGCTGAGTGGAACACAAGAAGTATTTCGGCCCTCCATGTCCAGGTTGAGGCTGTCAATTCTGTGTCTTGCGGTTCACCTCGAGGCTTCCTGAGCAACGCAAGGAGGGATCGTCACGCTAAGCCCCGCCTCCGCCCTCCCTCCAAGCCTAATAGAGTAAACCACAAGGCTGCCTAGCGCTTCACAAACGAATATGAAAGGGCATCCTTCCATTCCACTTTCTATTCTGCTGTAATTCGTGACACAGAATGGCAGGTTCCATCCAGAACATAGTGGCAACTCCACTACATGCCGTTGCCGAGTCTAACATTGCTCTGGCCCATCTGAACTTTGATTTTTCATTGGTCAAAGTCGAAGCGCCTGCCGAACTCCAACCCGTGGGAAAACAGCTTTCTCAAGCCCGGCGACAGTCCGCAGAAGATGGTTCATTTCATATTCTGGCCCGACGCCTGGGTGTGTTATTTGACGATGTTCTGCCAGACGTGCCTGTCTTATTGGAGGCTTATGGGACTCGTGCTAGTGAAATTGCCCAGGAGACTTCCCAAAGATTACACCAGCCGAAGAATATTGTAAACGGGTTCTTTGGCACTCATCTAGGCATTGATAGCACGACCATATGGGCTAGTGCAACGAGTGGAAGGTCTGTGCTTCGCATTCATCTCCTTGCCTGTTTTCTGGCCCGTATCTGGACTCATCAAGAGGCAACGGGGGTTTGGAAAGAAATTGTGACTCATCGCCAGGCAATCATCAGAAAACAAGCCCAGTCATCTGAGATTGTGGATAACTACTTGGCGCAATTAGCTGCCGCCCATGAGGTTGATGAAGCGCTATTAGCAAGCTGGGATTCCAGTGCACGGGCGTGGTTACAAATTGCAGACCAAGCGAAAAAGAAAGAGCAGATCCAAGTTCAGTTGATCGTCAACAACCGTTCAGTGGCAGTAAAGGACCAAGAAGCTTCGGATGATAAGCCATCTACAAAGCCAAACAGCTATGACAGTGTTCTGTATAATTTCAACCGCGCCCTGATTGCGATGGAAAGCCTGATCAAAGGGCAACCCCAAAGAATCACAGACGGCGGAATCATGCTTGCCTTAACCTCGTGGCATCTCTATCCAGATCTGGTTATACTTACATCAAGTACCAAGGAAATATTTCAGAAAGACGGACTGGTCAAAGAAGGTGGAATAGTCACGATTGCAATCGCTCCTCAAACTGGCCCTCGTGCAGATGGGGTATATTGGTCTTTGCCACTAGCAAGCCTTCGTTACTACGGCACTGTTAGACGAGAACGATCCACTATGCATGACTCAAGAATCTCAGTGGAGCAACTACAAGCCTTAGCACTTGGTGCCTCTTTGGGCTCCTATGATGGTGCAGTTCCTGCTGCCAAGTTCATAGGGTCACTCTGGAAGCTCTTTTACCAGATATACCGACTAAGAATGTACCAGATCGCCGAGAGACCGCTGGAGCTTCCCGAAGACTTATCACGGTATAGTGTGGTCGATCTTATCGTGGATGATCCGGAGTCGCTCAGGGCAATAATGAAACTGCTACAGCTGATATTCTCCCTCAAGGGTGGCATAGAATTGCTGCTGTCGGATGATTCCGAGGAAAGACAAATCGCAATGCAACTCATGCGATACGGCGCCAACTATGGGAGGTCATGGATTGGAAATGATGGGAACTCATCATCGGCGTTCCTTGGTCTAACAAACTTGCAATCCCTGCTCGGAACGATTCGATACTCAGGTGAAAGAATCAATATTCTTCGCACACTATGCTCCAAGTATCAGCTCGACCCGTCTGATTATGTGATTCGCTTCCGAACTCGGCACAACTCGTGGGCCTTTTCGCCTATATCATCTAACCATCCCGTGGGTGTTCATGGTGGTATGAAAAGGAAGCGGAATGAATATGAATCATCCGATGCAGAAATCATTGAGTGTGTCCAGGTCCCACCAGGAGAGGACTGGATTTGCATCGCTACCCTAGCGACATCGAGGGGACATGCTGTTCAAACCGGCGCACCTGGGGCTTTCGAGGATATATTTGCCGAACTTATGGAAGATAATCCGCAGACCAGAGAGTCAGTTCTGTTTGACTTTGCGTTTGGGGATCATAATCTAGCAGCTGTTTATAGAAGGCGAACCAGCCAGTCATCATCCCGGAATGAGACATTCTCGAGCATAGTTCCGCTGTCATTGGTCCAAGATCTCCTTGACAGGAATGTTGTGATGCCTGAAAAGGTGGTTGAATGCATATTGGACCAATTCGGATCAACGCAAGCTCTGCATGAGAACTCACTTCTCGCTCTTGGAAGAGTAATAGATTACTACAAACGCTACTTGCCTCAGGCTACGGTATCCATGAGTGTTATAAAGAGCCCTATGACCTCGTGGAAATGGGTTCCATCCTTGCTCCACCCGCTTGATCTATCAGCTTCTCTCGCCACGCAGCAGGCTCGCGAAGGATCTGTTCCTGACTCCGTTTATTTAAGTTTATTGTCTCGGCAACACGCATTTGCAGCCATCCTCCAGTTCGAATCCGGTACAATCAGCCTGGATACATTAGACCTCACAGCAGTGTTCGCAATATCCAGTGGCAACTCGCTTTTCATCGCGAAGCAATTACTATACGATCCAATCCCGCAAGATAGAATCGAGTCCCATGCTGTTTCCCACGTCATCGGTAACATTGGAAAACCAGGTATTGCTCTCTTGGTTTCCCCACCCGAGTTGGAGATTCGAGAACACACACTTGAGCGGTGGCGCCTTGTCAACCATCATCCATTTGATGGAAACCCAGTGGGTGGAAAATTCGATGGTACATCGCTTCATTTGTCATTTACTGGATGGGATGGGCCTGTGAGCTTGGACTCTACCAGTTACAGAACCATGGAAGCCTACTATCTTCAAACAACCATCTCCGTCAATGATGGCGGGGAGTGGGTGGGAGATGTGGATATCCTCCAAGGACTAACGGATGTTCAGTTCCTAGTGTATCCTTTCTCAAGGGGATCGTGTAATCACGATCCTAGCTTCAGAGCAGCAGCGATAGAAATGGTGTCCATCGACTGTTGGGAGGAGATTCTAGATCCCCCTGATGGTGTCCTCGTGCTCCGTTCAACACCGGTAGCACCTGACGGTTCTGAAAGATGGCAGTGGATGGTTCGATTAGCCGCAATAAGCATGGCTTCCTCGAGAAAATTCAAATGCTTCTGTTTGCCTCTCGATAGAGACATTTGTTGGACTTGCGTTGTTAGATATCTTGGCGTCGACGGAGAAAAGAAACTTGTCGTTTACTAAGTACGAGACTTGATGCATATATATAAAGAAAGCCAGATTGGTGGCTCGGATAATGAACATATGAGGTAATTCGGACAAGAAATCGAAGTTTTTGGGATTCTAGTATGATATGTAAGCTTCACTTGGAAAATATGATAAAATCATCGCGAACGGCATCTCATGACACCAACATACACTGTTGGGAAACGCGCGTGTCAGAGGCTAATGTATACAGATCCCAGCATCCCAAAGTACTAAGTACGTCAAAGAATATAATAGTCAGAGATATGTATTTCCTGATCCCTGCGCACATTTTATAAGACCTGCTAGCTCTCTACCGAGTAGTTATAGCCGCGACTCATTCTAGCCTTGGTCTGTAGCCCTTTGAGCATACTTTGCCATGAAATGCCAATCAATATAAGAAGTATCCAAAGCCCTTCAGCCCTATGAATCTTGTAAACATATATACCCAATATCACGTAGCCGGACCATACTAACCGTTTTGAAAAGCAAGTCTATCAGCCGAAAGAAATATGCCCACCACTACCACCCACAACGTTATCCGACGTGTTAGATGATGAATGACCAGAACCAGATCTGCCTCCCGTATCACCCCCCTTACTCGCATTTCCTCCATTAGCCGAGATGTTACCCGTCCGAATGTTCCTGTTATTACTATTCATGTAGTGGTAGGCGGTTGCGGTATCGGCTCGTGTGGTCATGTTCCTACTGTTGTCGTAGTTGGTGGTCGTATTACCGCAATTCTCTGATGTCGTGTTGCCACAGTTCGTCGAGGTGTTGTTTCCGGTGTTGTTGTTCCAAGAGAAGTTATTGTGGCTTCCGCTGTTGGGGAAGCCCCCGTTCCAGGCCCATGGGTTTGGAGTGTCAGATTTACCTGGCTTCCAGCCTCCGTAAGTCATAGTGTGGTGCAAAAATGTGAATCAGGTCAAATGGTTAGATGAGTAAGGAGTAGTAAGTGAGAGGAAAGGTGATACTATGAGAAGAATGACCAATGCCTGCCACCTGCGATGCTTTGGTTCAATTTATAGACAGATATCTCATTACATCATTGCAAATGCCTGGCTGCACACAAGCACTGGTGGCTGCTTGAGTGGCAAAGGATTGAGACGATGGGTACAAGGCGTCTAGGCAACTCAACGGTAGGGCCGCAGATGCCGCGGGGGATTCGGCTTGCTGTGCGTACTTCGCACAGCCCCGATGAACATATCCATTGGCAACAGATATCACATCGGATGATGCAATGGCAGTCAATGGAAATGAAACGCACTGCCTTGCACTTTGAGCTTGAGTCAGCCCTACATCCACCATCTATTAGGGCAGTGATAGAAAGTACATAAATCCCTTAAGTGTAGTGAAAGTGCCCAGTAAATACAACAGCACATTCTGTCCTTGACTGGAGATAATCAACTCCTTTGCCGCTCTCCTTTGAATCCACACTTAGCCTCTACAGTAAGTGTGATGGAGAAAAGCAAATCATCAGAAGAATTGGTCAGTCCTGGGTGACAAGGATGTGCTGACTAGTTGCCTATGTCGAGTCATGGCCTGTTAATCTCTACCGAAACAAGCAAACCAACCATTCAGCTGATATGCATCTAGCTGCCGGTTATGACATATTTTGATAGCTCGGGCAATGTTGCATGTCATAGCACCAATAGGGCGGTGGGGAGTGGATCGGATATGTCTCTGTCTCTGACACGCCGATCACTCGGACGAATTGACATCTCCTTTTCCACGGCCACTCCGTAGACACGTCCTAAACATGCATGCAATTATTAGTGCTGCTCGAAAGCTGTTCAATGATGCCCGCGATCCTCCAGTAAGTAAATCTGAACAAGCTCATCGACCTGGCCAGAAATACCCTGCGGCCCAAAGTCAATGCTTAAAATGAATAACATATAGTTCTAAGGTCAAATCGCCTTTTTCAAGTTCTCCGTTCAGTAGCCATTGAGCCACACCTAACCCAACCTCGAAAACCTTTTCTCTACTGTCTCATTACATTTATCGTCCTCTTTCCTCTCCTACTTTGAGTCTCCCACTTCAGCAATCAAACCAAACCATGTCTGAGCATACCACTCGCAAATACGGCGACCTGGAGTCCAGGGGTGCCGAGGCCACTGGGCGTCAAGCAATTAGCACAGGCCTTTTCAACTCGAGGACTGGAGCTGCCGGAGGCGATGTTAACGGTGGAGATGGTGGAAAAATCTCCATCGCAAAAGAACACAACTTTGTTGAGACCGCAAACATCAATGTCTCCGGAGGCAACGCTCATCAGACTGGGTATCACGCCAGAGGTTTCCACCATGTGCAACTTCTGGCAATGTGAAGGGTGGAAATGGTGGCACACTTGAACTCTGAGTGCCGTACTTAGCAAGAGGTCATGTTGTCTAGTGTTAGTTTTAGAGCCCTCCATTCTGGATTACGGATAATAATTGTGCTAAAGTGCGTGGCAGGACGGAAAGGAAGGTGATTGGATTGTCCAATGAAGGATACGGGATTTATAGAGCTGCTTCTCTCTTTGACCAATGTTATGGAAGTCATGAGGCAATTGCATATAAGCTTTGTAGTAAGCTCACAATTGTCCGACCAAAGCTAGGGAATAAGGAATTGTATTGTATGCTACAGCTGCTTAGATGTTAGCGGAGTGGTGATCCTACACGCAAATGGAACTAATTCCGAGCCTTATTTCTGTCAGTCAACAAGTAAAAGTATACCTAGAATCATGTAAAGAGATGCGTTATGGACCGCAGAGTTGGCAGTATGAGGCTCTAAGGTGGACAAGCCTCAGCTGGTCTACAGCGAGACAGCTGCAATGAAAAGACCCCTCATCACTGCCTATTCTTTGTGAAGCGGTCAACCCACAAACTTGCATGAATGTGAATCCATAATCAATAGACCGGAGACACTAATTACAAATATAGGATGTTCGTGCAGGATTAGCTGCAAGATCTGGTGACATATTATGTGACAGGTGCTAGGCGGGGCTGAGCTGACACTCCACTTCTCCGTCTGCGGCAGGACAGACAGTCTCTCCCCCATCTCAAGATGTGACTTCCTGTCAGCTGTCGTCATCAACATCGGGGATCTACTAACCCCGAAGGTAATTGTGATGTCCCCGAGTAAGTATGGTGTCAGGTTTTGACGGGTAATCGACCACTACAAGCAAAAGTCTTGTCCGCAACCCTCCCGAGGACGGCTTCTCGCAGCAGATATGGTGCTGAACTATCGGGGAAATAATGTGAGAGTTTAAGCTGCCTGATTCTACTATCATTTACGACAGTGTGGCTAAGCTGACACCTCTTGGTCGTCCTTCGCTTTTCGGACAAGATTCACTCACTTTCATGATTTCTTCTCCCAAATTTTTAAGGTCAAAGGCTTGCAACCACGAACAAGCATAAGCCACCCCGCTAAAGACTAGGCTTAGAAATGTGAGGTTCGGAGCATAAACAGAATGTAAAAGAAGGCTACTCTCCCAACATTTGTTATGACCGATCATCTCTCCATCAATTCCTTCTCATTATAACGAGTTTACATACCACGGAACAGAAGTACTGCAACCTACCCGTCCCCCCCCCCAACTTGTCTGACGCCTTGAACTATGAACTACCGCATGAAGAGGAAGCTCGGAAAGCTTCGCTTTAGGAAGTGTAAAGCACTAGCAAAACATGGGGGTAGATGCAAGAAGCGTGCCACAAGTTCCGGCTTCTATTGCCACCATCACAAACACCTTGCGGTGGAAAATAAGAAAGACTTTCCACCACGCTTGATAGTGGACAAGCCGCAGGAAAGTCGCAAGGAGTTCGACTGTGGAAGTCCTACATCAAAGGCGCACGATATCACACCTGATGACATGGTTATGTCGGACGTTGCTGTTGCGGACATTCCCATTGATTCGAACTCCGAGATTGACGCGCCATTAAGGGCCACGCCAGAGCTGACCTCCGGGCCATCGGATACCTCGTACGGGGACATATCCCAAGGGCAAGATTTATCATCAGGGGAAGGTAATGGCAACGTGGAATCGAGTGGACGCTCTGACGACCAGGATGATGCAGCAGTAGCAGTAGCATATCAACAAAGAAAACCTGATTTACCACACGACCTTCCAGAACAGGAATTTGAAACGAAAAGTGACAGAAAATCTGCCTTTAATTCGACGTTCAACCATAACAGCGGCAACAGCACGAACACGAACTGCGGGAACACTACGAACAGCAATTGTGGAAATTCCACGACGAACAACGATGCCTCGCAGAACTTCCATGTGGAGGGCGTGGTAAGTATAATGCCCTTCGGGATTAGTCGACTATTACCGGGGTTATTAACACTGGCAATGTGTTCAGATGGCCTTCATCACGAATAACTACTCCGGCTTCTCCATAGACGACCAGACTATCAAAACGCTGATGCGAACAGCAGCAGCTGAGATGATGGATATTGTCCAAACGTACAATATTCCTGCTGGGAAGGAAAAAGCTATGGTTGAACTGGCATTGTTTGATATGGTCATTGTCTGTGGTGAGTTGTTGTCGATGGAGAGCTGATTACCATCTGTGCTGTGATTGACTAACATAATTTTTCGTATGATAGATAACAGTAAATCCATGCTTCTTTACTCAGATGCCATGAAAAAGACATTGCGGCATCTTGTGACGATCTCTTCGCTTCTCCTACCGAAGGGAATAACGATCCGGTTTCTCAATACCAACCACGACGGAAGGGATCTGTATGAGAACATCACTGAGGGCTATCAAGTGGACAAGATATGTCAGAATGCCAAATATTTTAGGTTCAGGAACGGCCCAGAGCTAGGGGATTTTGTCAATGAAGATATTATCCACCCTATGATCATGAGAAAGGCCCATGCGGGGGAACTTAAACGGCCAGTGATTACTATTATGCTTACTGACGCCGATGTAAGGAATTCTCAATATTACAATAACGTGAGGCTATCAACGTTCATGCTGACATATTTTGGATTCAACAAAATAGATACCTTCAGCCCAAGGTCGCGAGACATTCAAATCATGCATCCGCTCTTGTAAGAAAGCAGCGGACCTGCAAAAGTATGGTGACAAAGCAGCACTCTTCGTTCTCTCTCGAGTGGGCAATAGCCGAAGGGGAAAAGAATTCGTCAGCGAACTGGAAACTGATAATTCAATTAATGACATGCTACACTGCTCTCCAGATAGTCTGGATAAGTGGTTGGCAGACTGCCAGAAGCTTGGAAAAGAAAACGAATATACAGGCAAGGTGAGTGCATCTGCATCCTTTGCAGCCGTATATACTAATTGTGAACAGCTCATTGAGCTTTTTCTAACTGCATTGGATCGCAACGGAACTGCCTGATTGGAATTGCCCTGAGTACATCAATGATATTTCAAGTCAACACTACCACTGTTGTATTTTAGATTTCGGCATTTGCTCTATTGGGCGACTCAGGTTGCTATGGCATTTTACACTGAAGAACCTTTGGTTTCTAATGTATTCTGTATTATATGGTATGTAAGATCATATAATGTGCAATTTTGAATCAAAGTGGTAGACTGGCAGAAATAAAAGTGTAGTAAGAGTGTAGTAAGAGTGTAGTAAGAGACAAGTGAGAGACAAGTGAGAGACAAGTGAGAGACAAGTGAGAGACAAGTGAGAGATAAGTAAGTTAATAATATATAGTACTATACAGATATTAATTCTACTGAAGAACTGAGCATCCTACATTATAATAGCCAAAGATGCATTCACATACTCCATACCCGAAAACTGATATTCTTTTCAACACGATAGCCAACTCCAATACCTGAAACCTATTTCGCCCTCTCCAGCATATCCTGCAACATCGCCACATCCATCGTATACAAATCCGAACCATCATCCGCCAAAAACACTGAAGGACCCCTGCTAACCATCAAAAGCTCCGTTTCATGTTCAAAGGGAAGGGGATCATGAACGGCACCCTTGCTTTCCGAAACGTAATCTCCTTGAACAAATGCGCCAGTCTGAGGATGGGCACCGCTGCCCTTCAGAACATAAATTTCCGCACTCTCAACATGCCGATGGCGAGGAAGCAGTCCACCGGGTTCGGCACGGACCATGATCGTGTATTCTCCGGTCTCTGGAACAAGCTTGACAACTTTGATGAATACGCTCGGGGCCAAAGGGAGCCATTTCAGGCTGTCGCAGTGGACGGTGAATCCTGCGTCGTTGTCTGAGTGCATTGTCGGCGATGATGTGTTATTCACTTTTGTTAGGTGGTGGCGCTTGCTGCGGCTGTATTGGTGTTAACCGGCCTGTATGTAAAAATCACAGTTGTCTGAGTGCATGAGATACGTACTTGAGAACTTTGAATGCCAGTATTGTGTCAAGGCAATTTCCAACATTTTCGTTAACTATAGATTTGGGACGATGGACAAGGTAGATTTGAGCTAAACCCAAAAGAGAATAGCGATATGCCCAGCCATCGGATTCCCGAACGAAAACGGTAATAATCCGAGCGCCGGACAACATCTCTTGTGATGTCGGCTGACTGACCCTGGTCACCCTCAGGAGTCAGAGCGAACTGGATCTTAAAACCCCTTTTGTGTTTACTGAAAAAATCTGTCATTTTTTTTATATTTCGAAAGGGTCAACGCCAGTGCTAAGCCAACCCGCTGGAATCTGGCTATTGAAGAGTTGCCACATCAGCCAGTCGGCTGAGGCGTCCAAGTCCGGGTTTGGTATCGGTTCATCACTTAGCCCAAAATTGTTGTTGAAGGAAGCGCTCGGAAGAATTCCATCCATAGTGACAGGTTCGATTAGTTGATTCGGGCCGGATGTTCCAAGGTTTGACGACATATTCTCTGGGCCAGAATTTCCCCCTTGGAACAGCGGCTCGCACAGGCCTTCTAGCGACTGGAGGAGGTTCAAGAGTTTCCCAAGATGTGGATCTTGCTTGAACTGCGACAAACTTTGAGTTATTTGTTGAAGCAGTTCAAAATCGCTATGATCCAAAGTTCCGATAATGTTGCAGATGACCACAAAGAAGGCGCTTAGCGGGTAGAAGAACAAAGTCCTGTCTAATGGTCAGTAAAATGGAAATTGATATATCTAGAATCATCAGTGCACCATGTCAGAAACGATGGATATGGCTCTTCAAACCCCGGCATTTCTTCCGGATGCTGCTGGAGAAAGTGAAATGCTTCAAGCGACTTTCGGGCATGTACGAGACATTCTCTGTGTATGGCTGGGCTAAACGAGCTTTTTAAGCGTGTTCGGTCGATCTCGACGAAAATCGCGTAGTAGCAGAAGTCAACCGCAACCCAATCATATTGTACCATTTTTGGGAGGGAGTCACGGCTCTGAAGGAGGCTGTGTCAGGTGAAGCAACTGTATATTGGAATCTGGTACGCCTACCGACGGCATTTCTCGAAGGATGCTCTGCATTCTAGATTCAAGTAGCTGGCAAGTCTCCAAAGCCTGGCTATTCGACACATTCTTCGCGCAGGAAGATATTCCATGTAACTTCCCCTGGACCTGTGCGAGATCAAGTAAGACATGCAGAAGGGTATCGTATGGCGAGCATGGGTCTAGCACAATTAGATCTGTCGGGGAGACCTCGAGATCAGGCAATGAAGGGGGCCGGCCAAGAAGCGAACTCAGAGTTCGATCAAGATAGTAGCACCAGTAAACAACACTGTATACCTCTAATTCCAAGTCTGAGTGTGCTGGTATCCTGCGGATCTTGTGGTAGTTGAGGGATGCGATCTGTCGGGCAGCATAAGAGGTAAGGACCCAACACTGGTTTAGTCTCCCCAGGTGCTGCATAAGTAATGCCTTTAGGCAATGTCAATGAAATATTTTCCACCAGAAAAGTCAGCAACCTAGAAACTTACACTTGATAGTAGAGCTTGTATGGTGGAGAGATCTGGCCGTTTGAGTATGCTCAGTTTCTCAATGCTTCGAATTGTCGCTGTGATGTAGGTGGACCTAGACTGGGACAACTGAGATTTGAGAAGCGGGTTGTCCACAGTTCGTGAAGCCTGATATAAATGAAATATTGCTTTCACATATATACATATGCAATATTGATGAAACAATTGACCTTGGAGTCGAGGTCCATGTTCCAATAAGGCCGTAGCCATCTTTTCAAAAGTCTTGCGCGAGATGTGATCCGGCCACTGTATGCATATGGATTCCGGCGGCCCTTATTTCGTTAATTCTAGCCTAGACACGAGAGGTTCAAGAGTTCATACCTTTCAGAAGCATAAACAAAAGCTCTCGAGGCGGTGCATCCGGAATCGTGAGAGCAGGATCGCTAGGCTGAGGCTCTTCTATGATTTCGTCGGGATGCTGAGGCTCACTCTCGGCAATTCTGTTTACCAGTTGAAGGGCAGAGCGAAGAATGGACTGCCTGCCACGATTGACATGTCTTGAATCATTTAGTTCCAATTGGATTATGTTCTTTGCTTGGATTGCATGATAGTTGGGGCCCTCGACGCTGGGTGTCGATTGCGCAGTTGTGGTCGGGGATCGCTCCCTTGAGTCTGAAACTTGATTGTCAAGCTGGCTGTGCTCTAGAATAGGGCTTCTATTGAGATTTCTTGTCACTGTCCTGCGGCCTGATTGCCTGTTTCCTCTGTAGTTGTTAAGTACTCCGAACCCAGAAAAACGACTCCGACAAGCTCTCTCACTTTACCTTTGTGTCTGAGGCGGTCGTCTTTCAAATGTTACTATATTTTCTTGAGGGCCTAGAGCGCTGCCAGTAATTATTAGCTACTCCATATCCAGGGAAAGACTAAAATGACAGCAAACCTTTGGAGGCTTCTCTTCTTGGGTGGCCGTCCGCGCCGCCGGCGTTGGCATTCCACACCGGCATCTGCGCAATTGGCGCACTGCGCTCGACGATCACACTTTATCTAGGTTCATTGTATTATGGTCAGATTCAATCTCTAGATTTAGCTTGGTGATCATGGTATTGCAACCTTTTTGGAATGACATAGGTCACACTGTTCCCTCCTAGTTAGCGTCTACTGCTTTACCAAAGCATTCCGGCCTAGGGGTATAAAAGACATACCGCGGGCAGGATATCCCCAGAGAATGTGAGGCTTTCCGACATGGGCAGTAAGCTTTATGGCAAATTTCTATGTTTTCAAGACTGACTGACAATAGAATTGACAGGCAGGTATAGTATTAAGGTATGCTGTGTGTCAAGGGTGCGGAGCCGGGAGGGAAAATCAACCACCCGGCTGGCTTGCTGACTGAGCATCCCACTCGTCAGGAGCTTATTGACTAAAAAGCGCCAGTCCCCCGCCACATACTTTGTGGTACTATATAATTTCACTTTGCATTCTTACGGTCTAACCAACTAATTGACGATGCCGAGCGAACTAAAAGACTACCTTGGGACGGTAATCCACACAGTGCGTCGGGAAGAGTCGACTCCATTCAGCATAGCAAGATAATGTTTTTTTAGCCAAGTTCGATCCGAGAAAGTGTAGTTGCGCGAAAATCTGAGTTCTGGTCTATTCTATATTGATATAATACTAGTCATACACAAGAAAAAGAATTGGCCATATTGGACTACCAGGGTACATCCTGGCCATCATAAGCCTCCCACCCTGGGACGCTGATATTCTTGAACCGACCATTGTCCGTACGTTCGGCGGACAGGGAAATGCTCAAGACTGCTTCAGCACCCTGTGGCACGGTCAGGTCGGCATTTTTACCACCCATGTCGCTTTGTAGCCACTGAGGTGACCTATTAGCTTCTCCGGCATTGGCCTTTCAGTAGATCGGGGAGTAGTAACATACGCCGGGACTTACTGAGAGGAAGATAAATCCTTCCTCTTCGTAGGACAACGCATACTGGACGGTTAAAGCGTTCAGTGCTGCTATGCTGATCTTGTAGGCTGGGCAAGGAGCGTATGATACTGCACGTGCACTGGTCATTGAACCATATGCGCTCGAACTGTGGTTTTGAATTATGAGTGTCCGCTAGGGAATGAGGTTCAGGCCTCTGGCATGATACTCACATATTGATGATTTTCTTGACATTGCTGCTCTGCATGAGTGGAAGATAGTGGCGAAGAACGTTATGCGTTCCAGTCACATTCACCGACAATTGGTATTCGAGGTCCGACCTTTCGGTTTGGTGTCAGCTTGAAGTACACCCACGGAACAAAGGTCATCAGGCTTACATTAGCGCTAATTTTCCATGCGTCTCACTATGGACGCCAGCGCAATTGATCAACATGTCTAGGCTTTGCTGGTTCAAGGCTGATCTGACTTCCTCAGCCGATTCGGCAATTCTTGACGCGTCAGATATATCCAAAGCGACAAACACGACGCATCCATCAGAATGCGTGATTAATTGCATGAGTTCTGGACTGCATTTTCGCGCCGTTGCGATAACTAGTCCTCCTTCGAGGCTGGCGCGGGCAGCTAACTGCCTCACTAACTCTAATCCTAGCCCACGGGAACTGCCAGTAACGAGAATGTTTGACATCTTGTCAGGTGTCTGCTGTGGGAAGCTCGATCGGTGAAATATATTCAAAGAATTATGGGAATCAATTCTATCGCAATTCCCAGGAGGATAAATATGATCCACAGCGAAATGTTTTGCCCAGTCGCCAACGGGTTATTGCGCTGCTGTCCGGCCTTCCGAACTGGAAGGGTAACTAATCACTAATCTGCCGGTCCCACCTTCCCCATACAGTCGGCATTCCACGAATCTCTGATTTCCACTAGAGACTGTAGGTTAAGTTACGTCGAAGGACAGCGCATGGTCGAACAAGCCAGTCCTTGCAAGTCCTGAAACGTAAGATTACATAAACTATGAGCGCTGTCATATGATGCAAGTTCAAGGAACAATGTTCTTTCGGCTGCGGGGTTACCATAGATATATAACCGTCACATTGTGGTTCGTATCCAGAATGAGATGGTTCCGTTCGTATAGGTTCAACACTACTCACCAACTGGTCGTGACTCAACACAACCGAAACATGGCTGAGTCCTATACTGCAGAAGACCAGTTCAGCATCCTGGAGTCACTTCTGCGCTCGGACGAGATAATTCGTCCTACTTCCCCGACTTACCATTCGAGCATTCAGACCTGGGCTGCCCAAAAACAACTGAAACCTCGCATTGTACTCCGACCCACATCTATCGACTCCTTGAGTAAGACAATCGCCCACCTCTATTTCACAAAGTTGGACTTTGCTATCTATGGACATGGTTTCATGTCCGCATCCGCAAAGGATGTGCTGGTGAACATGTCGGCGTTCGATGGCTTTCACTTTGACAGACATTCGGAACTCGCCACGATCGGAGCTGGACAGACATGGTCGGATGTCTACCGGAAGCTGGGCGATGTTGCACCAAATTATGGAAGTAAGAAATAATACTTCAATCTTTCCGCGATGTACGTGTTTCGTGGCCGGACACTGACAGAATATGAACGAAGTCGTGGGAGCGCGTACCCCTTGCGTGGGCATCGCAGGCACTATCATCACTGGTGGCGTTTCGTGGCTTTCCAGAGAGTACGGGTGTATCTCAGACCCAGCGAACATGCTAGATGCGAAAGTTGTGAAATACGATGGCTCGGTTGTTTGGGCCTCTGGCGAGCCGGATCTTCTGTGGGCACTCCGTGGTGGGGGAGGTGGCTTTGGGGGTAGGCAATCCAAAAGGTTTCGATGCGATACTAAATGTATGGTTCCTAACACCCAAGGTGTAGTCCTCGTCGAGGTCGTGCTGCGAGTGTTCCCTTATCCGCAGAATATCTGGGCTGGCCCAATCCTGATACCGAGGGAGCAGCTCGAGGTGGTTGCAAATGGGATGGCAAACTTTGTCAACCAGCCTCTCGACCCAAAGATCACAATGTTTTTGTACGTCGTAAGGAAGCGGCTGCTAGAGTCCATTGGAGCCGCTTCAGATATGCTGGTACTTCATGCCTTTGATGCCTGCGGAGAAGCGCATGGTCGGACCAACTTCCAATGGGCATTAAACATTCCCGGATCTATTGATCAAACCAAGGTAACGACCTTGTCTGGTGTTGTGGATCTACAGGGCAGGTTTACACCCTTGCAAGTACTGGTCAATGGATGCTAACTATCAGACCAGACAAGGCACATATTGTCAAAGGCACCATGAAGCAGTTCTGGTCGCCGTTGCTTCTGCAAGAAATTTCAAAGGAGACCATTATCAATGCTGTCCAGTGGTCTGAGAATATCGGAAAACTGGACGAGTCGCTCGGTGACTGCACTTATCTCATCTTCGAGCCGTTGAGTTCGGTAAGTTGAAGAATCTGATAACCTCGCTGGAACATCAGTATACCATACTGACTAGACAAGCGCGACCCTGGCGGGGGAGTATCGAGCTGCGCCTGGCCACGACCTCCAGGCACCAAGCATATCTTGCTCCTGGGGACTGGCTGCCCCTCTGATGCGGGGCGTGAGCAGGAGAACCTTGCACGAGAACTCGCTATCAAGGCAGGATCCACAGTCTTGGGGGAAGACGCGGATCTGAATTACCTGCCTAATGGTTTTGAAGTCTTCCATGACGCGGAAAAGGTAAGATAGATGATATTATGGATATCCGACCGGCTGCTCATTCCGACTATAGATTTGGGGGCCCCATTTCGCTAAGCTGCAAGCTTTGAGGAGACAGTATGATCCGATGAGTAGATTCAAAGCGGCAATTAATCCCTCTGATGGATAGTGCATTAGTCTGGAGGAATCGCCCATTTATTGTTGGCAAGAAAAGAAAGACATGGAAACGCAGAAGACAGAAAGTCGAACATGACGGACTCGTTATGTTGATGTGTGGTACATGGTCACTAGAGCAACCAATGTAATGGAAAACATTCTTAGCGAGATCGGAGATTGTCAATGTTAGCTTACACAGCGGCATAAACCCCATTTAGTCATGTGTGCATTAATCCGCATACTAATCTGGATAAAGGACCCTGCAGATCCACTACTAGTGGGCCTCTAGCATCTCATCTTATCTTAGCCGGATATGCACGACAACGGGGATGGATCTTTTAGCTCGCACCTACCCGTTGGGCGATCTTAACCCACCGGAAAGCGGAACACATGGGGCGTATTGTAACACTAGTGTACCCGAACGGAGCCCCCACGCAGCCGTTAGCTTAATTAATTCTCTAACATTGTGTGTAGATCAAGACGCTTACTTCAAAAAGCGCGCGGGAGGTGACATTGGACCAGCCATACACGACCTGCCCCATATAGGCTGAGAATTCATCCTGTTTTTCAGGTGTCCATTCCCCTTCGTTACCCGGAGATAGTAAATCCTTGGCGGTAGTTGTACCTTGTCCTACGAGGGTCATAGTGGTATCCTTTGCGTTGTCCAGGGCACTGCCAGTCTTCCCTGCAAACCAATCATGGTCCTTCAACATCGTGTTGAACAACGGCCCGGCAGTTCCTAGGGAGCCAAGTGTGATCATGTCGATGAGAATATTGAGCCAGGTATCGTCTTCTTCAGGCGGGATAGGCGCAAATTTGTTCTCCATATCGTCGAGTGCCGTACCGACAATACTGAGAGACATGAATAAGCCGTCGTAGTATTTCTTGTACATCTTATGAATTTCGGCCATCGAGTACAATATGAAAAAGGCTGCGGGCCCAGAGTGGTTGCCATTTGCACCGTCTTCGCAACCAATGGAACTGCAGCTCCCTGACTCCATTTCATCGCAAGCCTGACCCTTAAAGTGGGTGGTACTTACAACAGATTCCATGAAAGTAGTATGCCGTGGACTATCGGTGTCATTCCAAATTCGGATAATGTCACCCCATGCCGTATCAGTGTCCATATTCTTCCAACGTTGTGAGGGTGTGAAATCAAACAGATTTGCCACATTATCGTCAGCGCAATTATACGAGGTCCAGTTTCCGTTACGCGTCTGGTCTGTCTTCGGGTCCTCCCCTGCTTTGGCGAGCTGGATGAAGTTGGCCCAGCTTTTTGCCGGGTTGGGAACATCATGATAGGTTTGCAGGTCGCTGGCCCAGTCAGAGGTTCCCCCCAAGCCCCAGGCACTATACAGAGTGGTGCGCGTCCTTTTTGTTGCGGCGCTCGTGTAGCTGACCCACTCATCGTTATCATAAAAACAAGAATGTCGCTATTGCTGGTCGTGTCGACATAGCTTTTGACGACCCGAGAGGAATCTTTCATGATATCGTCAATTTCCGCACCTGCAAGGTACCCAGCAGTATTGGTGCATTCGCCCTTTTTTGCGTCAGAATGTAAGCGGTCGCAAGTGTAAAGACAATCCGTCCCCGAGCAATTTGGGTCTGCCATCTTGAAGGAACGACCATAGCTTGTCACACCGACAATGACCTTTGCGCCAGGGACACCTGATTTGGTAATCATTGCCAAGGACTGTTTTGTTTGCGTCAGATTAACTTGGCTGCGCAGACAATTACCCGTAGCACAGCCTTTCTGTGAGTTGCTGTTATACGCATCCCACTGTCCGTGAAGATCATAAGTCATATAGACAATGTAGTCCACGATTTTGGCCATATCTTTAATGGGGAACTGCTTCAAGTACCAGTAGGATGCCGGTGCTGCAATGGAGACAGACTTTCCCGGCAGGAGGTTTTTGAGACCGACAAGAAATGCCAGGTAGTTGGGTCCGTCTTCCTCCGTGCCAGGGTCGTTTTCAGGGAGGTCAGGTGCCCCTGGATATTCCCAGTCAATGTCGACACCGTCAAGGTCATTATTGAATTCTGTCTTATGAGAAAGAAGAGAAAGAGTTTGTATGCATCAGCCGGCAAAGCATCTGTTCTGTGTCTCGCTACATGTGAAACCTCCAACATTCTCGTTTGTCGATGAAAGGGGGTCCAGCAGTGTTCCAGCCCACTTAAGTGGGCTTGGCAGGCAAAGAAGGGACCAATATTATCACCTCCAGCGTCAACTCTCGCGTGTGCTGTATGCTGTGAGTCTCTATATTGACCATAAACTCTAAAGGATGCACTGATTTTGTGAGGCACGGATCGGAGTAGAGAAATTGGGAGAGATCGATGTGCGCCGGCCTCCGTGATATCAGCCCACACTATAGCCAGGTAGCGGGAGGCAGAAGCCAAGAGGAATTTAATTTACCCACAGTTGGCGTGTGGCAGAGGCCAAGACTGTAGTATACGCTAATTCTCCAACCATTCTGTTTTCGTTTACACCTCATGCCCATTACCACTACTACCAGTGCGATCGTGGCCTTCGAGGGATCATCCGTATTCTGAATGCTAAGACGACTTTCCGACGTCGTAGCACGCGTTGCTTCGTGATTTATATGTGATTGCTGCGATACTTGGGAGATTTGACGCATTCAGGGCCTTATCCTTTGCTTCAGACAGTGAAAGACCTGAATAGCTAGCATCTTACATATTGGGCTCAATGCAGGATAAGAATATGAACTGAATAGAAATGAATCGACCACCTAAACAGATACATTGTTACATATTTTGTTACAGTTGATCTGCCGGATCCTCAATGATTGTGTACAGAGATGGTACGTTTCAACAGAATTATACATGCTTGACCAAAACTTTGCTGTCGACTACCTATTCCGCAGGTCTTGAAATGATGATAGGCGTAAGCTCGAAAAAAGGTAAAGCATGTTGGTCCGTGCTATACACCAATAAATGTCTATCTACAAGACGGCAAAGCCCAGAGCTCCAATTGCCGTTAACATTCCAGTTACGCCAAGTACAGCCAATGGCGTAGCACCATTCTCCTCTGTAGGACAGTTATCAGGAGGAACCGGAAGATAGCAGAAGCGCTGCTGCTGAACGGATGCCATGCTTTCAGCAGTATCCTCGTCTATCGCAACGCGACAGGGATCCGGGGTAGATGTCGTAGGACTGGCAGTTGTATTTGTTGTAACAACACACGTTTCGCGGCGTGCGGTGTTGCCATACCGGGGTGAGTTCATTACTCTGTCTGTCACATTGATGGAGATGGCATTTTGGCTCCCAGGGCAGGTGTCATTGGCGGTTGCTGCTACAAGATCCACTTCTTTGAGGCTGGAATTGTCGATATGGAAGCCCATCGTCCACCGATACTCGTGGTCGGAGACTCCACCATTTGCATAAGGACCGTGGGTCAGCGCCTCCACATCGCAGCTTTGCCAGCTAAGCACGCACAGAAGCACCCAATGATTGGATGTGTTAAAGTCGTTGTGGATGTAGTTGTAGGCGAGGTAAGGGTCTGCGCTGCCCGACCAGTTCGTCCAACTGAAGTCATGATTGAGGTATAATTGGTTATCAATATCTTTTAGGGTGGCATTGCGTTTGCGGATGTTGCAGGTCACCTGGAGATTGAGAAGCTCTGCCTTTTCTGTGTTCTGCACAGCAAAGACGAATGGGAACCACTCGGCGGGTGAGTATGATGCGTCGCTGCGAGGGAAGACCAAGTCAACCTCAACCGCAGGCGAGGTAGTGACAAAGAACCCGAGTACGATGAACCATTTGGGTCGGAGGAAATGCATGACTGAAGGGTCTGACGAGCCAAGCCAAAAGCGGAAGTTGAAGGACTGGAATAGAGCAGCCAAAAAGAGGGGTGTTGTGCTTTCCCTTGCGCAGTCAGACCTTCCAGATGCTGGGAAGTTCTCCTTATTAGTGGCAGTCAGACAGGCAAAGAGAGAATATTTGTAAGAAACGTGTGGGGGCCGAGGGAGTGGAATAGGGGTCCGAGGCAGGTAATCTCCCGACCCCTGCCGCCGAGACCAACTGTTAGGTCTCGAGGGCTTACAAGCGAGTCATCCGTCCGAACTAACAGTAGATAGCGCAGGTTCGGTCTTAGAATTGGGGTGAGAGTCCCCGCATCCGCCAAGGTGACATGGCGCGCCACACCTGCCCGCCAAGAGGGTCTAAACAAACGACCGGAGCGGAGCGAGGAACCGTCCAAGCCTCTCCTTCATCGGCCAAGGCTTGGCGCGGCGGGCAACGTTACATTCACTTCCTAAAATGGCGCCAAATGGTCCCTGACTGCTCTCTTGCGCGGGTCTAGCCTTATGGGGTAGTAGTAGCCAATGTGGACAAGGCGCTAAGGGGAAGCCACGATCCCAGCCTTGTCGGCTGCTTCCGCTTCTTCCTTACTACGTTAGAAGGTTTTGATTGCTAATCTCGCTTACAATAGTTTTTGATTAGCTTATTATGAATGTTCGCCTCCTGTCTCACGATTATATCTATTGGGCAACTGATGCTTCGCCAAGGAGCGGTCCCTACACTAACACAGCATGCACACTATCATGTAGTAGTCTACATGATCTTGATCGACGTCATTCCCGTACTATATTTTGGTCATGTGAACTCTGCTCTTGACTGTTGACTGTGTCGTTACCAATAACGTGCTCTAGTAAAGTATCTAGTCGCCTACAAGGATAGAGACAAATGTTAGTCCATTTCCAGTGAGGAGGGGTTTTACGCTTGCGCAGCTGCGCGAGTGAAATACGGAGCTTGATACCGCGTGCGATGATTTGTGGTTGGGATACTATGTCTGTATTAATATTTTATTATATTCTTATGTTAATGTGTTTGAATATACTAGCGTGTACGTAAAGACGCGTGTCACAGGTCTTAGTATATTGGAGGAGCAAAATCAATCTAATAAATCATTGACTGTTGCTTTCGCATAATGGAACCGAAACCGGAGACACAATTGCAGATCACAGGGCTGCCCCACGCATAAGCCCACCGCGGGCCGAGCCGTTCGAATCCAAGCCGTGGCTGAACGGGGAAAATCAGGGTCCTTCCATATTTGATTAATACTATTTCACACCGTATTCATGTGCTTATTCGTCGACCGTCTGAGATGCGTGAAGTCAACGAAATTCTGTCCCGGTCCTAAATCACATATGTAAAGAGGTCGAGATGGAAAGCCTGTCATGGCATTTCCTAAATAAATAACGAGTGGCGCATGTCAGTCTAGTCGGTCTTCGCTCGTACCCGACCCTGGAGCCTTATTGTTTTCGTGTGCATAGAGGTTTCAATCGACTTGATTATTTCAATCGCACTGTTGAAATGTATAGTTTGGCCCCGTCTTCGTATATGATCTGAGGTTGTCGTATTTACATCTTGGAATATCTGAGGAGAGCATGGTCGGGTTGTTATTTTACTGAGCGCATGTCCTAGCTACGTTACATCGTTCGATTTGAAGCTTCTGGAGAGGTTTGGAAGTTAGGCGTATGTCTAGGACCTGATTGAGAAGTTGCAGTCGACAGTGCAGTACGACGATCAGTTACTCTATATTAACCGCACACCAGTCATGCTATTGTTCTAGATTTAAGTCGAATTTTCAAGGGAACCCAGTGCAACATTTTGGCGCTATTCATGGGCTTTCGAATTTTGAGACGGATAGTTTTACGAGGTTCATATGTTGATACTTACAAGGTTGTTATCAGTTAGCATTTGCTTGACAATAAAGACAGTGCAGACCCATCTGTAATTAGACTCCAGTAAACGAAGAATAACGAAATGACCAGTGCTAGTGCACTTTTCCAGAGTTTTCACTACTAGCCGTATTAAAAGATCCACTACCATCAAATCATGGAATCTGCTAAGTATTTCTTTGCGGGCCGGTTCTCCTGTTGTGTAGCGCGGCCCGATGACTGTTGCTCCAGACGGGATGCTTCTGGTGTAACAGACCCCGCTGCTGTGCAAGTACAGCGCGATGGCATTAGTCAGGACATACATTCTAAATACCCGAGCCGCCAGTGATAGGCATTCGCCAACATACTAGATTAATAAGGGGATAATGCATATACCACTTCGCAATAACCACAGTAGCGGACTTCGCACTCCAGTCTGTAGGCTGGCCATCGTCGTCGAGTAAGCACACGAACGCCGAATCAATATTAGACATAGGGAAAGACTAGTATTCTGCGCTTGAAACGACGATGGCAACAGAAGAAAAAAAATGACAAGAGAAAACAGCCGGGCGGACACGTAAAAATAAATGACTACTATTATTTACTACCATTTTCCAATTACCTGAGCTTGTACGTTACCGCCTGACCGTACATTGGTAGGAGAGGATGTTCCGTTGGTGAGACCTTCATTGGTGGGCATTAGCTGCTGGCGATTCGGCTGGGACAACAAAGATACCGTAGGCGATCGAAAATAATGAAAAGAGGCTCAGATATGGACCTGAGCGTTGCGCTTTTGTCCCTTGTATTCTTGCATTTGGCCTACCAATATTCAGGATTACTGCCAGCATAATGAGAGTGATATGTTGGTTGAATTAAAAGAGTCTCAATGAAGACGCTCGCAAACGGTGGCAGCTGGCGGATCCATCTGCTAAGGTCCACCAGCTCGTCAGGTGTGATGTCTTTGGAGATATTCACACTCAGTATAGCTCGGTAGTCTGCTGGCATAGAAGCTATATCAACGGTAAGATTCCCGTTAAGTGCAAGACCCACCGAAAACATGCCAACCATCATTGCATAAGTAGGCCAGACTTTATTCACACGTTGGCCTTTAAGGCTCTGGAATACATCTGCAAAGTCTACTCGCTTGTGGCCTTGCCTTCTTCTTGTAGCAATCTCATTGGCAAGCTTAGCACTAAATGTATTCTCTGGCCCGCACCTCGCATTGGGTGTATCGCAACTAGTGGCGGCAAGGATCTCAACAGTCCTGCGTTGAATAGCTGGCGCGCGAGTAGCAATATGGGCGCAACAACAATCGAGAATAATTAACACGTCAGTATTGTTTGAATCCGAGAGATAATCAGATCCTGTAACAGGCTGAATGAGCGAGCGGTCCGCATTAATAACTCTAGTGCCGGCACTTGTCTCTGCGAACACAAAGCTTCCCGCTCTTGTTGTTCCGTGACCGGCATAATGAAATATGACTAGATTGCGCTCTGGCTTAGCTGCAGCCTTCCCGACAAGGTTGAGCCAGGCCGTGCTGAAGGTAATGCTATAAACAGGGTCACCAGACTGAATTACAAGCTCTTCAGCCGGTGCAACGTCGAGAGCCTTTAGCAGTCTTTGAAAATGCTCAGTATCTCTGGCAGCATTTGTGTCGTCCTTTTCCCACCTCATAGTGAGCGAGTAGACATTTTTATAGCTACTGCTTTTCTGCTGTACCGCGGCTTCGAGGGCGGTTTTGAATTGATCGAAAGAAATTTGGGACATCTTCACGGCAAAGCTTGATGTCAATGCGCTTTAAGGTGATCAAAGGAAGGAACACAAATTTCACAAGATATGCCGGACAGCAAGGCCGGATCCAAAGACCTTATGACTTTATTTAATCACACTCCGGATAAAGGATAGAGCATGATAAGAGGGCAGTAGCGTGGTGATGTTAGTGCAACCCAAGATAGAATGTATTGGTATTCTGTTATTCGACCTCGGAAGGTTGGCTGTTGCTATCAGTTGGTGTACCATGTAGACTCCGCCAGGGAGTTCCAACTGATATGCGCTTTGAGGGGTAGCCTCCAAATCGCAAAAAATAAGAGTCACTACCTAAGCTGGTTCCTCTCAGAGTAAACTGCTTAAGAACGAAAGGAAGGCAAGTTCTCTTGTTCTGAAGGAATTTATAATGCTACCTCCTCAAGAGGACAATGTGAGACATTCACAGCCAGTACCGTCATTCACACCTATCTTCACTACGAAATGAGATATTCATCCTACGGCTGCCAGAAGCGTTGTGTATTTGTGAATATATCTCTCATGCAATTGCCACAACTTACAAAGACACATCACTCAGGATCTTGCAATATTTCGAAGCCTAGATTGGTGAATAAATGGCTACTTCTACTGTTGTATCTGGATTATACAAAACTCTTGACTTTGTGTATTTCACTAGCAGTACATAAAAAGGAGTGGTAGGTGACTTCGAATTCAGTTCGACCTGGCTGTTGGAGGACATCCAGTCACTCCCTTATCTGCTAAATCAGGATCGTTCGTACATACTGGTTTGGCTTTTGTCTTCCTCGATTGACAGCAGAGCCTGGAGTTCAATCTTCAGATTAGGAAGTTTTGAATGTAAGTTTCGTAGGATCTGATTGGATCCAATGTATTCCAAGCTTCAGATGGGCTTCCCCAAAATCATCACCTGCTAGTATTATAGAGTACTACACCCGGTACTATGTTGTATATTATTTCTCGGTTGTAACTGTCGTTTGTGCGATCCCCCATCGCGGGATTGCTATCATTGGATTGGCCATGACAGGGTTGAGCCCCAACAATTACAGATGCGGACAGCGATGGAGATTATCAACATGGTTAACATCATAGACTGTCAAGCAGTCTCTGTAGGAAATTACACATAGTATGCGTACAATGAAGGAGGCTGGCAGAGCGCGAAATTAGTGAAGCTAGACAAGACCAGCTAGGCTTATTGGGCGTATAGCTTACGGTCACGTAATGTAAGGATGTTTATAATGTCATGTGGCATGATGAAAATCGATATAAGTATGAAGCAACCTATGATGACGTACGGGTAATGACCTTGTTGGAGTGTCATAGTGAATGAAGGGGGGTGGTGACTCACATTCGAAGATTGTTTACCACCTTATCTCCAACTCCCATCCTCCAATCCCATATCCTTTGTCCCACGCGTTTACCATCACTGACCATAAAGCCGGACTACATATCCTTCCAGCTAGTACAGCATTATACAGCGGTTTAATGATGTGGAGCTTCAGCTTTAGAGACCGAGTTTTCGATATCGCAGGGGAAGATTTCAAGGTGGTGAAGCAGTTGACCGAGGAGGACGATGAAGAACTGGGTCAACGCAAGGTTCAAGCAATAGCCAAGAGACTAGACCAAAAATACTTGCTCAAGATACGCTATCAGCTTGACCCAAAAGACTGTGATCTAGACGATCCAAAGGAGATATTGGAGTTTTCCGAACAGGACTTCTGCCATGAAGCTGAGCTCACACAACTCTTGTCTACTCACGGATATGGACCAAGGTATCATAATCATGAGACCCAGAATCAGCCTGAATGGATGCCTTTCCCTGGAGGCTATCTCGAATTCATCGTCATGGACT